ACAATACTCAAGGGAATCTGGGTCACCATAGGTCATCCCAAGCATCGAGATCATGATTCTACTATATCGAACAGAGAAGCTCCAGATTTTTTCAGAGCATGGTACTCTTTCCTACTACAATAAGCGCATTGGGAGATGTGTAGATACAGATTAAGAATCTAGAATTCTATAATGCTATTAACCTTGATAAGTTTTCTTATTAGAAGCTAATGTAGGCTGCAAGCAAAAGCTTGTTATCTCTATACCTGTTTGGCTTTTTCTCCTGTATGTGGTGATGCGGCGACTGTAACACTGTCGTTTTCGTATGTACAGATATGGCCTTCGTCACTCTACCGTAACTAGAGCGACATGTATGCTTTTCTCTCCCAGCTCACCAGTGCCTCAAATACTCTAGCGGTCATTGCATGGGCGGCGGCTGATTTATTTTTAGACGCTTTACACGATATCGTAGCGCGGACTTCGTTTTGATAGCGTAGTCACGAGACATTTCTTGTGAACAAAATGATCTTTTTTTGCTCGCCATGTCGGAACATTGGCATCTATGCGAGAGGGTTGGAAAGTTAGTATGCCATGTGCGACGTTTTATGCATCAGAAGGTAGACACAACAAAGCTCGATCAGCCTATGTTTCCACTAAAGTCATGCTTCCAACGGTCTCTCCGACTTTGAAGGAATTTGTCTCTCGCTATGGTGTACTATGTCCGCGCTTCCATTACTACTGTTCAAATCAACGGTCTTCTTGATACCAGACTTCTACTGCTCTCTATGAAGAGGTGTGTTTATACCATCACTCTCCTGAATATATCATAGCTAGATCTTGGTGTCGACCGTGCTCGCGATTGTACTTGGCAGATTCAGGATCCACAGCATTCGAGTTTGTTCTGATTCAACTTGGGCGAACATGTTTGCAGCCACTGGGCTCTGATCAAGATAATACATGGTATAAGCATCTCCGTCGATTGTCAACAAAGCCATGGTTCGGACCTTTAGCGACTCCCTGTATACTAGGAATTTGCTTGGAATGTTCGGAATTAGCAAGTCGAAAGCGGTGTTCTTCAATCAGACCGGAAAATAGGTCTTTTTTGTTCGCGTATCCATAGGCATGCAAGCCTTGGCCCCCAATAGTCAGGGAAGTTGTTTCCTTTGACCCAGGTCATGGTCGTAGAATCTATCAGGGAAGTCGTGACACGGGGACGCGCAAGTCGAAAAGGTAGGAACTGATAGTCACAAATCATAGTCAGAGGGGAGGTTTGACTATGGAGATGCATACGAGTATTACCAGATAATCTTTGCTGCGTGATTACAAGCTAAGAACAAACCGAAGCTACCGGAGATTGAGAAGCATCGATATTCCCAAGAATGATGAATAGGGGATAACAATTGTTATATGGAGGTCTACCAAGACGGGCAAGCTTCAACTGAAATTCCGGCAGTGGACGCAGGTGGGTAATCGTATGTTGATCAGCTTCCTGATCTCATTCCACGCCACCAAGCCCTTGGCCAAGCCCGCAGGGTACAACGCCACGAATCCTTAGGCTGCGGTCCTTCATGCCACTGCGGAAAAGTCGGGACTATCAAACGTGGTTCGTGGATGATCTCTTCCAATACTCAGCGTCCAGTCAAACACGTTTGGTTTCAGTGGGCTTATTGGAGTGGGGATTCGATGGTGGAGAGACATTATCCGGAACATGTATGCACCGAAGACATGTGAGTTGCGTTTGAGGATGATTATGCCTGGGCATCAGATACAGCTGCCTGGGTCGATACCGCGCGTAGGCATCAAGGTAAGATGCTGTGGTACTGTCATGACCGGCGTCGTATGATATCACATGCCGAAGTAACAGCTTGACGTATGCAAGGTTATTATTGATCGAACCACAAAGCTTATGTGCGTGAGATGAGGTATGGAGGATATCCTAGTACGAAAATGAACTGTGCAGAAGCAACGCTGCGCCCATGGCCTTTCCACGACATCGACAAGGCTAGAGTGATGCTCAAATTGCTCGTGCGCCCCTTGGATACCAGAGATTGCTTCTAGAAAAGCAGTACCACCAGCCTGCGCCTCGTGCGAATATCGATACACTATACACACCTTGGCGCGTTGGGAGCTTGGTATGGCACAGTGGTACAGATGCAGCGAATCAACAGTCAATAATAGATTGAGCGATCTTCGTATTTGCCGCGAAACCAGGTTCCCGGTCTTGCGCTGATTCCTATCCGTCAAGGGGAACTGGACGCGTGCTGATGAAGCGTTCACAGGCTTGCCGGCCCTTGACGGATAAACTCAAGCCGTCAGAGCGCCAGTCGTCGAGGAAAGGTTTGGGAACTTTGGGGAAAGATCGGGCGCTATCGGACGCTTGGCCTACCTTAATTTTCCACCGGTTCCGGATGACCCCTCAAATCGCGTGCTAGGAGCTGCCAGTTTACGGTACGACGCTCCGATGGCGCAGTTCTGGACTTGCGGCTCAGAGCACGTGGGCTTGTTATCGCTCCAGTGCTTCGCATTTGGCAGGTGGCGAGCTGAAAGCGACCAGGCAGTCGCAATCAAGGACAAAAATTGCGAGTGGACACGTTGCGCATGTGAAGCTGATCTGAGCGGGTTCATAATACGAGCAAATCATGGCTGACGGGGCAGTGCGACTCATACTTGGGAGGGGTGTCTTTGGCGAGGGCCAAACCCCGGGGATAGTAGCGGAAAGGAAATTATGCTTAAGTCTGCGCCAACCTTATCTGCAACCTTGCAGACGTAGGCGAAATATTCGATTACTGAGCGCGCGGATCACCGTTTATCCACGCACATGGCAATTTCGAAGTAAAAAAGCTTGCTCGCGAGAAAACAGAATGGCTTTCTTCGAACCTGTGGTTAGTTTGAATGGAAGGATGTAGGAGCGACTCCGATCCTATGATGAATTCATCCGGCATGTGGAGAAGCCAACGCTGGGCAGGCTTGACAAGTCGGATGACGCGGCTTTTGAATGAGTGCGCTGATAAGACAAGCAGCGGGCGCTGTCGTGAACGTGGAGAAGGGCGGCCTTGGCCACTCATGGAAACAACAATCCTGTCTGCTACTTGGCAGGCTTGAGTGTGACTGCGCCAATGGATTGGACTCGGGCCTTTGTCTCTCTTGGGCAGCTGAGACGCTAGGTTCCATGGCGTCTTGTACGAGTACCCGTTCATACTCTGTCGTCTTGGGCAAGTCTTGACAATGAGTAGAAGGTCCGCTGCCAGCTTGGTATACCATGTTGCGGAATCTCACGGGAGGTGAGATATTGTCATTGGCAAAGCACTGCCACGATGACTGTACTGAAGTGAGGAGTCTCGACAGCTTGGTTATCCAGCTTTTCCCTATGGAAGCGTATATGCGATGGCCCTGTGATACCGCCAGCGTGGGTAAGTCGGATGCTCGTGGGACGGTAGTAAGCTTAAACCGCAGGCACCAAGCTTAATCAAAGTGCTGGCCGAGCATTTAAGCGAATGAGCTGAGAAGCAGTAGGCGCTGGATTACGTTACTGTGGATCAGAGCGGATGTCTGTTCTAAGAGCGGAGTGAAGCCTGTAAAGCGGAGGCCTGGTTGGCGGGCGCAGTCTCCACGCCACGCAGCAAGTTTTGCAGGCCGTTGTTAGCTTGCGTGTACCAAAGACGAATATAGTGTACCTTGGAGGGCAAGCGGCACACGATGAGCACATGTTAGCCGGGCCGTGTAAGTAATCCTTCGCTACACCAAGGAAGCTCCTTTCTCCTGCAGGTCAGATGTTTGTCCGCTACCAAGGGCGCCGAGCGCACGACAGGTGGAGATTTCTTAGAGGACCGAGGCCAAGCATGCCATGGCCTGCCACAATCTGAAGCAGACTGGAAAGTGAGTTGGTTTTGGGTCGACACGGACTTTTTGGAACGCCTTGGCTGTGCTTGGTGTATTGCTACTAGCGGGGCCAAGGAGGACAAGTCGGATTGACGGACTGATGGACCACACCGCGAAGTCTTGGAAGGTGTCAGCACTGGGGTCGCTGTGGGTCCGCCAAGGGATCGAAGGCTTGTCGAAAATAAAGATTCGTTTAGAGTTATCCGGCTGGTAAAGCTTGGCTGATCGAGGCCAACGCCGCTGGGCGCTGGGTCAGACTGGGCGCGCAGTGGCTTCGGCGTGTGCAAGCCGCTAACATAGCAGCTCGCTGCAAACGACGCTGCATGTCTCTAGAGCGAGCTGTTTGGTGGCACAGGGCGGCATGATGGATATTGGGGGCTGTGTGTGTGTGGGTTCTTCTGTGGACGCTCCTGGATGGCTCCGCTGGAACGGACGGCCAGTGAGCAGCTAACGAGGGTCCAAATAAAGCTTGTCGCGCGCCTTATTTCGCTATCAGACGCCACTCCACGTCTCGGCGGGCGATCAAGACGACGACCCCAGCGCCCAGAAAGGGCCAAAGACGCCAAAGAAACATTGCTGGGTCCCAAGACCGCGCTGCTGCGAGTACATGAGGGCGGATGACTGCTGCTGCCTTTCCAAAAGTTTCGCTCTCCGATCCATCTTCCCCAGCTTCCGTCACTCAACGCCGCGTCCCTACCAAGTGGACCATTGCCGCGCACGCCTGTTAATACGCTGACTCTGTTTCATTGCCGGCCCGTTTCACGTCACCGGACCTCGACACACTTGATCTCATCGCACTGCCCCATATAGAGGTTGCCGCGGCTTTGTAGACATTGCTCGTCACAGTCACACACGCCCTACTGTAAGTCTCTATTTATGTTTCGTGTCTGCTTGCGGCCTCTGCTGTGCCGTTTTCGCTTCGCTGTTCCTTGGTTTGCAATATTCCGACTTTCATGCATGCGCACCGTCACTTTTTCCGACTTTGCCGGAAACCCTGCATTCCAAGGCCATTACAACTGTCGTATTGCCTTGCATCCAAGAAGCTTATCCCACGATTTGGACTAACGCAAGCCGATTAGCATCGATGAGGTCTTGACGCCTCGACACTACCATCACTACATCCCCTCCACAAACATTTCGCAATGGAGACCTACCACGGACATGTCCGCACGCCTAACGATGCCATCATCTTGTTTGAGGCCTGCCGCATCGGCATACTACCGCGAGTGCAGCGCCGCCTATCCGAAAAGGAACGCCAGCAGATCAAGTCTGGCTCAGTATTTGTATGGGACGAGCGCGAGGCTGGCATGAGGCGGTGGACCGACGGAAAGTCATGGAGTGCGAGTCGCGTGTCTGGCAGCTTCCTCACATACCGGGAGATGGAAGGCAAACGGGGGGGCAGCGCAGTACCCACAGCCCCCGTAGCTAAAAGAGCAAGTGGAAAGTCGCCAGACGGTTCCGGCTCCGGCGACTCAGAGGGCGAGGGACCCGACGGCTACCGGTACAAGCCTGATGGTCTTATGAAGCAGTCCTTCAGCATAACCACCCAGAGCGGACAGCACCTCCACCTCATCAGCTACTATTCGCGATCAAACTCCAACAACCTCCCACAGCCCACAAACGACGCGCAACTGCGACACATCCGCCCACCAAAGAACATGTACCCGGAATCGGCAGTGAACGAAACCCAGACTGTACCTGCTGTCACTCGTGGTCCTATGCCTGGCTCACCATACAGCGCACCTGGACATAGCATGGCGCCTTCATCGCCGTACACTCGCGGTGGTCCCGTCGCACCCATGTATGCGGTCCCAGTCTACCCTCCCACGCCGCCAAATGGTACACCTCCGCTATACTATTCCCAGCATCCTTACTTCTACCCGGGCGTTATCTACGCGCAGCCCCAATACCATCCGCAACACGTCTTCGATCGCCCACCCCCACCAATCGCACACCCTCACGCTCCTCAAGGTCACCATCCTATGCTAATGCAGCACCCCGCCTACGCCGCGCATGCCGCACACGCTGCTCAACAATACATGGCGACACCACCCGTCCGCCATCCCTCCACAGCTGAGCAGGCTCAACACCCACACCTTCAGCGCTCCAGTGCGCCTGCACCTCCTCCAGCGCCCGCACCAGCAATTCCCGAGCAAGGCCCCCAGCTTCCTGCCATTAACGGTGCTGCTGCTGCTGCTGCCGCCGCCGCAGGTGCGAACAAGCCACCGACTCCAGAGCCCTCAGACAAGTCAGAATCACGAGCACCCGAGTCAAATAGCGCAGCCCCAGCAGCACCAAGACCACTTCCTACATTGGGATCGCTCCTCAACGGCGAAAATCAGGACAAGGATAACCAAAACAACAGCCGTTCAGGCAGTCGCAGCCCTAACACTGCAACGAGGTTTCCCCGAGACTTGGCGCCGGAACGACTTGCTAAGAACAGCACTGCTGCAGATAGCAGCGCGCTGAACAAGCTCAACAGCGTGTTCGTACGATCATAGTGATGCGCTTTGGTCTATTTCTTACTCTTCATCTCCTGCTGCGATGTGGCATCTTTTCTTTCTTCTTTCTGACACTTCAATTCTGTACTCTTTATTCTCTCCGAGTGCGGGAGGTTGTCTGAAGCATTTACGAACTGCATATGGGCGGCGTTCGGGTATCACGGCTACATGCACAATCATGATAAGCCTGAGGTTGGGGGGAAATGGGATGGGCGATTCTTAGCATCGGCCGATATTCGGGCCTGGAGTTCCACGGTTTTTGTGTCACTGTCACAACTTTGTTCGTTACGAAGTTCATGGTTTAACGCTAGCTACGAGGTGCTTGCTCTGCGAATTCAAACTTCGAGCCATTACCATATGTTCGTTGCAAACTAGTGCTTTTCTCGTGCTCAGACGTCTGCTTTAGAGTTTTAACGTTGCTTTATGCTTAACATGTCTAATCGCGGCTAGCGATAAGCTTTCAGCACTGACATCATCACCATCACTCACCAGCCCCTTCACCCGACCAGCACACAGCCAAGCCTACTATCATACCAAGCCCAACTCTTGCAATGCCTTGTCTGCGCCTCCGCAGAGCTTCATCACGGCAATTACCCAATATCTCCGATTTTTCGGAACAACCACCTAAGGCAGCTTCCTGTTATGGAAGGTCACTTGTCTATCATGTAGCGCTTTCGCTGACGGTTGGCCTATCTTGAGTAGCCCGCGGATCAACGCTCTTGATACCCCGCAGTGGTACGGCTACAGCACTGGCAGATGCAAGCGTATCGCGTTTAGGCAGGGGTAGCTTATCAACAAGGATGGACGTCAACGGCGCGTTGAGCCATCAGTTATCGTTCTGTCGGCCTGCTTGCCACGATTGTCATCTTGCTACTGCTATCTTCCATGCGACGGTCGGTATATGAGCTTGTGACAGAAGAAATTTGACGGTTAAACTTTGCGCCTCTTCACCCTTGGTTAAAACGATTTCTAGCCTGTTGTGCTGTTCGAACAACGACGCGGAGACCATACGCCATGGCGTCTGCCACAGATCACCCACCCTCACAAGCGATCTCGCCACCGCATTTCGCGCCGACAGATGTCGAGAAAGAAGCAATCGTTGAAGACAACAGCAAAGGTATAAAAAAGGTTCTCGATGAGAAACTGCTAAAACACTCGCACGATGCCGATGCGGCGATGAAGGCGTACGAGGGAATGGAAGGCCAGGTTGTGGAGTTGACAGAGGAGAAGAGCAAGGCACTTTTAAGGAAGATCGATATGCACATGATGCCTGTAAGCATATAGTGTTCTACGATATCTTTGTAAATCATGATTGTTGACTAACAAACTATGTAGATCATGTGCATTGTATATGGCTTGAACTACCTCGACAAGACGACGTTAAGCTACGCAAGTATCATGGGCCTGCGGCTGCCTCCTTCAAACAACAAGCTAGCTTCTGGTATCGGACTAGTCGGAGACCAGTACTCATGGTTAGGTAGCATGTTCTACTTTGGATACATTGCTTTCGAATATCCTACTACACGATTACTCCAAGTTCTGCCGCTGGGTAAATATTGTATGTCGCTTTCGTCTCTTCTGCCCTAGAATTTGAGACGTCGAAGGTTGGACTTGGCTAACATGATATCAAAGCTGCATTCAACATCATCATGTGGGGCCTTGTACTATCCTGCTTCGCCGCAGTTGAAAATTACGCCGGCGCGATCGCCATTAGATTTTTTCTCGGTGTCTTCGAATCGGCAGTTACACCTGGCTTCGCACTCTTCACGTCGCAATGGTATACCAAGAAGGAACAGGGTTCACGTACCGGTATCTGGTTCAGTTTCAACGGCTTTGCGCAAATATTCGGTGGATGTGTTGCCTATGGCATCGCTGTGGGCTGTCGGAAGTCGGGCACTACTCTGGAGCCGTGGAAGATCATCTTCCTCGTTACTGGACTACTCACTATGTGCCTAGGTATCACATTCCTTTGGCTTGTACCCGATAACCAGTTGAATTGTAGGTGGTTGAGCAAGGAAGATCGGATCTTGGCGATCGAGCGGATTAGGATCAATGCGCAAGGTGTGGGTAACAAACACTTCAAGTGGTATCAGTTAAAAGAGGCGCTGCTTGATCCATTGAGCTGGGCATTCTTCTTCTATGCGTTAATTGCTGATATACCCAACGGTAAGACACGGCGCTCACGTCCTTGCAAGTATAGATGCTAACGAATCTTCAAGGTGGCATATCAAACTTCTTCTCCCAACTTATTGTTGGTTTCGGATACACACCCGAGGAATCTCTTCTTTATGGCACACCGGGTGGCGCAGTCGAAGTCGTCTTTCTCATTGCCTGCGGCTGGGCCGGCGATAAATACGGCTACCGTATCCTTATATCCATGATCGGTCTGTGTACTGCGATACTTGGCATGGTTCTCATCGTTGCACTTCCGCTATCCAACAACTCTGGTCGTCTCGCTGGCTACTACCTAACGCAAGCTAGCCCTACGCCTTTCGTTGCTTTGCTGAGTCTCATCTCGAGTAACGTAGCAGGATACACAAAGAAGACGACTGTGGCAGCTATGTATCTGATTGGTTACTGCGTCGGAAACATCATTGGTACGTACTACCAATATAAATTTCCGGGATCGGGCAGTATGGACTGACATGACTATCATTGGTAGGCCCACAAACATTCCGTCCCCAAGATGCGCCTCGCTTCGTTTCCGCCGAGATCACCATCATCGTCTGTTGGGGCGTTTGTTTAGGCATCTTAGCGTTCATTCATTTCTACTGCGTGTGGCAGAATAAGAAGAAGGCGCAGATTCGTGCGGCACCTGAATACGTGAAGCTAGACAACCAAGAGTAAGCTTGAAACGCGAAATATCATGGATGAGAACAGTGAAAGCTAATCATATGTCTAGGTGGCTTGATCTTACAGATCGGGAGAACCCAGAATTCATTTACACGTTGTAGCAAGATAGTCAAGCGCGAAGGGAGCAGGTTTGAAATGAAGAATCTGCCAAAACCATGCACTTGGCATGTGCAGGCAATTTTAATACAAGAAACAATGACTACTACATACTGCACTAGACGTAAGAAACCAGGAGCGTGTGCTCGTAGAACAACCATAGTAGTAAGCTCCTGAGCAAATACTCATGGCATCTTGTGAACCTTCGTGTTTATCCGCCAGGACTCGCTGGAGACTTGACATTCCCACACTCGATGACTTGATTGAAAACGGGTATTGCTGAAGGCAACGTAATACTGTCCAAATCCAAACCACCAGCGATACCGTCCGCTAAGGTCCTTCGGTGTTTGGTGTTTGGTGTTCGGTGTCCACAATACGACCGGCAGACATGGACTCTGCAGGAGCCTTCGAGTTGATTGCACAAACCCCGTATATCTTTGTTTGAGGACTAGAAGCTTTTATGATTGAACCGATGCCACTGGTTAACCCGCCCTCTCCTATCGCTACAAAGATATTGTCGATTTGCTTGCACTGCTCGAGGAAATTCAAGACCAATTGTTCCTTGGCAAGCTATGATACGAAGATCGTTGTATGGCAAAAGGTAATCGTATCCCCGAATCTTTGCCAGCTTTGCCTGCACAGCACTCTTTGGGATAACAATCATGGTCTCCCTAGAAAGTATCTTCGCTGCGTGTGCTGTATCAATCGCGCGGTTACCAGATGATGCTGTGATGAGTTTTCGATTATCGGTTTGAGCAGAAAGCTCAGACATGGCACTTCTCGATTTGAAAGAGCCTGTATATCGGAATTTTCTGCCTTGAACAGAACATCTGATGCATCATTCTTGCCGGCCCAGGATGCCGATGAATGAAGTCAGTGTATGTCCCGCATTCAATTAGTACGCGGGTGTCTTTACCTGCTTGGCCGGAAGCAGAGGTATCTGGTACATATGACTCCTAATACGGTTCTTTGACTCAGGTGCCACAATCTTGCCTCGTTAGGTCTAGATCGATGTTGGCCAGAGACATGGCTCTCTCATATATCAACTTCGGAGACAGGCTCGGAGATAGTCTATAGTGGTTGCAGTGCGGAGTGCGGAGTGACTATCTACTCTGTAGTAGAGACATCCAAGTGCCAAGAACGTAGTGCGACCGAAACCTTCGAGGAACATCAGAGTCTCCAAACTGTCACGTCAAGACTTCCTCTTGTTGCGCATTCGCTCAATGAAAGTGTGTGCAGGATGCTGAGGTGGATGCAGCTGATCAGTCACCCGATTTGTAGTCTTCACGCTACCGTCAATATCCTCCCCCTCGAGTCCAATGCCCAATTGACCTCCAAGCCAGACTCATCGATCTTCTGCGCCTTCGTTTGTATCCAACTCCCCTCTTTAACCTCCACCCCCCTTCTTCTACCCAGCTCTCCCAACAAATTATCAAGTCTGCTATCAACAACACTTAACCATATCCTCACAGCCTCACCCTCCACTCTAGCCCGTCTAGTCATCCACCAAAGCGTGCCATTCTGACACATTTGGAACCACCAACCTAACAAGAACACTGCCTTTGGATCCTTCTGCTCTAGCAACTCTAGAAACTCTGGCGTGATGAACGCTGTAAAATACAAGAATTCTAACACGTTACCATGTGACAGTTGTAAATGCCGAATCCGTGACAAGATCAGAACAGGAAGGTAATAAACATTGTCCTCTTTACTAGACAAAGGTGTGATCCCGAAGATAATCTTTACGCTCTCTGGAACAAGACTGATGTCGTTGTTCTGCATCCAGTCCGGCGGTGTAGTGCAAGGTCCATGATTTCTTGTTAAAACACGCCTAAACACGCTATCCTCCCTTGTAGGATCAGCAATCCGCCAGAGATGTCGTTTCCCTTCTCCAATCTTCATCCAGGAGAGATCGCCAGGCTCTGAAGGCTTCAAAGGCCAGACAGTATAGGGGTCGTCGGATTCAAGGTACCAGAAGGATGCGGCACCGAGGTGCACTCCGGTAGCCCAGATAGCGTCGCGATGAGAAGGTGGTATAGGGCCATTCAGTATGCGGTGATAGAGGGTGGTCGCTTGGTCCCAGTGATAGAGAGACTTACGTTGGAGTGTTGCGGATTGGGAAGCGGAGTAAGGAAGAGAAAGCGATGAGTCGTGCATTAAAGTCAAGCCGAGGATCATGTGCATCAGGAAGGGGTGCTGGGTATAGTCAGCATTGCTTTATCGCTGCGTATAGGGAGGTCGGAGGTACTTTGAACGCGAGTCCGCATACTATTTCCCTGTATGCTGGGGCCATTCTCTCATCTAGACAGGGTCAGTCAGCCGAAGGCTACTTCTTACCAAACTGTGATCCATACCTCCAACAGTCAGAGACGTCCGACTTTGGAACCTCGTAAGAATCTCCAGGTGAGTCTCTGAGAATTCCCAAGACGAATTGACAGTTCGTAACGCAGCACCAAGGCCCGAGCATACGTCTGAACCTGAATACCCGGATTGGAGAGAACTCTCAATCATAGAAGCCAAGGTGCTATTCATCGATACAGGACACCACGGTGTGCCAACATTGCTGCTTGTCCAGTCATTCGACAGCGCATTTGACGGCACGTTATTGATCGCCCCTGGTTTCACAACCGCCGCGTCGAAATCAACTCTTCCTACACCCATTATATGTACATCCAAATAGCCCTTTTCGCCACCGAAGTCACAAACTACACCGTAGCTCTTGCATTTTTCGCACCGTGGTCTCGTTTCATCGCACTATTCCCATGGTACATTTCGTCAGCCCAGTCCGACCCAGTTCAAGCAATGTCGAAGGATCATCATAGACGAAAGCTAACCTTGACTCGTCTTAATTTACAATTCTCACACCCTTTCCTTGACTTCGCATGGACCCGTCTCTTCCGTTCTGTTATGGTCCCACGTTTGGATACGATAGCTGGCATGATCAACGGCTAAAAGTGGATTGGCAAGACTAGTAAGACAGGGGTGGGGCGAACGAATCTAACCCGCGTTCGTGTTGCGCAGAGACATGTCATGGCGTCCGTGACTCTCCGCATGTTATATATAATGGGCATCGGAGTTTAGCCTTCTTCATCACCGGTGGCAGCGGGGCGTAAGCGATGAGGTCGTGGCGCATACAACGACCTTGGGAGGGCCCATAAGATTTCGCGCTAAAAGTTCAATCTAACCCGCGTTCGTATAACAACACTCGTTGCCATTCTGATTGGCTGTACAGCGAGGTGAGCGACAATGACATGCCTAAGTATGTATTCGCATTTTGCGTCGCAAACTCCATATCCTGTACCAAAGTCTCTCGAGCAGCTGATATTTGTAAACTCCGAGAGGGGGCGGCGTGTCGCTAAGCAGGAAAGAGATCGGTAGGCTAGAACGGGACGTATTGGATGGCCATAGTAGAAGGGTCATATGTAGTGTCGAAGAAGTATAAGTATAGTTGCGCACAACCAGAAAGAATGGAGAAACTGTAGAAAAGACATCAACCTCAAACCCTTTCTTCACTCAAACCTTTCAGACCATCAAAAGTCCCCACCCTTACCTATATCCCAGCATGTCTTCTGCTCCCATTCCCCCGACCATGAAGGCCCTCTTTCAAGAGACCAAGAACGGTCCTCTCGTCCTCAAGGAGGTTTCAACCCCCGAACCTGGACCCGGTTCTGTCGTCGTCAAGATTCTCGCCAACCTCCTTCAACATCAGACTCCAGGTATCCTGGCTGGAGAAGCCGGTTTCACTTACCCCGTGCCTATGACTCCCGGTGGCCGAGCCGTAGGCAGAGTCGCTGCTATAGGACCGGACACAACATCACTACCCATCGGCCAGCTCGTTCTACTGGAGCCATTCATCCGCGCTCGCGACGATCCAGATACGTGGATCTTCTGGGGCGCAATGGAAGGCGCAAGTGAGGGATCAAAGAAGCTTTTTGCTGAGAATTGGCGGTATGCCACGTTTTCCGAGTATGCGAAAGCGCCTTTGGAAGTGACTTGGGCGCTGAATGAGAACCGGCTTTGTAAAGAGTTGGGATATACGATTCCCGAACTGGTGCAGTTATCCGTGGACGTTGTTGCATACAGTGGACTCAAGGGCATTGGGCTGACGGCTGGGGAGAGGATCATTGTCACGCCTGCTACGGGGATCTTCTCGGGTGCGGCTGTGGGTGTGGCAGTTGCGATGGGTGCTACTGTCTTAGCGACAGGACGAAATGAGCGCGCGCTTGAACGTTTAGTGTCTGCGCATCCTCAACTCGTCTCAAGGATCACACGGACGAACGACGTCGACACGGATATCAAAGCTCTGCAGCAGTATGGCCCCGTGGATGCTGTCCTTGAGATGACGCCCACAGGAGCTGAGGGAAGCACGCATGTTCGAGCAGCTTTCGGTGCACTCAAGCAGTATGGAAGAGTATGCATCATGGGCTTTGGTGGTGGCGCCATGAAGCATGTCGAGATATCGATGATGGAGTTGGTGTACAAGAGTATTACAGTTCATGGTCATGCCATGTACTGGGGACAGGATGTGAAAGAAATTATCAAGATGGCTGAAGCGGGAGTGTTGAAGCTTGGAAAACAGAGGGGTCACGATGCCGTGACTGAGTTTGGACTTGGTGATTTCGAAAAGGGATTCGACTGGGTTGGCGCAAACCATGAGCTCGGCCAAATCGCTGTATTAGTTCCGTAGCGGTGGCTGTGTTGATTTTGTAAATGGCAACCGAAAGCGGAAGGTGCGACGGCCGTCAAGTTGTCACCTTTGCATATTCAATATGTTAGTAGAATCACTGTATCTAATGCAAATGCTGGAACAAGAATTCCTTGATTCCCAGTCGGACTCGTACCGACTGTCCGATGTAGAAGGAGCCTGGCCTGTTGCAATCTGATATAGCCCTATGCTTTACCGGCTATCCTAAGTAAAGATCCCACTCCAAGAAAATGCAGCAATCCGTCATGGTTCGTGAACGTGTCATGACCTCTTAACGCCGTGTGCCGACTTGAATAAACCCTTCAACGATTGCTTGACAGTACGCCAGTCGCAGCTGCGACATGCAGTAGTTGTAGTCGTCGGAGAAGGATCGCCGGTCTTTTCCGCTAAAATCGAATTGGTCGTCGAGGTGCGCGTATCGCCGCCGCGGCTCGAAGAGCGTCTAGAGATTACGCTATCGGTCTTGAGGCCCACAGGAGTCTTGTCTTTACTTCGCTCGCGCGATGTCACCTGTTCCTGAGGCCTCTCGCACCCCTAATCAATACCGTGTTGTTTTTTGAGCTTTTCTAAGTTCTCTTGGCGCTCGGCGAGATCATTTGCGGCCTTGAGCATCTTATCTGGCTGGTGATATAATACTGCGACTGTCAGTGGTTGCTGTCTCGAAGACGCGCCTGCTACTTACCGACGAGGTATCTGTTCTGGAAGTTGAAGCCGTTCAGCTTGTCGCAAGCCGACTTTGCGTCCATTACATCTTCATAGACGACGAAGGCTGTGCCCTTGGTGTTGTTGGCGATTCCCTGGCGGATCTGGCTGTGCTGGAGTTAGTGACCTGGAGCGACGGTAGCGGGCAAGATGCGCCAGCGCACAAGGAAGACGACGTACCGCACGGGGCCGAACTTGCCAAAGAGGTCGAAGAGTTCCTCTGGGGTGACGTTGAAGCTGCAGAAGGGTCAGCGCATGGCAAATTAGATGGCTCCAGCTCCGACTGACCTCAGGTTCTTTACGAAGAGAGCTCTGTAGAAATGACATGTTAGCGCAGATGTCGTGTGAGTTGGTCGCACCAGCCTTGCGATTGGCACGCGATGCGGAGAAGGCGGACATACCGGTTGACTTCCGGTGCCAATTTTCCTCCTCGACTCATACTTTGGCGACTGAGATGGACGGTAAAGGGCGGCTGCTGGGTGTGTAGGCTTGGGCGGGTGGTGGGGAGGTTGTAGTGGGAAGTTGAGTTGGTGAACATGCGGGATCAATCATGGATGGCGTGCACGTCCGAGCGTTGGCAAGGCCGCATCACGTGGCGAACGCATATGATCGGGAAGAAGGAGCGACTCATGCAACGCCGAGATGGTGCTGTGGATGCACTGCAAGAGCGACACTGTCTGCTCATGAAGAAGCTGCATAGATGACGATGGAGGAGACGTAGTAGCGGTCGCACAAGGCCTAAGACAATGCAGCTGCGCAGCTGTAGCAGCTGGTGCCAAATAATTGAGCGCTCGAATCGGAGACGCGGACTTGCAGCGAATGAATGAAGCGGCTGGTCGACTCGGAGAGCTCCCACAGCCATCCAACCATTCGCACACTACAGACACATGCGCTTAGAGCTGCGTGTCGAGCCGCCGCATCTTGCCCTCTCCACATACGGCGCTCTGCGTGTGTTGCCGGCGCTGGCGTGGCCGAGTCTCTGGTTCAGCGATTGCCTGGGTGTCCGGTCGCAACATTCCCAATACAATCCCCGCCGACTTCTCCACCACCATCGTTCTCCTACCAAACCACCCCCTACACTCGTTCACCCTCGACCGCGCCAACCGTCGCCTCGAAGCAGGACATGCCCATGCCCGACTGCTCCTTCGTCCGTCTCTCAGCTTTTAGTGCCGCTGCTCCATAGCCGCGCATCTGTCTGAGACGCCAAACCGACGAGTACCTCGCACCTCCGAGGCCCTAGCCCACCCACCTCCGCACACACAACCACCATGAGACGAATCTCATCCTTCAAGGAGCAGTACAGACGAGCTTCGGCGCGGGCCCCTACCCCTCCGCCGCCCGTCTACGAGCCGCTGTCGCCCATCCTGTCGCCGACAGAGCCCTCGACAGCGCACCCCGCCGGCATTGCGAATATCCCAACCGCGTCGCTATCAAGCACAAGGCATATCAATGACGCTCTGAAAAATGCATCTGCTCTCGGAGAAGGCGCGCGCGCGTCTGCGGACCACCCATCGCCGGCGGTGACGTGTGGGCACTCGGCGCGCTCCGCACCTCCTCCGCCGCAGTATTCTCTGGCGCAGGCATCGCCCATTGAGGCCCTTGCGGATGCCGCTGTGACACGCCAGCATGCCATTCCGCAATATGTTGGCTATTCGCGCCATGCTTCATTCTCGGCCGCCTCGCCCACGACCGGCCCTTACCCAACCGGCGAACGCGCCCCAGCACACGCTCTGCCCAGAGACGCTTCATATCCTTTCGACGAGCGGCCTGCGAAGAGAGCGCGCTCCGAAGTCTATGGGTCTCCTCACTATGGGCAGTCTCAATCGAGACCTGCTACGAGTCATAACCCGGGCTGGTCCTACAACGTCGAGCAGATGGCAGATGGCGGCAGTCGCATGCACCAAAACAGTAGCGTACCAGACGACCGCCTTGTTGAAGCTCAGCTGTTGCTGGACTTCTTCAAAGTTTCCACACAAACTGCGCATTCCCCGCCCTCGACAGCAAAGCGGTTGACCATTCCACAAACAGCGCCGGCTGAACAACCTCCACACCAAATAAATCACAAGCAAGAGCCTGCAAATCCTTACGTCGCGCCACCGCCGCCGCCGCCGAACCACTACAGCCAGCCTACGCAGGCACCCGTCGACATGAAACACCCTTTAGAGGCACCCTCCGATATGGCCCAGACCACCTTGGCTGCGCAAACACATACACCGCCTGACGAAGCTCTCATCGTGGTTACACAGCCTGAGGTCGAGATGCAAGATGCTGTTCCTGCAGAAGAGCCAAAGGCAAAAAAGGGCCAGGGCTTGCCCAAAGGGAAAGGGCGCGCATCTCGTAGCACACCCTCAGCAAGTAGCAAACGGAAGAAGTCGACGCCCAAACCGAAGAACGCGACGTCTACAAGTACTTCTGGAGCCCCAGACCAACTCCAGTCGCCACTGAGTCTGCCTGCCGATCAGTCTGCTACCGTCGCAGCGGACGGCTCTGTGCCTACCGTATCTCAGGCTGAACCAGCACAAACCTCGCCCTCACAAGCCCGTCGCCATTCCTTCTCGACGTCGGCGCCAGCACTGCCAGACGGCCCGCCTCTATCGAACTACTCGCGTGCCAAATCGCTACCTCTCGGTCCTCAGACAGCCGTCCCAACTCCTGTTGATGCAGTCGCTCAGCTCGCACCTGCTCCGGTCGAACCAGAACTCATATGCGCCCACTGCAAATCGTCCGAATCACCCATCAAAATCGGCGACGGCGAGCAATGGATCGGCTGCGATGGCTGCAAAGAATGGTATCACTACCCTTGCGCTGGTTTCAACAGCGAACGGGAGGTACGGGAGGTAAACAAATTCTACTGCGAACCGTGTAGACCCAAGTTTGGTGAAACAACGAGTAGGTCTACCGACGCACATTGGGCTTATAGTTCTAACATGGTCCAGAGGTTCGTAAATCCGTCAGAGCCCACACAACTGTTGACTACGCCGGTCTAAACGAGGGTGTTCTCAAAACATCTGACGACAATCCGGAACATCACTACATCGCAGCTTTCAAGAATGGCGACATCGAGTTCACGCCGGAGACGTTTGCGCGCATGCCGGCGCAACTCATCACTGGTGACTTTCTCGAGAAGATGAATGGATTCAAGGAGCCCATTGTCATCCCTGGCGACATGAACACTCCGCCGGCGACAACAGAGGAGGCTGTTACTATGGAAGGCATCGATGGGCAGGCAGATGGGCCAAAACTGCAATACGAGTACGAGACAGTCGCCGATGACGGTCAGGACAGCCTTGACATGGTCATACCTAAGGGTCTGACCGTTCGCCGTGTAGCGGAACTGTACGGTCCAAATGAACCTGTCCCCGTAATTGATGTCAAAGCACAAGAAGGCGAAGGCAAGAAGTGGACTATGGGAAAGTGGGCAGACTACTACGAGCAACAAGGAGAAAAGCCTGTGCGGAACGTCATCAGTTTGGAGGTATCTCGAAGTAAGCTGGGAAAGCTAATCAGACGACCCAAGGCTGTTCGAGACATGGATCTACAGGACGCCGTGTGGCGAGAGGATGACAAGTCTGCGCCGCCACCAGTGCAGTTTTACTGTCTGATGTCTGTTGCGGACTGCTTCACCGATTTCCACATCGACTTTGGTGGTTCATCCGTGTACTACCACATCGTGAAAGGAAAGAAGGTCTTCTTCTTTATCCCACCAACAAAGCAAAACCTCAAAAAGTACGAAGAATGGTGTCTCTCACCGAATCAAGGGCACGACTGGCTTGGCAAACAAGTCAAAGAATGTTACCGAGTGGATCTGTATCCTGGAGACACCATGTTGATTCCTTCCGGTTGGATCCACGCGGTCTGGACTCCTGAGGACAGCCTCGTCATTGGAGGCAACTTCCTTACACGCATACATTACGGTATGCAGATAAAGATCTTGGAGATCGAGAAGAACACCAAGGTAGCTACTCAGTTCCGATATCCCTTTTTCCAGAAGATAATGTGGTTGACCGCCATCAAATATCTGGAAGAGGACCCTATTCCCGGTCCGGTCCAAGAGCTCCTACAAAGCGGCGAGCAGTTTAAGCGGTCGACACCTATCTACTGCGAGCCGGAAAAGTTTGGTCACAACTCACACCTTGGCGCACAAAACTACAACAAACGATACTACTCCAAGCACGAACTGGAAGGGCTGAGCGATCTGCTGAACTACATTTGGAGAACAGTCCTAATCACCGAGGGAAAGATTGATGTGCCACAAAAAACCCGAAGTGCTGTCAATAAATCGATCCCTAAGGGCCATGGCGAGCCGCTCGTGCTAGCGCGACGCTTTGCGATGTGGATTGCATGGAAGCGTGGGAATGAGACTATACCATCTTGGGCTTTCTCCGATGCTGTCCTGCCCGAAGTAATGGAGACCACCGAAAAGAAGCTGAGTGCTGCTCAAGTGAAGAGGCTGGAGCGCGAGACACTCCATGAAGCCTTACGAGCAACGGCAGAGAGGTCTTCGGCTCGTATTAAGGCCTCTGACGTCATCCCTGAGCCTTCACCCCCAGTAGAGGTGGAGAATTACAACCACTTCGATATGGTATCTGTCACTTCCGGTCCACTGACTGGTTTTCTGCGACCATCGGCAAGTAACCCGCACATTACGACACCGAAAACATCTCAGCTTGGCCCGAAACGTGTTGCATGCGATGCGTGTAGGAAACGCCGAATCAGATGCAAACACAAAGATGAGCTGATCGACACATCGAAGCCGGGCATGCACACCATCGACCTTTCTGGGTCATATGGCATATCTGTCAAACGTCGGCTTAGTGATCACTCCGTGGCAGATAGTTTATCCAATGCCGCTAACGGGCCAGTGAACGGCGGTCCAATCATGGCTGACGTGAACGGCGACCCTTATGCCCTCAAATCCGGCAGAGTCAAGGCGTGTGCTGATTGTAGGAAGAGCAAGCGTCGCTGCATACATGACGAATACGGCAACGTTGATCCTGTCAAGGCCAACGAGATTCCCATTCCACGTGGTTCTGCGTCAAAGAAACGAAGGGTCAGTGACGAAGACACAGAGTCAAGAGCGAAACGGATGAGACACGAGTCTTCATACGATGACGAATATCTGCATGGAGACATACACACACGACATTCACTGCCAAATCAATTTAGCAGTGGTTCGTCGTTTCTCCAGGAGATGGCCTACTCCGCCCAGCAAGCGTTGGACCAAAGCCCCGAAAATGATGATCTCGCGCCTGTCGACCCTGCCCTCCAAGCGTATACCAATGGCGACTACAATCATGTGGATATGGCCAACTCGTATCACACGAATGGCGATACCGTCATGTCATCAGTCGAGTATCAGCCGATCGACCCGATGCTTATGGACGGAATGGAGCTCACAGGACACAACGGAGGAGTACACGGTCCCAGCGTAGAGCCGCTCACACCGGGTCCGCCGCCTCACAACGATACCTCACAGACGCATACAAACGGTTACGTCTCGAAGCCTGGACCAGAAAATCACGCCGTCCGCCACCCATCATCACCAGTCTCGCCCAGACACGTCTCCGCAGCATCTCCTCCAATAAACACCAACAACAGTAACCACCGTACCTACAGTCCCTACATAACCTCCCCCGCTACAAACAACTACAACAACTTTACCACAAACTCTGATTTCCCTCCCCCACCCATCACACCCACGCTCAACAGCTCATACAAAGCTCGTACACAACAGTCGTCAGGCCGCAAACCTAGCCACACGCCCTCGCGCGCTGGTCGCAACAGCAAGACGCCTAAATCAACGCCTAGCAAGCGGCGAGACAACGGGACTGGTGGGATCAAGCTCGAACATGGTATAAGCATGGGTACGGGCATGGGCATCAGCGTGGGCATGAATGGAGGTATGGACATGAGCAACATGCTCAACATGATTGACCCAAATCTTGATCAAGCGAGCTTCGATCTCATCAAGCAACTGCAGCAAGAGGATTTGGGGTTAAGAAGACGAAGTCGTTGACCTTTCCGTCTCTTTGTCTTGCATGCCACTATCACCAAAGGCCTTTCTCTCCTTTTTATCTTTCCTTTCCTCTCGTTCTTTGAGTTTTCACAGTTTCGACTTTCCTTGTTCTGCATTGATTTGGGACACCGGCGTTTACAACATATCTCTGTAACGGGATGAATGGATTTGCGCGGCGTCTTTGCTTATACCCCAACTACTTGACACTGGGATAGTGTATATTGCAACCTTTCTTTTTCTTTTTCTTTTTCTTTTCCAGTCACAAGGAGGGGAAGGAGGCGTTTGTCAGCCAGCGTGGACTGTGCTTTCTTATTGTTAGCGGCAGGTGGGATGCATGTATGGTATCATAGATGATTGGAACTAATCGACCTATCATGGAAATGGAAACATGTTCAAACGAAGTCGACCCAAAGAAGTTTGATGTTAGTAGATGACATAGTCATGTGCCCACATGTATGCTCGAGGTAATACGTAGTAATCTGCGCTACCACTCTAATAGGAAATGTCACAGTGTATGCATTTTGGGTATATTCTTCTTGTGTTCCGTCATTTCATTGGACATGTCTCGTCGTAATATTGTTTCAATGCTACACTGCAGCAATCATGAGCTGCCATCTGCCTGAATTCGCCCAGCGCTACTATTGGGTGACTTTCAGGCCCTCCTGTGACTTTGTAGTCGCCTACTCCAACGCACTAGTAACATTGGAGAACTCGCCCTTCTTGAGCTTCGTCTCCCAGAAGATGGGATTCGTGTCGTTGAAGCCGTGCTTGACCCAACCATCCTCCTTGACGTGGTACAGGTTGATGAAACCACCAGAGTACGCATCCCTGTGGGTAGCAGCGAGAATACTCCTTCGGCCAAGCTCGAGCGCCTCGTCGTCCTCAAGATCGTACTTGTACTGTGCGTCAAGCACACCGTATGCGAATGTCTGACCGGAGCCGACACAGAAGAGGTTGCCGGCTAGACGGGTTCCGTCGCTGTCGATGTAGTAGAGGGCGGGGCCTTCTTGTGGGGTTACGCCAGCGCACATGGTTCCCTGAGGGTAGAGTGTTAGTTCAGCAAAGTAGATGGGTTGACGAGGAACGGGAGAGACGTACCATACTTAGACCCATGCCCTTGTATGAGTAGACAAGATTGGCTAGGATCTTGGAAGCTGCAGCGACGGAGATACGGCGCTTGTGTCGGAGTTCGTGGAGGCGACATTGCATGCCTAGGTATGCGAGCCAGTATTGGCAGTCAGCAGCGCCACCAGCCATGGTTCCTAGCAAGCAGTTGTTGATCTCGATGACCTTCTTGACCGTCTGACTGGCTATCCAGTTTCCAGCTGTTGCACGCGAATCGGTGGCTACGATGATGCCACCCTTGAAGCGGAAGGCGAGGGTTGTGGTACCGTGGGCAATCTTGATGGGGCAGTTGGGGTTGGAGTAGTCGTCCGTCATTGCGCGGAGCCATGATGCTGACTGTGTTGTTGTTAGTACGTCGCGCTCTCTATTGTAGAGGCATGATAGAGCGTACCTGGGCGACCGGTGGTAGGGCAAACTTGAGGGACAGCTCTGGGGTGCCGCTGTAGAGCTGCAACTGCTCTTCCTCTGACGGGCCTTCCTCTGTGTACGCCGGTCGGCTATACTGCGACACTAATGAATCCATGGTTGCGGTGATGTGTACTGGCGGAGATCAGAGGGTATTGGAGACGTGATCGAGTGGTCGCGGTGGGGTGGTTTGGTTGTTTGGAGTGGTGATGTGAGCTCCAAGCTCCGGCGTTGTCGGTAATGCCAAGACATAGCCGCGTCCTAGCTGTTGCCTTACTGTCTACTACACCACACATTGCTGCTCTTTCAACCGCCTTTGCGCCTAGGCTTTAGTAGAGCAAAAGAGCCACATTAGTTGCTCTGGCCTCTATCACACCCTTCTCTCTTCGCTATTGACTTCGCAGACACCGCCACTTGCACAGTAGCAGCCGTGATGAGCACTGCGCGTTCGTCGCGCAACGTCGTTGACTATCGCAATAGCACCGACTTTTTTTTTTTCAAAGACAAAGAGAAGGGAGACACAGTAGGAAGAGTTTCTGCGCGACCATGTTGCATTCTTACATACGTCATCCAGTAGTGCAAGTCCTCTCATCAACCAAGGCACCAACGGGCGTTGGGGCTCAAGCGTCACATGCCGCCCGTTGAGACTTGAGGTCAGGCAAGACATCGCGACCACCCACGCGCTCATCTCCCACCCTCATCAGCCTCCGTCACTCGCCCAGCCGACTTGAACACATGTTTGCATTGCCTATATGCAGGCACCATCAACAATCATGCAGGCACCGTTCTTACCCACTGTCTCATTTGTTCCCTTCACTACTTGCAGATGTGCGGCCCGCGTGCAAGTCCGGCGCTGCGTGCATGATGGTAACGAATGATCTTTGAGGGCGGTGTTATATACATACAAGGACGCCTCGTTAAGAAAAAGTAAGAAAGGATCTGATCATATGTCTATTGTGTGTCAGTCGTAGGTTAAAGTACCGCCTGTTTCCATTGTCTTGTCTTCTTTCAAGTCTTCTGAATGCCCCGATACAACACAACACCTTATTCGTACTACCAGCCCCCGAGACCGCCTTCAAGCTACACGCCAGCCTTTTCTTATACTGGTTACCATCGTCTTGCCCCGCCGACAGCACTTCACCCCTTGCCCACGCGCATCGATTCTGGTGTCGATATATCCTCGACACGCAGCAGACATGTGCTGGTTTACCCTAACACCAGCCAAAGGGGGAAAGCAACATCGCCCTTCTACAGACTCTTCATGTGTGGAGGAACTCGTTCGCGTCCATCGTAGTCCAGCATCGCCGCGTTTCAGCGACGTTCGCGTCAAGGTGCCTAACATAACCCTCGAGGTGGATGAAAAGGGCGGACACCATCACGCGCACTTTGACGCACACCTGAACCATCACCACAGACATCCGCATTTGCACCCACTGCACATGCATCCAATTCACGGCCATCATCACCACCACGACCTTAGTATGTCCGACATTACAGAAGTTCGCCTTCGAGGCCCAGGCAGACAACGCACTATTTCAGCCCCTTGTCCCCCACCACCAACCCGCGAGCCATCTCGTTGCCCGCCAGCTTCTCGCCCTCGCCCTCGTCAACCCACCTACCATACCCAAATCGTTGAGCCGACAACAAGTACAACAACAGTCCGAGAAAGCACCCGCGCCGCTCTCCGCAGCGTCCAACAAGAGCGAACGCGAGGTGCCTTACGCAGAGTTGCCGGTTACGAAGTCCTAGGTAAACATACCCCGTGGGACTGGGATTGCATAAGTAGTACCGTGGGAAGTAGTGCAAGTGGAGGTGGGAGGTGGATGAGGAGGAGAAGACCAAGTGGATTGAAGTATCCGCCGTTCGGGACTATGGATCGGTGGATGTAGTGTGTAGTTCCCTTTGTTTGAGGGCGATTTGGAGTTTATCCGCTGGGTTTGGGAATTTGGAGTTTGGTTTTTATTGTGGTTATATACCCCCATCACGAACATTAATGAACATTTTCATACCTGTGCCCCCATATCACCTTCTCTTCTCGACATACACCGGCCATGAATGCGGAACAGCCGTAAAGTAAGCTTTCCACTGCCAGTTTTGCGTCGAGTCCACCTGTTTGATATTGTAATCCCTTACCAACGTCGCCGCAATTTTGGCGAGCTCAATCTTGGCAATATTTTGTCCTGGACAACCACCGTAACCTGCTCCAAACTATGCAGATCAGTCAGCATGTATTTCCAGCCCCAAAAGACAGATTAATACGAAACAAGCGGCTCTACTCACAGGCATCCAAAACTTTTCTCTTGTACCACTGTCTTCTTCTAACCACCGCTCTGGTCTGAAAACATGCGCATCGGCACCCCATATCTCTTTTGAATAATGTATAACCCATGCTGCGGTTGAGGACAAAGAATCAGCTCAACCAGCAGATGGGATGCTCGAGATCTCTATACTCACGGTTGATTGAGATAATGGTTCCCTCAGGTATAGTACGATGGCCAATAGTCAACCCTCCCTTGGGCGCAATACGTGGAAGACCCATAGGTACAGGACCAAAGACTCGAAGAGCTTCTCTTACACATGCTTGAACGAACCTGTTTAATATCAGTTTGAAACAGCTTCGTGAGCAGGGTTTGAGGACTGCCTTCTTACCCAAGTTGCTGTGCGTCAGCATAAGACACCACCCGATCTCTACACAACCCCTCCTTGACTGCTTGAGCAACCTCGTCATGAGCGCATTCCCATGCGTTAGCGTGACGAATCATGTGATAGATAAACGACTGTATTCCCGCAGCAACGGTATCAGATCCTGCTCCTACTGCAGCAAGTGCCTGGGTATTGATCTCCCGTATGGTGAATCTATTCGGATGTCGCTCATGTTGCTTGAGCCAGTATTGAACAGCATCATAACGGGCATTCTCATTCTCTTCCCTTTCTGCCAAAACGGTTTTAACGGTGTCGAATAAATGGCCCATTGGTAGTATGGAGAGCCAGGTCATGATCGGGTTAGCCAGCAGCGCAATGTTGATCCAGCGGAAGTAGCCCGCTACTGCAACGTATGCGTTCAGAGCAAGGGAATTCTCGATTGAGTTGCCAATGTCTTTGCCTTGGTCAAGGAAGCCGAAAGACTTCGAGAAGACGACTTCACCGATGACGTCAAAGGTTGTGTATGAGATGAAGGTGTTGAGATCCATTGGTTTCTTGTCTGTTGCATATTTGTTCATCCATTCGAGGAAAGATTCAAAGGTGCGGTCGATGTGCTCTTCCGAACGGAGTAAGTTAGACACGGTGTATGCCGCAGCGATGTGCTTCGACTTTTCGATCTTCTTCCTGGGGTCTGTGGTACTCATGGGCGATTGGAAGCGGTAGTCTGGCAGAGCATGAATTTTGTACCAATTTGCCTTGTGATCATGTCAAACATTCATTCGATCAGAGGTCTTGTCTGCATAATACCTTGTGAAGGAGAGCTAGTAAGATCTTCGCAATGGCATCTGGGTGACTGACGCTTACTTCGTCGTATGAAATGCGTACGAAGTGACCTAAAAGGTCTGTGAGCGGATGTCCAACGACAGATAGCCTTACACATCGTATAAGCTTACCATGTTGTTGGTGTAGTCGTATCAACTCGAGGTTTTGATCACCCTTGAGGATACGGTGCATATGCCAAAGGCGGGTAAATGAAGCAGCAAACGGCCCAGGTATATCGCTGATCGCTGAGAAGTACCGACGCCATGTGAGCAGGGTCAAGAGACTAATGCTTGCAAGAGAAATGATTAATAGCCAGTCCATATCAACGTTGTAAGTATGACCGAGAGCTACTTTGATTTGTACAAAACCTTGAGCCTCTGATTATACGCGAGCTGGAAGATATGCTGCGGCACAGCGAAGTGGGATGGAAGTCTTGGGCTCGGATCTCGAATCAACTAGGAATAGTGTGATGCAATTCTAACCCAATCGATGCTTTAGCGACATGTGACTGCAAGTAGCACAGATTATGCCCTGTTAGCGTGGACAGGGACGGAATCCTACAAGCTTCTCCAAGAAGACATGACCACAACACCAGGCTAAGCAGTAAGGGCTGCGATTTCAAGATCAAGGTATATAGTACTACAGCGTTTCGAATCATAAACCAAGTCTATCGTAGACTTCCGGTGCAGCTTGCTTGTTGTAGTGAGATGTTAGGTGATCCTTGCGCATCTACATCAGTCATAGCAACAGTCGGCTGCCGTCGCAAACTTCCTGGGTTGGTGGAATGCAGCCCCTGAATCTCACCTGTTGTTAATCCTTGTTGTTTGAACTTCCCTTCGACGAGCTCTTCTTGCGACTCGTTAGTGGTAAGACCATTCTCCAACCTCGTAATGGACCCCATAGAAGAGTGCTTGTTTATGTCGCCCCGCTTGCCTCTACGTATAAATGAGAGGGAGTATGGTTTCTCCAAGGATGGTTCATCACTGCCGGCTGAGCTGTGTTTACCTCTGACCTTAGTCCATAGTGCTTTCATCGCAGGAAGATTAGCCGCGACAATGGCACATTGGACCTCGAATGATGCAACAATGACCATCTTGCCTACATCTATCGAGGTATCTGTCTTCACCGAGGACACCGATATAAGGACGGGTAGGCGGAGGATCGCGACAGTGACGGAGATTATGCCAAAAGCGAGAACGGAGATGACAGTGACTTTGCGACGTAAGTTCATTCGGAGCGACAGAACGGAGGGTATCGGAAGGCAGATGATATAGAAGTCCATAAGAATGTTCTAGAGAACTATGTGTTAGTATCTACGCAGTATGTAGAGACGACGGACTGTAATGCTACAGTACTGAGAGTCAATACGTACAAGAATAGGTGGAGTGAGCATGATAGTACGCATGTCGATGCAAGTAACCTCGGGATGCAACATTGGATTGAGGATTTTCTCAAAAGGCACGCATTGCAAGACTGTCATAAGCCTAGGCACTATCAGTCTACGACGCTGTGAAAGGTAGGACATATGACTTACAGGCTAGATAGAAAGACGGATAATGCGAGCGCAAAGCCAAGATAAACTAGGCTGCGAAACACCAGGTCGACAGAGAGTCGTAGGTAGAACAAAAGGAAGGTGATCTTGATGACCGAATGCGCGCCGTAGATAACAATCTCTTCGATAAACGCTGTCTGTGTCCTAATTTAGTTCTTGTGTCTCTTGAGATGGTGCTATACTGAAGACTTACCCGAAGAAGATCGAGGGACTGAAAGCTGCAGTTCAGATTGCCCGGCCTGTTGCAGTCAAACGGTAAGTCTTCGCCATGCCTCGAACTTTCACACTCCAACTCACTTGCCACATCCTAGATTTAGGAACATTTGCAAAACAACTTGGTGAACGATACTAACAATCTGGCATAGTAAGCAGTGGTAGAGACTTCGTAGGTCGGTTATAGTGTACCAGTACAGCACACGAAGCTGTATCATCCCAACCCCATGATTTTAAAATCAGTGCGCGAGAGTAGAAACGCGCAATAGACGACAATAATCCGATAGAGAAGATAATGTAAGCGACAACATATGCCCATTCATAAAGATCTATTGCCATGCTACGACAGCAGATTCGGGAGTCAGCGCCGGAGAAGGGAGTAAACAGTCCACTACACAAGGCGGAGGCGAAGAGGCTCATTTCAGGTATGCCTGCACGAGGACCAAACCTCTACCCTACACGATGCCCAAGAACGCACTCATGCAAAAAAGAAATTACAGAACATCATCACGCCTCATCCGGCGCGCTGATTTGTCTGGCGCAACGGGATACACGCCACGGCACGGCATGCGGCACGATCCAACGTGGACCTTGTAAAGCCACATGTTTTCTTCGCCATCTTCGGAAATGTAGACGCTGATCATGGGTCATTAGAATACACCATCTCGGGCAGTACGCGTTTTCGGAACGCGAGGAAATGCTGAAAATGACGGAGTGGGCGGAGTGGAGTGGGCAGCTCGAACCGCAACGACGTGACACGCGGCAAGGTAACGGCGCCTCCGCCTTGGCAATGTTGGTGCGCACAAGCGATACCACTTTCGCCAAACTGCGCATGAAGACAAGCCTTTGGGGGTCGAAAAGAGCCACGAGCAATTGATCAGGATGAGGCGGAGAATAAAGGGACCGAATGATGTTTTGGAAGGCACACCAAAGTAATACGTCAGCACTTGCAATTGAGAAGACAAAAACCAATATCTCAAGATATTGTGAGGTCAATATTTATTATATGAATTCGTATGCAAACGCACCGATATATGATGAAATCTTCTGGCCTAATACTGCCAGGTAACGAATGCCTAAATCAGACATCTTTAACAAAACCAACCTCAATAACCTTGTCCATCGGAACACTTAAACTAGCAATCTTCGCCCTCGAGTTCTCCCGAATGAACAAGAAAGCCTCAAGGAAGAACCGTCTGATGATGTTTGTGCCAACCTTGACCTTCATTGCTTCTTTGCCGATGATGTACAATACCTCGTGGTTGTATGCGCGTTCGAGGGCTTCTAAACGCGCGGAAGTCGTTGAACTGCGTGTTGGAGTAGATACGCCGCTTCCAGCGACAGTCTCAACAGTACCGTTCTTTTCAGTCTGAACGCCTGTAGCCTTCGCAGGTATCTCACCTTCGCGTTCAAGAGCCCGTGCGACGATGTGGTTGCGAACTTTCTCATAGACGAGGGACGCCAAATCTGGTGTAATGACTTCGTCCATATACCCATGGCGTACTACTAGGCGGTAGCAGTTGGGAATTGCTAGTCGTGAAACGCTGTACCGATTGTCCGGGGCAACGAAAGGTACCTCTAGCGGCCGAAGATGGAAGAAAACGATAACTTCGGGGATCGTGACGAGCTTTCGAATGAACTGACTAAAGACAATAGGAGTCGTCTCTCCAGCTTTATCGAAAAAGATTCCGAAACCCTCCATGGTTCCGACTGATTTGCTGCCAAACATCTCGGTCAATTCAAGGCGGCCGTCTTGTAATGTCTTGACGAAGTGTGTTGTTGGGAAGCGATCGCTAGCTTCCGCACCCCACTGCTGCTCTTTGCCGAAACGCCAGAGGATGAATATAGACCCGAGAAGACAGGCCAGGAGAATAGTGAACCAGGCTCCATCTGGTACTTTGGTAAGTGCCGAGGATAGGTAGGCGCCGTCCAGAGCAGCGATAGTAAGCCACGGAAGAAGCACGAAATATGGCTTGATGCGCCACACCAAGATTGCAACAAGCGTGACCATGCATGTGTCGAAGAACGTGACGAACATGACGCATACACCGTACGCATTACCCAAGGATGTTGTGTTGTTGTAGATGGCAGCAACGAGCACAGTGCCGATCATGAGAAGCCAGTTGATGCTTGGAATGTACAACTGTCCATGGTACGTTGTCGAAGTATGAACAACCTTGATCTGGGGGAAGTACGAGAGCTTCATGATCTGGGTAAGAAGCTGAAATGTCGCGGTGATCATAGCTTGTGACGCGACAATGGCAGCCGCAATAGCTACGATGAGCGAGAAAATGAGCCATCCTGGTGGAGCACAGTTGTAGAAAGGGTTGGAGTAGGCCTCTGGGTGTACACTGATGTACGCAGCTTGACCGCTGTAGGCGAGGAGAAGACAAGGGTAGGCGTATCCAAGCCAACTGATCTGAACCGCACGACGGCTGAAAGCTCCAATATCGGCAAAGAGGGCTTCAACACCTGTGAAGGCAAGGAGTATACCTCCAAGGCTCCTCCATCCTTCATACTTGTTTCTTATTAGGTAGTCGAACGCATAGAAAGGGTTGAAAGCCTTCAAGATCGTATAATCATGCCTAGGACTATTAGTCAGGGGTACCATGACGCAACAAGAATACTTACTTGGCCAAGTTGTATATACCAAATCCAGCGTTCAAAGCCAGCCATAAAATGACAATGGGTGAGAAGATGAACGTGAGTTTCGTGATACCAAGCGGTTGTACGACGAACAAAAGAACAAGAATAGCGCATGTAACACCGATAATGGTGGACTTCTCGATGTCGGGCTTCACGACGTTGAGACCTTGTACGGCGCCCAAGACGGATTGAGCGGGAGTCAGCACGCCATCAGCCATGACCATCGATACGGCGAGTACGCCAATGACCTGCAGCAAGCCGCGAAAGAACTTGGACTTCTCAATCGTTGAGCGAATATTTCTCGTGGACCGGCCCAGATCGTTCGTATTGTGTCGCTGCATGCCTACAAAAAGGTCAGTATAGATGAGGAAATAGTGCAGGAAGCACACTCACGTATCAGGGTAGCTTCACGAGGATCTCTGTTGGCAATGTTCGCCTGCATGCATTAGTCGCCGAAGATCATGTGTGAGTTTGATCAGCATACATATTTTGAGAGGAGAGAGTATGTGCTGAATGTACCACCCTCTCCATCGTTGTCGGCGCGCAGAATGATCAACACGTATTTGACAGTGACCATCAAGGTGACAGACCATAGTATCAGCGACAAAGCACCAAGCAGATTGATTCGATTGGGAGCCTCTGTAAACGTCGAGGAGTAAACATAGAGGGGGGATGTGCCAATGTCGCCATAGATGACACCGGTAGATTGGTACGCGAGGACGAGGATCTGTGTGAGACTGAATACCTGCGTCCTGTTAGTAGGCTGGTTTCGCACCAGTCGTGTACGCCCTTACCTGGCTGCGTTTAAAATCGCGCTCATCGCGCAGACCAGCATCTTCGTCTTCCGCGTCTTCCAGTTCGCTAATCTTCGCATCTACGGAGGTCCTGTTCACATGCGACTTCGTGCGTGAGCGCATAGGGTACACTCCACCCACGGACTGCGTCCGGACTGGATGCACCTCTGCATCTGCGAAATGAATTGAGGTATCCATATTAGGCTGTGGGAGTTGTACGCGAAGACAGTAAAGCACTCTCGCAAGACTTATACCACCCCGTTATCTTGCCAGGACTGTGGCTGTCTGACAATCTCATCGAGTAACAAGCTCCTGCTACCGGCGCAAAGCTTTGGTTGGCTCTTAGCCTCATGCTTATCGTGAGAGCAAATTGCCCACGTGTAGTTAGCTGGATCATGTTTAGGCAGGAAGGCGCAGCACTGCGGCATTTTTCTTTGAGCGTCGGCGCGCGGGGTATGTAACTCGTAGAGCTTGCTTTTCGGCGCCGCAAAGGAAAATGTCGCATTTCCTTAAATCCCGCACCCTATGGGTTGTTACCAGCGGCGATGGCTAAAAGCAGGCTTTAGTCCTCGGATCCTGAAGGATACCATACTCAGGAACCTGACGAGATTACAATCATGCCATCATGATGTGGAGCAATCATCAACCGCCATCGTCAGAGGTCAGAGTCTGTACAATGTAGGCTTCTATGCGGGACGATCAGCTGAAGTTTGGCGCCAGTGTGGGATGTTTGTGTAACGGGAAGCTGCAGTGTTTCGCTCAGGGTGCAGCTAAGATCTCCATTAGGCCAATCACCAAACGCACTAAGACAAAAGTGGGTCAAACTGCTAATGCTTGGTCTGACCTTCTTCGCTGCCCGTGGGGTCTCGACTACGCGTCGAACAATCGCTGCCGCACTGCATCCGCCTCCATGAACAACCTAGTCTAAGCTTCACCCGACATCTACAGCGCAGCTTAGCAAGTGGTTTGTTCTGCTCGTGTTTATAGTATCTCTGCTTATAATGTGCATAAGGCCACGGGGATGACCTTAGCAGAGGCGTATGTGTATCTAAAAGCTGGTCAAACCTATAAACGCCCCCTGAGTCGCTCCTTCTATACTCGCTTCCTCCGATTCTATCACTCGACGTTGACTTCAACCCACTCATGTGGAACTGTTTTTATTGACAAGATAAATAAAGAATAGATCATGCTTGGATTTGTCTCAATGGCTTCTGGAGACGGGTTTAAGCGACAAGCGATTGTAGAGCACACACTCTTCAACTGGTGATGGCCACTACTATGAAACATTCTGAAAGATCCATTCCATGGGAATTCATGAATATATATATATATATATGTATTGTTCTAATATATCAGAAAGCGGTCTATGTACCAAATCGATGCCGCAAGCGACTCCCCAACTCCGCGTCATCACCGGGTATACCACGCTTAATTCATACAAGCACTGAACACATCGCTCATCTCAGCATCCTCTTCCATGTGTCTCCTATGCGCTGTGAGTAAGCCGAAGGCATCCACTTCTGGAGTATGTCCTATAACTCGTCGTGCGCATCTGGTTCGGGCATCTTGATAGGTTCCTGTGGCCTGTTCAACTCGGCATCGATGCTGACGCCCTTCTTCGCACGATACTTCTCCCAGACACTCCAGAATTCCTTCTCCATACTCTTTTCCATTTGATCGGGTAGTACGACCACGTATTCAACGTGCAAGTCACCAAACTGCAGGCCCTCGTTGTTCTCGAGGTGTTGGTGCCATATTGGCATACCTTCTTCTTTGACGATCTCAACGAGATTGGGTTGGACGACCTCGCCACGTTTACGTGAAAGTTGTACAATGTGGCCGTCCAGATGTGTGACATTACGTGTCCAACCACCCATCCATGCCTCCCGAAGAGAAAGAACTTCGCGCCAAAAGAGATCTTTACCTCGTCTTCTGAAGAAGGTTCCGTCTGTGCGCTCGTGCTCTTGTTCTCCCATTGCAGGCTCCGCCTCAGTGAGGTGTACGATGAGGTCGCCGGCAACGTAATCGGGACTTTCATCCGCTTCGTTCTCGTAGGTGACGCGTACACCCTTGGGCATGCCCTTCTCGATTTCGAGAGTGTGAGTTTCGGCTTCACGGATGACTCTGCTACCACTGCAGACAGGGCATGGATGCTTGATCGTCTTTCCTTTGCCGTGACATTGGTCACAATGCATCTGTACTTGCTGGAATAGGCCGGGTGCGAGTTGTTGTCGTTGGATCCTGACACCGCGTCCACCGCATGTGCCACATGTCTCTACATGCCCATCTTCCGAGCCTGAGCCCTCGCAGGCCGAGCATATCGCCTGTTTCTCGATTGTGAACTCCGTCTTTCGGCCGTTGTAGAAGTCGCGGAGTGGCAGTGATACTCGCACTTCCATGTTCGGCCCTCGGCGCTCTCCTCCTTGATGTCCAAAGTGTCCTGAGCCGCCGAAGAAGCGCGAGAAGAGGTCGAAGGGATCGTGTTGACGTGGACCGCCGCCTTGCTTGTGCTGTTGGATACCATCGTGGCCGTATTGGTCGTAGATCTTCCGTGTTTCCTTTTCACTAAGGATCTCGTAGGCTTCAGCTACCTCGACGAACTTCTTGCCCGCCTCATCGTCACCACTGTAAAAGGTTAGAGGTCTAGGCAGGATTCTGGGACTTGTAGCCGTACGGGTTCTTGTCTGGGTGGTACTTCTTGCTCAGCGTTCGATATGCCTTCTTAATCTCGCGATCTGAGGCATCTTTCTTGAGGCCTAGTAGCTACATCATCTATGTTAGCCAACACGCTTCAACTTGGAAGTGAAGTGAAGACCAAAGCAAATACAAATGTGCTCTCTGCATACCTTGTAGTAATCTTCTGCGCCAACAACTAGAAGTGCTAAACAGGCGACCACAAAGAACAGCGCTAACCGTAGGAGCATCTTGTACTGTGAATCGCGCCAACGGCGATGTCGAAGTTGCGAAAGTGAGTGGACGGAATATGAGTATCCGATGTAATTGCAAGGACAAACGTCTACATGAGTTCGCAGATATGAGGCGAGAGCAAGCGACGCCAAAAAGAAGGAAATGGAGTGTTGTGAATGGAAAGTGACTTGAAATGGGGAAGTTGCGAATGGGACACGATAGCAGTAACGTTGATTATGCGACCAATCGGAGTTAAGCCTTGGCATTACCGACTTCACTTTTCATGCGTAGCAATTCCAGCGCGACAGCAGTCAATTGAGGCTGCACCACCGCTCACGCCTCCGACTCACGATCAGACACGATACGAGGACGTATTGAGTTGCCGTCTTACTATACGGCCCTTGGAATAAACTTTTGCGTGCGCATCCCGCGCTAGGAAACCTCCGCAAGACCTCCGCAATTACCACACCACCCTCACCCAACTGCACATCCACCCAACCACCATGGCGTCGATAGCGACCAAAGCGGTAGCCGGCAAACCAATCGTTCCACAATGCCTCACGAGTCATAAAGTTGGCGTCGTAGTCTCGGCGGGCAAGATGTCCAAAGCGGTACGGGTGCGCGTCGCAGAACAAGAATGGAATAAGAAGTTCAGAAAAGTGCGTTGGCTCGAAGATCGCACACAAGACCATGCCAGTGCTGACGATCAAACAGCACTTCCCAGCCCCTAAAACATACATAGCCCGCGACCCTAACAATTCCGTCGTTGAAGGAGACATCGTGCGCATAACATCCGGACACCGCACCTCCAAAGTCATCCACCACGTCGTAACATCCATCGTCGCGCCCTTTGGCGAACCCGTAGAAAACCGACCACCAGTCCTCTCCCAAGCACAATTAGACGAACAACGCGTCAAAGAGCGATTATTGAAGGACGTAAGGGCAGCGGAGCGGGGAAGACAGACGAGCATCCAGAGATTGGCGCAGGCAAGGAAGCAGGGCTTAAAAATACCGACTCTTGAGGAAGCCATGGAGGCAATGAGGAGACACACTGAGGCAGAAAAGGCACGGGCTGAGGCGCACGATGGACAGGCTGGTCAACAGAAGACGGCGAAGACGAGAAGAGTGGAGCAGGGCAAGAAGACGAAAGCAGAAGTTGAGGCGGAGAGCAAGGTTAAAGCTGCAAGGAAGCAGACCGCATGAGGCAGATGTTGAGGGAAACTTTGTAGAACATATTGTGTACACATCAGACATAGCCAAAACTGCCTACACGGTGAGTAATGGCAGCGCATCGTTCAACCCCTACGTTCTCCTTGATGGTAATTATCGCCCACAGAGACCCGCAGCGTTGGGTTATGATCAATGCTCGGCTTTCACATTGGCTCTCATCTGTCTTACTACGTCACAATCAGTCTGTCGAACGAAGTCCTTGGCGCTTAGAACCGTTGTACAGATCCGAAAGAGACCATGTCATGCATGACATTGAAACGTCCTACCGGTGTAAGCATGAAGTAGCAAGTGACCAAACCATCAAGACAATAAGTTAGACCGACATGACATTTTAGTACATAGAGAAGTGATAGTGGTTGGGCGTGCTACCGCCCATGCTGCCCCAGATTTCCCTTTTACGATCCGCTGTCAAAAATCTTGGCGTGCCGGCATCCGAAATTCCCATGGTTTCTCCAGGCTTTTGCTTTTGGGGAGTGTGGTGAATTTCCATCGTGATAGGTGTACTGTTCTGGCACTAGGAATACTAGCTGGATATCTACAGGGTCGCTTATATATATAGTGGCTGGTCAAGAGGCGTTTGCCGGATACCCGGCCTGTTCTGTTCCAATATAACGGTAAACACGAAGAACACAAGCGGAGGATCATCATGCGCGAAGCAGACATATCGATTTGATGACATTGCGGTCAGCGCTTCCATTACTCCTTTCAGCATTCGCTCTTGGGCCGTGATCCCCATTGGTCCCAATGGCATACCACTTGGTGCTACTCCTCCTAAACGGTTAAAATGCAACTTATGTATAGCACCAGCACAGCCGACCTTGGCTGCTCAACAGGCGTTTGCCGGAGATCCGACCGGCTATGATACAATACCAGACGCGAAGGATGCAAGGCGGGTGCATTTGATCAGGTGCAATTTCGTAACGTCAAATCAACTTGAATGTTAGGACCAGATGAACAAGCAAGCAGGTAAGATATCGACTGACGCACATGGGTCGCCTTGTATTTTCGATGGGGTACAAATTGGGACATGAGAATCAGCACTCATTGTTATTCGTCTTGACTGATCGCTACATCTCCCATACCGATCACTTTTCTCATCCGTGTTGTGTTACCAGTCATGTCTGCAGCTACAAGCATAGAACTATTTAGTACCGACATTCCCATCTCCGAACTACCTACTCCTACCCTCCCCAACAGTCCCGGCCCCAGTGACTTCGTCATATCAAACTGCTCCCCCTTTGGTTCATGGAGCTTGCGTCCTGCGGACGTTGCACCACCCTACTGCGCCTATAACCACAACGAAACCATTCCCAATCTATCGTCATGCTGCAAGGAAGGTGCTGAGGTCCATGTTTATGGGGGTTGTGTACAGTATGTCTTTTCCATTCTCTTCGTCTCTATCTCTCTGCACGCGGCTCCTGTTTCCATCATCGTCTGCGCTCTTGTTCCTCTTATAGCTTCGTTGAACTAATAACAATTGATTGACAATATACTGACACCATCGCTCGACAGATACTGCGAAGTAGCAGAAGAAGACCAGGAAGCTTGGAGAGAGTGTGTCATTGACGTCTTCCCCGAGTCTGACGTCGAAGGCCACGGCTTTCCTTGTTACTTTGGTGAAGATAATGATTTCCGTGTTCAGAGTACCAGCAGTGGGATCACAACGCCGACAGAGAGTGCGACAGAACAGAGCACTAGCGGCGAGACTGCGACGCCGACAGAAAGTGCGGCGGAGCAGAGCGAATCTGCGAGCCCTGATGACGACGAAGGTGAGCAAACGCATACCTTGCCGGTGCTATCATACACTAACTCTTTGAAAGGTGCAGCGAATATGCACCGCCCATCTTTGACGATTGTAGGTTGGATGGTGGCTTTCCTTGCTGTAGGTGCAGGCTTCATGGCTTAAGCAGTACCCTTTGCTTGTGCTAGAAAAATGGAGACACCATATCATATGTCATATACATCAATGTACCCTATGCAACCCCAAACGCCAATGCTTATCCACTCCGATCCAACCCAACCCAGGGTATCATTGTGTTCATACAGTCGTAAAGAATCGAACATGAAACATAAAGACGCAGCTTAAGCGTTTGCTTGAACCACCTTGAAACCTTCAGAGACCATTTTCTGTATCTCTTCATCCTTGTGCTGAAGTTGACCCAATGCGTACGCGACGTCGTTCCACTGCCTCTCATTCTCTGCTCGTGGGAGCCTGGATGCGAGTTTTGCGGATAGCTGTTTGGCGTGTTTGTCCTGATAGTGGTCAGTATCCGAACAAAAGCTTAGGATAGAAAAGTGAGCATACCTTCTCGATAAATCCCGCCAGGAACTTGACAATCCTCTTCAGTGCATCCTCGCTTAGCGCTGAATCGGCACTAAGTACACTGAACATGTCGATGAACTGGTTGTACACAGCATTGTCCTTGGTTGACAATTCAGTGAAGAACATGCGTGCCATGTCTGCAATCTTCTTGTCGCTGTCTTCAAGGCACTTGGCCATCTCGCCTAGCTGACCCTTGACCTTGACCTGTCCAGCTAGAATCAGGAAAGTGAGAGTCATGAGACATGTCCGCTTGACACTGGGGTCGCCGTCGTTCAGACGGCGGTAGAGGAAGTCGGTGTTCTCATCAATGAGATGGTTGAAACAGACGGCCATATCACCAAGTGCCACGACAAGATTGCTACGTACAACTGCATCTTGACTTCGTTCGAGAATGGTAAGAAGCAAAGCAAGGTTAGTCTCACAATACTCTGAGCTGACACACATGAGCTTGGCTAAGCACAGTGCAGCTTGCGCTTGCAGCGTGGGGTGGTTGTACGACGTGTTGTTGGCGCAAATGTCTGCTACGAGCGGACCGAAATTCGCTAGTAGTGAGTGTGGGCCATATAGGAGTTCACGTTCGCGCACATGCGCAATGGCTTCGGTGAAGTCATCCTCATTCGTTCCCGCCATAAGTTCCAGATCATCTGCTTCCTCGGGCGCTGGTGTTGGCTCTTTCGTAGATCCCCTCTTCCTGCCCTTCTTGAGTGGTGTGGGTCCTGACGAAGCCATGGATTGCCGAGGTGTCGCTGCTGTCTTCTTGTCCTTCTCAGCCTTGCGGCGCTTGAACTCAAGTTCACAAAGCTCCAAGTGAACAATTTGTTTGATAGCAATATGTCCGACGACGAAGAGCAGTTGGGACAGTGCAAGGGCAGAGTTCTGCTTCTTTGCCTGTGGTTCGTCGATAGCAGGCGCATCGGGCATCTCCTCATCTATTTCCATTGGTTCCGCGGCACTGGAACTCGACGTTGGTCGCGACTGAGCTTTGACATGCCCCCCAAATACTCGCTTTGTGACCTTGCGGATGATCTCGGAGCACAGCACGTCCGGATGTTTCGAAAGGACATAGATGGCACTAATGGCTTGTTCCGCTACCCCATACCATTCCTTACTTTCTGACGTCATTTCGGTTATAGCAGCTAACCTGACTAGAACTGCGTGATCGTTTGGAAGCTTGACAGTCTGTATCGGTGTGTCGTGTGCGGCCTGCCTTCCAGGTGGAGGACTCATGCGACGCAGCGCTATGCAGGTGTAGCGTGCTAGGCCTAAGTCTCGTCGACCTAGCTCCCCAAGGCCGATCCGTAGGCACGCTTCCATCTCTTGTTGGATGATGTCCGGAGATGAGAGTGCCAACATGCCAAGAACAATGATCGCTCCACGACGCTGGTTTTTGGAGATGTCCTTCTTCTGGTATCCATATATCTGCCAAAGCTTCTGGATGACCAGTTCGTTGACCAGTCCCTGTTTCTTCATGGTACTGAGAAGTTGCTCGAGAGACGTGAGTTCAGCGGGAGTTGTGCCAAATGTGAGACTGATCATGTTTTTCGAGATATAGTTGGCAACTGCGTTGGCATCGAATCCAGGTGGCGCATCGAAAAAAAGGCCTTTGTAGCATTCCAGCAAGTGTGTTTGAACACCCTTTCCTTCGTCACTGTTGCCCTTGGTCCAGATAAGGCGCAGCATCCTCCGTATACCGAGCTTAGCATTCGCGATCTTGTAGGCGTCGATGGTCACGAAGAAGTCCATGGCCTCGATGACTTCGCTCTTGTTCTTGGACGACAACAGCTGAGTAACAATCTCAGCGGCATCGTCGATAACTTCAATGAACTTAAGCGCTTCAAGTAAGTACTTGCGAACTGCCTGGAATTTCTCAAGCTCTTGCGCAGTTGCAGCATCTTTCTGCGCCTTCTCAATCGCAGCGGCTCTCTCTTCTTCGGACATCTCGGAAAGATGTTTTGGTCCTTGGTCATCTCCGTTATCAGCTTGGGTTGCGTCTTGTAGCAGAGTCTCGTCTACAGTCTGGTCACCAGGCGCACGCTCCCGAAGTTCTTCCGGAGGTTGTAGGGCGTTGATCTGAGCGTCGACATCGTCCAACCTCCGTGTCCAATCTTTGCTCGATAGTAATCCACCGTCAAAGGTAGTGAACGGGTGAGTTGAAATAAGCTTCGCGAGCAGCTTGACTGCGTTGCGACGTACGTTGCTGCTCTTATCTTCCAGGCTACGCGCGGCAAGTTCGGCGACCTTCTGTCTGCGTTTGGTATACTTCTGATCTAAATCGCAAAGCCTGATATAAACTTGCATGACTCGTGCCCGACAGTAGGGATTGATGTCAAGGAACCTGTCCTCAAGTACATCAAAGAAGATGCGGATTTGCGCTTTATGATTCTCGCTGCGGTCGTCCTGGCTCAGCTTGCTAAGCATGATGATCAGATTTCCACAGACCTCGATAAGGGCACAGCGAAGGGTATATGATTCGCTATCGAGCAAATTCGCGAGCAACGTCATCTGGCGAATGACAAGGTGGGGAGTGAGCTCGGAGATCTTAGTAAGAAATGTCGAGATGGATTTTGGTCCCTTCAGGTCGGTAGAGCTGAACTCTTTGCTACTGATGTCCTTCAAGACATCCTCGGTGAGTTGTGGGTAGTCGAAAGCATCGGCAAGCGTGAAAAGAAATTCAGCCATGGGTTCTGACAGGTGCTCGAAGTATGTCAAGCTCTGGTTGATGGACGTCTGGGCAGCTACCACAAGTGTCAGCATAGGCACCCACAAGAGACTTCTCACACCTACTGTAAGCATGTCCATGAGATTTGACAGCAAAGCACAAAACCCTGAAGCAGTGATTCCGTATCGCATTGTTCTTGACTCTTGCCTCGTTTTCGAGGATGTGGTATACTGGCTTGGTGAAGAGGCCAATGAAGGTGTCCCGCTCTGATGTGGTGACGAATATGCGACCCAGCTTGAGTCTCAGCACTTTGCTCATTCGATCGAGAGCCGTCTCAAGTTGTGCTGAGGCGTCCCAAACGACGTCCTTGCCGCCACCAGACTTGGGCTTTGCAGCCTTACCCCGCCCCCTCGCAGCTGGTGCAGAGGCTGATTTCTCGAGCGCCCTCGTCTCGACAGCGGAGATGGTCCATCTGAGAAGGAAACCGTACATTTCCAGTAGGTTCTTGTGGTGCGGTATTGCATCTTGGTCTTCGGCTTCGAGGTCTGCGTGGATGATGTCGGCTTGCGTGGACAAGGCGGAGGTTATGAGGTCGAGGATCTTGCTCAGGATGGCGGGTGGTATTTGCGACGAGTGCCTAGATAGCCGGAACAGGTTACTATTGGGCTCCCTCTCATATGTTCTTGTATCTTTTGGATACGCGGGGACGCACTTCAAGAGGAATTGCAGCGTATCAAATACAGAGCTGCGAGTGATCGCATCTGGGCTCTCTGCCACAGCATCGACCACAGGGTTTAGTTCGCTGTTGATCAATCCGGGCGACGACAGCGATTCTGGCTCATCTTCGCAGTCTTGTAGCGCTTGCGGGGCTTCGGGGGTGGGAATCTCTGCAGGGTCGCTGTCGAACAGCTTGACCGCCTCATTGATGTCAAAATCCACCCGGTTGTCCATGATGGTCAGAGTCGCTTGGGGAAATCAAGAATCAGAAACAAGGAGCGACGAAATGAGCGCCGGGGTAGGGTGGGGTTGCTTGCGCGGTGAAAGCGAAGATGCGGCCGCAACCGTCGCACCTGCCGCCAAAGCGCGTGGGTGTTTATCGGCCCGTGCGTTCTGTCATCAGTATGCCCCTTTCGGTTTAGCAAGACAGGGTCCAACGCGTCTGCCGCCGTCCACACCGCGCACAAGATTCGCGCTTCGTCCGGCACAGCTTCACAAGCCACCACTACAATGGCAAAGGCACGCACATCACTGCGCCATGCAGAGACCATCGACGTCCACGAGGACGACATGAGGGAGGACGAGGCCGAAGTGACCCAGGACGAAAGCATGAACCCGCTCGAAGAAAGTGGGCGCACCATCGACAGCAGCGACGAGGAAGTCGAAGACTCGGTTCAAGAAGATATGGCGCGCTTTGAAGAATCATTCGCCGGTATCAACAAGCGGTTCCGACTTATCAACCGCATTGGAGAGGGTATGTCTTGTATCATTGGCTTGCGACATGCAGGGTAGCGGGCTCGACTAACACTCTCGCACAGGAACCTTCTCAACCGTGTACAAGGCTGAGGACCTCGAGTATACAAAGTACAACAACAACTGGGACATCGACGAGCGAGAGAGAACCAAGTCCATGCCCCCAGCACACAAGAGGCAATCCGCCCGGAAGCCCCACTACGTCGCCATCAAGAAGATTTACGTCACGAGCAGTCCGATACGCATCTTCAACGAACTCGAACTGCTGTATGATCTGAGAGATTCAGACTCAGTATGTCCCCTCATTACCGCCTTCCGCCACCAGGACCAGGTTGTTGCTGTATTGCCCTACTTCCAGCACCGCGACTTCCGCGATTATTACCGCGACATGGACATTTCTCATATGCGCTGCTACTTCAAGAGTCTGTTTACAGCACTAGCGGCGGTACACCAGAAGGGCATCATTCATCGCGATGTCAAACCTACCAACTTTCTCTACAACACGTCGCAGTCCCGTGGAGTTCTTGTCGACTTTGGTCTCGCTGAGCGCGAGGGTACAGACTGGCACCACTGCCCCTGCCATTTAGAAGAGGAAGATCGCCGGCGTAAGATCACGCACAGTGTCTATGCGCAGACCCAGTCGGCAGGCCACACCACTTCTGCCTACCCAAAGAACGATACGCGGAACAGTCGTCGTGCTAACCGTGCAGGTACCCGAGGCTTCCGTGCGCCTGAAGTGCTGCTCAAGTGTACCCAACAGACCGTCTCCATCGACGTCTGGAGTGTCGGTGTCATTCTGTTGACCATGCTTTCAAAGCGCTTCCCGTTCTTCCACAGTGCAGACGACATCGACGCGCTTCTTGAGATCACGACCATTTTCGGACGAAAAAAGATGCGGGAGACAGCCCTTCTGCACGGGCAGGTTTTCGAGACGAATGTGCCCAGCTACAGCGAGGGCGGACATAGTCTGGAGAAGATCATTCTATGGTGCACAGGCCGCACTGGTGACAAGACACAACCGAAGAAGGAGCTCGACGAAGATGAAAAAGAGGCTGTTCAGTTCTTGTACCAATTGCTAGAATGCAATCCTGCAAAGCGCATCACGGCGGCTGAGGCGCTCAAGCACCCCTTTATTACAAAAGCTTACGAGGAGAGCGAAGTAGACGAGGATACAAAAGAAGACTTTGCAGAGGACTAAGGTCACTAGTCACGACCATACGATGACGATGTACGAGTAATAGCATGGAAGGCGTACGACGGTATGGGCATACTACAGGAGTTCTTGGCCATTTATGGAGCGGCGGCTCAATGAGTTATTGCGATACCCTTCCACACTGTCAATGGCATGTGAAAAATATACTTATGTTCCTGAACACTTGTGGCTGGCCCGTCAAGCAAAGTTTAGCGTATGATAACGTGCATTACTGTTTCATTCCCGTATCTCATTTCAGAAGTCTTTGGTGGTATTCACCTGCAGAAAATATCGTACCCTTGAGGCAGGCCTTGTTCCGTTACATCTGTGATTCAACCTCTTTCTCACCACTTACTCATCCTGAGCACATGTCTGCGTTATTTTACGAATCTTCTCACCGAAAAGGTAAACAAAGATACCCAAAAACATCAACGCTGCGATGATGCCTGCACAAATGTTGAACGCACCCTCGTACCCAGCTTTCTCCACGAAAGCAATAGACCCGAAAGAGATACCGAAACCAATAAAACCTCTTAGCGAGCAAATGAGAACAAGAGCTGCATCGATGCGTTGAGGATAAGCGTCCATGCAGTAGACAAAACTTGACACTACGATGCCGACAAAGCCAAAGTATTCGGTATTGAGTGTGACAGCGATACCAGCCCAGCTCCAATCTGCAGGGTTTTGGGCAGTCATGCCGTAGATGATTGTCGAGATCAGTATGGAGACCAGCGGAATGATGAGAGCAAGCAGACGGTACTCGGGTTGACTAACGCCGCCATTCCTCCTACTCATCATCTTGACAACAAAGTCACTCAAGGCGCCGCAGAAGAAAGGTACCGCAACGGCGGTAGCGACCTGTCCCGCGAAAACGTATCCAAGCATGTCAAAATTCCAGAGAAAAGGCGGTTGGACTAGAACACCGGCGAACAATGCTGACATGAGCACGTAGATGCCCAAGGCGGCAGAATTGATGAGGAATAACCAGATAATGTTGGGGAACCAAATGATCTGGAACATCTGCTTCCAGCAGTCGATTGCCTTGGACCAGTGTGCATGGCCTTTCCAGGGGAGCATGTCTTTGACGAAACTACGGGGTGCGTAGTTGACGGTGTCGAGTGGGCGCTTAGTGTTGGTAGTGACTGGAACCAACATGCCGTCTTCTTCGATGCCTTGCCCGCTCAGGGCCTCTAGGGTGCGCTCGTACTTGGTCTCTGCGACGAAAATGATGCTGAGCACGGCTATGGCCCCACTCAGGCACCCGAAGACGCCATACCACCACCTCCAGCCTAGATCATTGGCAAGATAAGAACTTGCTACAATCAGCGCTGCGGTACCAAGTGTCTGTAGCGAGCAGAACCAAGCAATGACGTGTCCTCTTTCGTGAAGGTAGAAGATTTCCTGTACGATGATCGGGCATAATGCCTCAGCCTGCCCAGCAGCGATCGACATGACATCTCTGCCTGCAATATGCGACTCCAAGCTTCCACTGTAGGCGCACCAGAGGCATCCGAATGACAGTACGATGGTTGACATAAGGTAAACAGGTCGACGCCCAACGGCATGAGCTACAGGAATTGCGAGGAGGTTTCCGACACCCATGTAGAATGCCGGCCAAGTTGCGAGGTCGCTGGTTTTTGGGTTTCCACCGTACGAGGCCTGTACAATGGGAAGAATGGCGGTGATGCCACTGGCCATCAGATTTCCGGTAGCCGCGTAGAGGCCGACAATAATCAAAATGATGTACTTCTGCCATTTCGGAAGGTTGAGAGGATCTTCACTGATTAGCTGAGTTGATTTTGCTGGCTCTGTAACTTACCATTAGGGTCTCTGCTTGGAGTCGGAATCAGCACAATGCCGTCCTCATCGTACAATCTGATGGTACCGACCACTGGCCTCGCAGCTTTTTTGTGTGCGTCAACTATCTCGATGTGAGCACTCGCTTCATTCTTGGTGTCGTGGAGCGCCATGGTGTGCAGCTGCTGATGCAAAAAAGAGAGACATGTCGAACAATTTGTAGCATCTGAAGATCCGAAGCGGACGCAGCCAAATGGGCCATGACAGTTGCTTGGTGGCTTGGAACGCGACACGATATCAGTGCTCACCCGGACCTCGCCCGCACTGGGCCGTCCAGTCCAATATGAATGCGAACGGATTGTGGGGGACGCGGGCTAAGCCGAAGAGAGGTGTGCAGTGTGGGGAAATAGCCCGGTCCAGGTAGGGGGGAAAGACATGCGGGGTACGTACTTGCTGCGCCGAGGATTTTGAGCCTCATGCTCCTCGGCAAATCAACAACACCACGTACGTCACATACCATGAGCGAAACGGGCATCAAGACGTCGCAGCGCGTGTCGCGCTCGTGTGTCGAGTGTAGTCGTCGGAAAATTCGATGCGACAAGAAGAGCCCCTGCAACCCCTGCGTGCGCCGCAATGCCGGGAATTCCTGCCGTCGGCCGATCGTGCGCGTCAGGGGACAGCTTACCGTCTACGCCGATTCGGATGCGGGAAGCGCAGAAGACGTCCAACTCGAGGATTTGCTGCGCGAACGAGGCGCTTTGCGGGCACAGATTGCTGAGCTTGAGACTGCCCTTGCATTGTCGAAGCCGTGTGCACATAGCCGTACCAGCGAATCCACTGATTACTCGGCACCGTCGGCATCACTCGAAGACTTGGTCCCGGCCTTTGAGCAGTTCGACATCGGTATCACGACCAATGGCCCACGCGAAGGTGGCGAGAAGGATCTTATAGATAGCCTGTATGAGCCTGCTGCGGATCCGATCTATCTGTTGCTTCCTAGTAAAGACGCTAGCGTACAACTCGTTACCTTCTCTCTACACAGACTTGGCTGGCTGCACTGCGCTGTTGATGCCGATGTATTCTTTGGAGAACACGAAGACTTTTGGCAAAGAACGCAACTGGGAACCGGCATCGAACGCGAACGAAGACCATGGCTGGTCGTCTATCTTGCAGTTCTGGCTGTGGGTATACTCTATTCCGATCCGGAGGAAATCCCCGACGTCACCCAACTTCCCCAACTTGGCATGCCCTTGGCCGATCCCGTCTCTATCGCAGTTCACACATCACGCCTCTGGTATGAGGCGGCGCTAAAGGAGCTGGAAAGATATGGATTTGCAGGTTCACCGTCGCTCCCCGTGGTTCAGGCTCTCTCAGTACTAACCTTGTGTCATTCTAATTTCGGAGAACATCAGCGAGAGTGGCTGATTACTGGGTTTGCAACCAATATGGCACGGTGTCTTGATATGCACAAGCTTGGCAACGAAGTCAACATTTCCAGGGATCTCTGCCGAAGACCGGAGTGGTCGACCCCTTCTCAGCGAGAGCTAGGGCGTCGGCTATGGTGGGCTTGTGTCATTCGGGACTGGTATGTACCTGCCCTGCAGCTCGCGTACTTGTCAGAATAACCCATGTAACTGAAAATCCATAGGCTCGCAAGTTGGTCACGACCCCCTTCGATCTCGCCCGCCAGTTTTTGCTGTCATGTCTCGACCATCAGCAGGCAAGATGATTACATACTGCCTAGAGGTCTCATGACTGATAGTCCCGCCTCCTACAAATTGAACACCTTGGCTCCCCCTTCTCCGGCGCACTACCACTCGATCATGTGCCGTGTTTCTTACATCATCTATCTGTACATCAAAGCGAACACGCATCAAACGAACTTGAAGTTCATAAAAGCCATAGAAGAGGTTGAGACTGTCCGGCGAGATCTGCCTCTGCACTTATCGCCAAGTTTTCCGGCCAACGAAGATGATAGAATTTGGGAATCGCAGCACCCCTGGATACCTTTCCAGAGGTATCTGATTCATTACGTTCTTGATTTCATAACGCTGACGATAGCGCGTGTGTTAATCCCGAAAGATGCAGAGGATGATCCAACAAACTCCAGACACCTAGCTCTCCAATCGGCCAACCGAATTCTGAATTATTACGCGGCACCTGCACCTAGAGTGTACAGACTAGTATGGGTTGTGTCTGCCTCGACGGTCGCGTCCGCTATCTATGTCTCGTTGGACATGCTTGCAAATCCCCATGATTACCGTGGCGATGCTAAACTTCGAATCATCAACCTTCTAAGAATGGCATTCCTGGAGCTGAAGAAGCACTCAGAGGTTGCCATTCATGCTGCAAAGGGTTCGGCTGTACTCGAAGGTCTTTTACCTGTACTACAGAGGCACGACACTGAGCTTCCTGGAATACCGCATACTATCCATGAACTACTTCAGCAACTATCCATGGCCGCCCATAGCTCCAGCAATGACTTGTCAAATGCAGCACCTGCAATGGACGGTTTTGCCCACCATGGAAACTACGAAAACATCGATATGTTCGATGGAATTGGCAACACTCTCCAGGAAACATTCGGTTTTGAAGACTGGGACGAAGTGTTCGCACAGATGTGAGGAGTATGCTATACAAGGCTTTACGAACCAGTCTCTATCACCGAGAGTCATATACTAAAATACGCTCATCTCAATATGACTTCACACCCGCCAACTTGAGCAGCTTTTCCGTCAACTCTGGCTTCTCCAACGGCTCCGTCCGCTCCCACGGGTCGAGTTTGCCATCCACCTTAGCCTTTCCTTGCGAGTGGATGTTAATGTGTGGCCAATGTGTCGTCGCCTCCCACTTCTCAAAGATCTCCTTCTTTTTCTCCAGATCTTCCTTGGATGCCATGGCAGCTGGGGTGTAGCAGGCATATATGATTGTGCGGATATTGTTGGTCTCTGGGTACACAGCGTAGTGCATCTGGCGCGAGTCCCACAAGATCAGATCACCAGGCTCAGCACAAACTTTGACCATTTTGCAGCCATGGTCCTCGTACCATTTCACATCCGAATCTTGGAACGGGTAGAAGTCGTAGTGAAGAGCAGCCAAGGGACCCTTGGTTCGGTCGGGTGGATGCTCTCTGAAGAACTGGTCGAAGAGCTTGGCGCTACCTTCCATTACAACAAGCCCGCCGTCTTTGGGTCCGGCCTCAGAGACTAAAGATGATATTAGCATTCTGACTAAGACGAAGCCACGAGAAGAGGGTTGGCATACGATTGATAATGCCCTGTACGCAAGAAAGGCCTTGCCGTTCGGGTGCCTGGTCCACGTGCGGCCATGGCTTTGAACCAGCCATCTTCGACGCATTCGGCAATGTCAGATTGATAGTGTCGTATGACACAATAAGCTCGTTCGTATTCCAGATTTTCTCAAAGGCTTCCAAAACACCAGGTTCCCTTTCCGCAAGAGTATCAGCTACCGTCATCGACGCGTCTTTAGTGATAGAAAGTACTCACTGTCTAGCCTCCCAGACATACTTTTCATGTGCAGCACAGTAGTTCAGGTACATTCCATTCTTGAAACTTTGGGGAAGGTTTTCCTTGGTCCATGTCTCTGGGTTCTTGATGTCGAAGTCGTTGGGGAAGGTGCCAAGCCAGTCCATCATCTTGTTGCGGTACTTTAGAGCTCGCTCTTTGGGAACTACGCCCTTGAGGACTACATAGCCCTTCTCGTAGAATTCATCTCGCCAGTCGCCATACTTTTGCTGGGCGCTCATACTCTCGTTCTCGTCAAGAAAAGGTGCCATGGTTGCGATGCAATGTGATGCTGAGTGTGAAGTAAATTTGTGAATATGAACTCGATGGTCATCAACAGTCACTTATTGATATACCTCGCATCACTACATACTTTCCCCGGAGGTATGATCCCGGCTCGCCCGTCCACGGCCGCTTGCTGTGAGGAGAGACAAGCTTCTGTGTGGGGTAGACCCTGCGGCTCCATACATCACGGTCGAGAACGGGCGAGATTTAGCGCGCATTTGTATCTCGAAACTCTCCACATGCCGACACTAAGCCGTCAAGACCGTTGCGAGAATCAAATAAACGGTTTATCGACAAGAGATGTCGCGGCCGAGAACGGTCGGGCGGTACTCACGCGGTGACAACTGTGTCCCAGACCGAAGTCGCGGTCTTTCAAAACCAAGATGAATCCTCCTTATGATGTCGCCGCGCATCGCTCTCAAGAAGCTACTCTCTTGTTTTCATCGTTCTCCAATCATGCCTCTCTCCTTCCAAGTTGCCAATCTTGCGGTCAAACCACCTAAGGTGGGTGAGAATGGATACCAAGGGTTTAACCCGCGCAAAGAGACACTTCCAAAAGGATACCAAAGTCGAGATGGGGCACGCGCGCTCTCTGAAGATATGATCGCTGAACACGACGTGGCCGTCAAAGTCAGGGATGGCTGCACTCTATACTGCGACATCTATCGACCAGTCAGTAGTGACAAGAGTGACGTCAAGGTGCCTGCGATCGTGGCCTGGAGTCCGTTCGGCAAGAAACACACGGGCATTGACATGATGTCAAAGGTATGTGTTTCATATGAAAAGTGACTTTGAGCAATAGCCGTAACTAATGCCACCCAGGTAAAATGGGGTTGCGGCGTGCCAAAAGGTTGTCTCAGTGGTCTTGAGCGATTCGAAGGACCCGATCCGGCGGAATACTGTCCTCGTGGTTATGCAGTCGTTAATGTGGACGCAAGAGGTGCAGGCGACTCAGACGGAGATATTGTTATCATGGGGAAGCAAGAAGGCGAGGATGGGCACGATGTGATCGAAGAACTTGCAAAAATGGACTGGTGAGTATCGCGTTAGCCTCCAGCACGACGCAAAACTGACCATTGACAGGTGTAACGGTTCGATCGGACTTGCTGGTAACTCACATCTCGGTATCGTACAATGGTTCATCGCGGCGACACAACCTCCATCACTCAAAGCCATAGCACCCTGGGAAGCTTGTGGTGACCTTTACCGAGAGCAATTTGTACGCGGAGGAGCGTGGGACAACGGACTTTTCGACTTCATCACTGAACACGTTATCCGTGGGAAGAACGGTCTCGAAGATTTCAAGGAGATGTACCGGCGGTCATCAACCATGAATCCTTACTGGGCAGATAAGAGGGCAGACATCACAAGCATAAAGATACCCACGTACATTGTCGCATCGTATTCGAGTTTTGTCCACACGATGGGCTCAATACGCGGCTGGATGCAAGTGGATACCAAGAATAAGTGGCTACGCTGGGATCCTTACCAAGAATGGTACGATCTATGGGCAGTTCAGGAATCCATCGACGAGCTCGCTTCCTTCTTCGATCGCTATCTCAAGGGCGAAAAGAACGATTGGGAGAACACGCCACGCGTGCGCATGTCGTCGCTTAACTACGGCGACAAAGAAGCCATCTACCCCATTGTCGAAGAAGACTTTCCCATACCGCGAACGGAGTACCGTACCCTCTACCTCAGTGACAACAATACTCTTCAAAACAGCGCACCGACAAATACCAGTACGCTCTCCTACGACTCCGAAAGCGGCACCTCGCCCATCTCCCACGCTGCATTCACCTTCAAGTTCGACAAACCAACTCGCCTAATGGGCCTCCCCAAAGCCGTGCTGTACATGTCGTGTCCAGACTTCAACGATATGATTGTCTACGTCTTGATCCGCAAACTAGATAAGCAAGGCAAGCCCATGATCGCCATCAACATCCCTTGGTCTGCCGCTCCCTACAACAGCGCTGCCGAGATCCCAGAATCAGACTACAGCAACTTGATGATCTATTACGGACCCACTGGAATTCTTCGTGCCTCCCACCGCAAGACGGATCCTTCGAGGTCTATTCATCCGCAGTATCCCTTCCACACTCATGACGAAGTACAAAAGATTACTCCAGGAGAGGTGGTGAAGCTGGAGATTGGACTGTGGGCCATGGGCGTAGATTTTGAAGCTGGAGAGAGTATCAGTGTGCAGGTGAGTGGCGAGTATCCACTTGTACAAGAGTTTGGGCCAAGGAAGAAGGTGGAGTTGGAGGAGAGGAACAAAGGGGTGCACTTGGTGCATGTTGGTGGGGGGCATGCAAGTCATGTTGTGCTGCCTTTTGTTTGAAGGTAAAGACGAATACGTAGACATATCCAGTTTACCGCATACGAGGTTTTATGAAGTTACTGCCTGCCACCTACGTAGCTGCGCCAACGCTTCAAAGCTCATGGCATCTGCAAAAGATGCCAGAAAACCCACGACAGTGGAGCTCATTGTATATGACCAGGCTAAAGAGTGGCTTCAAAACAAGTGTTAGTCTATGGTATCATTCCAGGCTCAATCAATCCCACCACCATCCCATAAGTGTCACAACCACGCTAGTCATCCTCATCCTCATGATCATTATCCGATGTCCAGGCGTAATAGCCATAATACCACCTCACGGTCTCAAGCACATCCAATACCTAAGAAACTCACGCCTCCTCCTCATAAATCTTGACCTTTTCGGCATATTCTCTGATATTAGAATGAATAGTTTCGTTGATCAATTCACCTCTTCCACCGGCAACCTGCAAAATCAAATCGTTCAATGACATCCTCCCAAGAATGTCAACGTGATCCGCTAGTTTCACAAGTCTCGTCAGCAAAGACTCTACAACAACAACAACAACGACGAAAGATATGAAAAAGAGACAACATACCAGTATTCGGACCGCCCCTAGGACTGAATCGATCAGGTTCATGTTTCATTTCAAACGTTGTGACCTTGACGCCAGCTGGGTTATATCTCTTCATCTTCCATCCTTTCGTGCACATGTAACCTGAACTAAGGAGGTTGACTGTTCCATCTCCCTCGCCCATGACGACGCCGTGATCAACATTATCCTGGGTGTACATGGTATCGAGCGTTACGTTCAAACCCGACAAAGGATCGTCATCACTGCGGTAATAGTACCCACGCTCCGTATCCTTACCGATACCATAAAAGCAATAGATCTTGAAGTTAGGAGCGAGTGGCAGTCGCGTCTCGAGAGGGTTCACCCATTTAGCGGGGATAAATTGGTTGTCCTCAACCTGCTTGGTGGTATGCGCTACGCCATGGGAGTAGGATGTCTGAATCATCTTCTTGAACCAGGGTTCTGTGTTGCGGAAGAGAAAAGGCAGGCTGTCGTCGACGGTAATATTCTTTTGCGTCATGGTAGAATTGGCGTTGCGGAAACGAATGAAGGGGCCAAAGGTGACGTTCTGCCCAGGTAGGTCGTCGGGCGCACCATTCTCGTCGCCCCAAACGGCGTTTCCACCAAGCGGCAGCATGGAAGACAAGCCTGGCATTGCGCGGAAAATCTCGGCGCGTTCGTAGCGGGAAAGAAAACGTTCGAGACCGTAGACCGCAAAGGCGTTTAGTTGGGCAGTGTCTTTCATCTCGCCAGAGAGGACGGCGGGCATATCTTTCAATGCGCCGAGCATACATCCGCTGATGTTGATCCAGCTATCGATGTATTCATCCACCCAACCTGACCCACCATTTCCGTATCCCTTTGCCTCGACCCAGTGTAGGAAGTAGTATAATACTTGAGAGCCCATGGAGTGCGAGAGGAGGACGACCTTCCTATCCGAGACGCGCACTGCAACTTCGATGTGGGACTTTAGACGAGTGAAGTACTGATCACGGATCTCGTAGTTCATGTATGACATGCGCCAATCGTAAGCCGCCGTGAAGGCGTTCCCGGGATCGTAGCCTATCGTAGCGAGGTTCTCAAGGATCTTATTCCATATCCAGTAGCCCGTGATGAAGAAGTCAGCTGCGTCAAACCCCTGGGCTGCTCGTAGCTTCACGCCTGGGGGATCAAGACCCGTATCTTTGTCGAGCATAATATGCCGTTTCCACTGAACCTTGTCCAGGACGAGTGCGCGCATCATTGTCCACGAACCCCATAGCCTCTTGCGAAAGTATTGTCTCGAGCCTTCTTCAGTGCCCCAAGATTCAAGACCTGTCGAGATGACGCCTGGAATCATGATGACGGGATGTTTCGCTTTTATGCCTTGTTTCTGCGCATGGAGACCGACGGCGAAGGAATCGTAGTTTACGGCGTCTCGTTCTGTTTTCTATTGAGTTGGGGTAGTCAGCCTCGATTCTTGACAACTCATAGTTACTGCAGTGCAGTCGATTCTGGGAAGAAGCGGAAATATCGCGCACCTGTAACTGCTGCGCACTCTTCACGAAGTTGTCCGGTAGCGCTTCCATGATGCTCTCGAGGTTGACACCCTCCAGACTGCTTAGATCAATCATGTCGTTACTGCTGGCAAAGAAGCCGGCCAGCAGCAGCCCAAACAGACCTCCAAGTCCAAACACCCATACATTTCTTCGCTTCTTGTGCTGGCCCTTCTTCTTCAGCGTCTGAAGCTGCTCGGCGGTGATCAGGCGTAGGTTCGCAGGCCGTTTACCGTCCGGTCCGGGCGAGGGCTCGCGGGACAAGTCGGGTGTCGAGATCTCGCTATCGTCGCCGGCGCCAGCGCTGCCACCGCCGAAGCGGCGTCTTAGAAAAGACATGTACACAAAGTTGTAATGTCTACGCGGGTTTATTCGAGGAAACGTGGGCGCCAGCCACGAGGGATTTTGTCTATCTTTCCCAAAGACCGAGACCTCCGACATGTGACGGAATGATCGGCACAAGGATGCGGGAGAAGCACGTTCCTGATGCTGCCAAGCCGGACAGCCTCCCGCTATCGAAGCCCCTCCACTTGCCGCGCATCGCTCTCATGTCCTACGCGCCATGGCCGACAATGAAGATGGCGACGTCACAAGCAATGCGCCGGCAAAGAGAACCGACGCCAAAGAGCTAAGCAACTCAGACCTCCAATACGTCCAATACGAGCCCTCGAAAGAAGAGCAATACCTCCCCGCCATCCGCCAACTAATCTCCAAAGACCTTTCCGAGCCTTACAGCATCTATGTATACCGGTATTTCTTGTACCAATGGGGTGACCTGTGCTATATGGTACCAGTCCCTTCTTCACCTCTCTACCTCTCAGATAAACTGACTCCATCCCACAGGCCCTCTCCTCCACTAACACTCTAATCGGCGTAATCACATGCAAACTCGAACCGCACCGCAGCGGCACCTACCGCGGCTACATCGCCATGCTCGCGACCCAAGAAGAATACCGCGGCCGAGGCATAGCCACGCAACTTGTCCGACTGGCCATTGATGCCATGACCGCGCGCGACGCCGACGAGATAGTTCTAGAGACCGAGGTGTCGAATACTGCGAGCTTGAAATTGTACGAGAGATTGGGATTTATCAGGAGCAAACGGTTGCATAGATACTACTTGAATGGCAACGCGGCGTTTAGGTTGATACTCTACTTGAAGGAGGGAACTGCGCTCAAGAGACCCGAACATGCTGGGCATGGCGAGATGGGTGGCATGTCGGATATGAGGAGGATGGACGATGCAGAGCTTTACTCTTGAAACAAGAGAAAGACATACAAGAAAACCCTCTCTGTTTTTCTTTTGGTGGCTCACAAGCCGCTACTCTCGAGAACAACAAACCAAGATTCTTGAAGGGTATGCTTCAATTCATACTACAGTCTATGCTGATTCGTTCGTGCGCCAGACGCCCATTAATGCTGCTAAACCCACTTTTTGACAAGTGCCACTAACCAGAATACGCCATGAAAATGCGCAAACACGTTTCCATCATCTTCATTCACATTTCTCAATTCTCCCAACTCTTTACGGCCCGACGTTGAACTTGAGCCTGACACCCATACTAGCCAGCTCAATGTCAAGGAATTTGAGCACACCAGGTACTGCAACCACGGCAACGTCTTCGCCACCAGAGTATCGCAGGCCTTGTGCGTCCATCCATAGATCGGCTTTGCTGCTGGTGTTGTCGGCCAATACGGCGCACCTTCTGCAACGGATGGTAATGTCCTTGCCACTTCTATCCTTCTTGCGACCGTACTCGCTGACGGTTGGTGTTGTGCTGAGGAAAGAGCCACAGGTACGGCAGATGGCTGCTTTGGTGTAATCGGAGCAGTTCATCAAACGGTCCTGGAGAAGGAAGGCTGTGCCGTGAGCAAGCAGAGAATCACGTTCCATTTCTCCGACACGGATACCACCTCCCTTGCTTCTTCCCTTGATAGGCTGCCCTGTCGTGGACACCACAGGACCCGTGGTTCTGGCTTGGAACTTATCATTGACCACTGCGTAATTGTAAGCAAAAGTATAGGTTGTTATTAGAAGAATGACTTACTGTGTCGTAGACGCTGGTAGTAGACGACACCGATATAGATATCTGCATGCAATTCTTGTCCAGTGATACCGGAGTACATAGGCTCGTTGCCGTAGTAGTTGTAACCAGCCTTGGATAGCTGGTGACCAAAATAGTCGACAGCAGTATTTTGCTCATCAAAGCGGAAGGGCGTTGAATCCTGGGCCATACCGTGGAGTGCTCCAGACTTTCCAGCTAGCGACTCGACGAACATACCGATTGTCATTCGCGAGGGGAAAGCGTGAGGATTGATGATAACATCAGGCTGCATACCGCTTTCCGAGAATGGCATGTCTGGAGTAGGGAACTTCTGACTGACGACACCCTTTTGTCCATGTCTGGAAGAGAACTTGTCACCAACAACAGGAGAACGAGGAATGCGAAGCTTGATGCTGAGCTTCTGGCATGGTTGTGCTCCATCCTCAGTGCCGATGATGCGGACTTCTTCGACAAAAGCAAGTTCATCGTCCTTGTATTTGAAGAACTGTGTCTGGCCATCGCGGTTAATGTAATCACCGGTAGCTGGGTCGTACGAAACAGTGTGCCATGCAGCAATGACGTCGCCCGATCGCAGCATAGTTCCAATGCGAGGAAGACCGTCTTCATCGAGAGTCTCCTTGGCCGCGGCTTTCACTAAGCCTTCGGGAGCAAAGCCAAACAGCTTGGTCACTGTCCTGCTTGATCGATTCCTTCGGCTACCTTCCTCAAGGTCACAAATCTTCGTCTTGTAAACAGTGCCGTGGCCGAAACCGCGCTCGTGTGATGACTTGTTCAAGATCATAGCGTCGTCCATGTCGTATCCGGTGTAGGAGATGACAGCCACAACTGCGTTCATTCCGTTCGGGAAGTTGTCCATGCCGTACTCGTTGTGCAGTGGAGGCCGAGCGATGGGAGTTTGGCCAGTCTGTAAGCGGTAGGTCTTGTTGTCGGTTCGGTAGGCCATAGCAGTTCCCGGTGTACCCATCGATTGTTTACCCATCTGACACTGAAAACGTGGAGGTAAAAAGTCAGCTTATGTCTCACATGCATTTCTGACAATTACAACTTACCTGGTACATGTTACGTGGCGATTGATTGAAGTCTGAAAAGGGTGTTTGGTTGGCGATGATACTGAAGATATTCGTGGGCTCGATCTCCACGTGCGTTGAATCACCGGATACAATTTCGGCATCCGTGCATGCAATCGACATGTATGGTTGCTCGAATGGTCCTACGTAGTCTGTCTTGCTGAGAGGCAAGTACTTGACAGGTCGGTACATTCGCGAGCTTTGCGAGAACATGTAGACACCTGGGTACTGGCCACCGTTGGATCCGGGGATGTAACCAATTTCCATCTCCAATGGTACATTGTGTGAGCCTTCAACCTTCCAATAACGAAGTGTGTCCGCGATGACCTTGGCTTGCTTTGGCGAGCAGAAACCTAGGACACGACCGTCTAATTGGACAACCACACTAGCTTCCAGGGAGGCAGATGACTTGCTCGATACGCCCAGTTGCGCAACGAGATTGGGAATTGCCGAGACATCGAGGTTGGAAGTCGCAATCTTGCACTTGTGGGCAAAATGGTTGAGAAGTCCACAAGGACTACCGTCAGGGGTGTGGACAGGACACATGAAGCCCCATGACTCCGGCAGCAATTTACGAACCGTGGTTGTCTTAAGCTGGGCGAAGAAAGCACCTCGATGTACCATTCGGAAATGGGAGATGAAACGTGGAAAGTTCAATTTCTCAGCAACCACAACATATCCGGATGTTTGTTGCAAGTCGAGACCAGTCGGACTGATCAGATTGCCTGTACTGAGGAAGTACTCCATAGCTTGACCAAGGTTCATTTGTGTTCTTCGGAGGATCCTCGAGTTCCAATCCTTGGTGAAATCTTGAGATGTGAAGGGCTTGTACTCGGTCTTCCTTCCCCATTCCCTCAGGACTAGCTGAAAGCTGTTGAGCCACTCCTCCAGCTTCTCCTTCAGAATCATGCCGTAGAGTTGGCCGCCTAGCAGAATCTCCTGGTTCTGGACGGCATCCGGGTTGTCGACAGCGCAGTCGCCTTCAACCAAAGCATAGAGCTTCCTGGCCATGAACAGCAGCATCCTGAACTTGTCCGCGTCCTGGCTCGGTGTGACATTTACGCAGCCTAGATGAGGTAGAACGATCTTGCGGAGGAATTCTGTACCGGCCTCCTCGTCGGTGACATCGGCTGGCAGACCAAGTACGACCTTGAACTTCCCACCAAGATATGCGCGAGTCTTCGCCTTGGTGTGCAGCCCGTAGACCTTGTATGTTCGGAGTAGCAGTTCCACGCGATCGGTAACGAATTGCTTCTCTTCCAGACCTGCTGAGCCGGCGGCGCCAACCAGACCCTCGAAAATCTCGCGGTCGTTGGTTTCGACCAAGGCCTTCATCACCATGACGATGGGGACGAGGTATTCGGACTTGCGCCATGAAAAACGGAAGTTGACATTGCCGTCGCTGAGGTAGTGCAGGGCGTTGGTTTGCGAGGTCTGGTCGGGTCGCATCGATCTGAGCTGGATACCGAACTGGGTGTAACCGGGGCCACGGTTGGTAAAGGCGCCACGCTTGATGGCCATGGGGTAGTTGCGACGGTTGACCTGGAGGAGACGGATAATCTTCTCGATGCCGTTGACGATGAAGTAGCCACCCAGCTCGTCGGACTCTTCTTTCGCCTTGACTAGTGCGGCTGGCGACATGCCCTCAAGCTGGCAGCGGTTCGATCTCAGCATGACGGGCACGCCGCCGAGATCCACGACGTCTTCCTGCCAATCTCCGTTGTTGACCCGCCACTCAAGTCGCGCGCGCATCTTGCCACGGTACGAAGCATGTCGTTCTCGGGCCTCAGCGGGATAGATGTTTCGGTTCTTCAGCGCGACCTTGTTGGAAGGCGGCAGGACTGGCTTGTCGAGGAAGACATCAGAGATGCGCAGAGAGAGGCGGTTTCTCTGGCCGACGTCTTCGGGGGCGGCGTATGGGTCGCCATCGAGGAAGATCTTGGTGCCAATGTCTCGTATGCCCTGGGCTAGCTGGCCGCCGGGAGTGAAGATGGTGTTGAACGAGTTGATGTGGGGGTCCACGGCGGCAGCGAGCGTGGGATAGGCCGTCTTGTCTTTGGGGGGGTTGCGGAACAAGTCGTGCCGCCTGAGCGTGTCAAACTGGATTACCTATTAGATATGGGGGTGGTCAATGTCGAAAAAAGTAGTCGCTTGCCTTGGTCGACCATTCCTGCGGGCTGTCGGCCCTTGCGGCAGGCGCCATGGTTTGTGCAGGTGGCTGTTTGTCACTGTAGACCGGGAACAAGAGACGCAACTCGCAGCGGTATGCGCAGAATATATTTTCCCAGAGTATTGGGGCGGTCGCGTTTGGCAAGCTGCAGCGCGATTGTGAAGTTGCGACGCCAATCTCGAACTTTTTTACTAGACTAGTCCGATAGGCCACCCCTGCCTAGCGCGCTGGCCAAAGTCACACGCCGCGGCGGCTCCATCACTGTGCTGCAGCGTGAACCACTCCGGGCTTTCGTTAGGGCGGCACAGCTCTGCTTCTCTACTTCCTCACAGCATTGCCTGCGCTCTTTGCATCCGCTTTTTACTTTGGGAACTAACTCCATTTGCCCGTTGCTGCTGCTCAGACTACGGCGATCACGCCTATTACATGCCCCGCAGCAAGGATCAAGGTTCCCAGACTTCCCTCCATCGCCCATACATCACCACTCCTCCCGACCAGATCACGACAACAGCACCGAGTCAGAAATCGCCCTGACAACCGCCATGGCGAACCTCTTCCGTCGCATCTACGACTGGCTGCTTCGCCTGTTCTGGTATGCTTACCTGTCCTTTTCTTACCATGTCAAATGCCATCGCTCTGATGCCTGCCTGATGCGCTATTTGATACTCTGCCAACTGCTCAGCTTGCGCCCACGAAGAAGCAACATCACGGGCGACGATAACATGGCCTGGCTGATGACTGCTGACACCATATAGGGCGACTGAGATGGACATCACCATGATCGGGTTGCAAAACGCTGGCAAGACTTCGCTGTTGAGAGTTCTGGCGGTGAGTCTCTTCCTGATGCGGAAACAACCTCCTGTATCGACATCATCAGTCTCGATGCATGCAAGCTGACCCATTCGTGTATAGGGAGGAGAGTTTACTGTCGAGTAGGTCTACATCCGTCCCGAGTTGCGCGAGCCGGCGGCGACGTTGTTTCATCCGTGTCCCGAAGCTACTGCTTTGCGCAACCATGAACGCCATCGTAGCTGGGCCAAGCGCTGACTGGTCCTAGCTCCATCCCGACTGTTGGCTTCAATATGAAGCGCGTCCAGAAAGGTCATGTAACCTTGAAGTGGTGAGTGTTTCCCATGTTCTCCTTGGTCACGCATGTCCGGCTCTTGCAGCGCCAAGCCCAGCCTTGCGGGGTGCAGGACGGTCTACTAGTCCGGAGGCGCATCTGCTGACCAGCGGCAACAGTTGGGATCTCGGAGGCCAACCTAGGTTCCGTTCCATGTGGGAGCGGTACTGCCGCGGTGTGAATGCCATTGTGTACGTCTCTTCTGCATGTGATAGCATCCTGTCGCTCATTGCCATAGGTTCATCGTCGACTCTGCTGATAAGGAGGCCCTGCCAGTTGCTGGCGAAGAGCTTAAACTCCTGTTGGAGAAGCCGGCTCTAGAAGGCATTCCTCTCCTGGTCTTGGGCAACAAGTCCGACTTGCCCAACAAGCTCTCGGTGGATGAGCTCATCGAAGCGCTCGACCTCAAGTCAGTGTCGCACCGAGAGGTGAGTTGCTACGGGATCAGCGCAAAGGAGGAGACCAACCTCGATGCTGTTCTCCAGTGGTTGATCGCCCGAGCCAGCAAGTGAGGTATTGTGTTGTTCGTATTCGACCGACGTAACGTGACCGCGTCGGTCAGGTGCCGTTCACGACGCATTCGACTGGGTTTGGTGTTTTCGCAACTTCACGATGTTGACGTGCCTACGTTCTCACGAATTACGGTCGTCAGCTTTACATGACATCTTTAATGATTCTTACGACTTGATGGAAGAAAAGACGGGCAGATCGCTCTGCAGGCTAGCGATGGCCATTCCAGTTCCCCAGCTCGACACGTTTACTTCTTTTCATATCATTATGACGGCGACTGCTCCTTCCTCATCATGTATCATCCTCTTTGTTCCATATACCAGCGAACATGTAGCGGCTAAGAAAAGACGGGAAGAGTTTGGTCCATGTATGAATGACATGTACGGCTGCGCATGCTTCGTCCCTTTTTCCACTCCATAAGGAGTGACCTGAGTTTGCAGCGATATAATGGTATCTTCGTCTCTGTCGTGTGTCGAACGTGGACTAGTGCTGTCCTGACTCTCGTGACCTTGGTATGCCATGTGCGCAGAGGCGCGACAATCGGCCTCGTAAGGACAAGCTGTCCGGATACGTGTTCGTTGAGGAATACAGTGCAATTGCGTGCGCAGGCGCTCGTCGCGGCTCTTTCCTCAAGCAGGCCTCCTCACGTTCTTCCATTCATATTTCCCTGCTGCACATGGCTCAATGCCTCCGGTACTTTGGAATGCCGAGCAAGCAGCAACTGGCGCCAAATATTGCAACAAAAACGAACAACTCCACCAGGCAGGGAGGGGAAAAGAGGAGAGGATTAATGCATAAGAGGAAAGCAAACAACTATTATTTCGCACAACTCACCCGCTGGCAGAAAATCGGGGTGGGACCCAAGCAAAATCCATGCCATCAACAATTGAACAACTCATCCTGCATTAGCGTCTCCCAGGGAATCCTGAGTAGAGGGCTTGTGATTGGTTGAAGGGTGTTTGAGCACATGCGAACCCCTGTCTCCCCTTTGAGAGGAATGGCATGCTTGGATGGACAACCGATGAGCTGGAGGGGTGAACGGGGAAGTGGGTAGAAGTTCGCGATGGCGATGGATACAGACGGGGAGAGGGTTTGTGGCGTAGGGTTGAGTGGGTGTGGCGCTCTGAGGGTGTGGGGTATGGTTGCTGTGGGCGGGCTCATCTGTACATGTACGTGAAGCAGTAATGAGAACCCCATCGTTCGAGTAATGTGTTACGAATGATTACACGCTGAAGCACCTCAGGAGAATCTTGGGGTCGTTGGTGTTCCGTTGCCTCTCAAGGACTCGCACAATGGCTCGATCCTCACTGGCCTCGCGACTTGCGATCTTTTCAATCGGCCAGCCTTGGTCACACGAAGAACACCGTCGAGAGCACCCGGCAAAGTATCATGGACCACGTGTGGTGCGACCATCTCACGACATCGGCAGCTAAGTGAACACGCAACAGAAAACCTCATGCGCACTGCTGACATGATCGGCCACGCATGTCTCGCAACTAAGAGGCGGAGATACGTACTCTTAGCCTGTCTGGACTCGATACAACATTACGAAAGCAACAGGCGCAGCAACCCAAAGGTCTTCGGGAGCCACCGAGCAAAAATCGCTCTGGTCATCTTAGTCAAAGCCGTCCAGGCAGCACCATTCCTTGTCGCATAGTCCCCTTTCAGTCTTCGAGAATAGGCTAGAAACTGCGCTGCCCTACTCAGGTCTCTTCCATCGTAACTGCGCCTCAGCGAGAACAATCACCAGCTCGAAAAGTCCTTCCCATCAACCAATAATGTCGTAGTAAGCAGAGTAATCGTCACAAAGCTCCGCTTCACCCGTCAAAAGTGGGCACGCCGGCGTGCGGATTACCGACGGCCTAGGGCCATCTTGGCTGTGGCTGAGCCCTGGTCACATCTTTCCCCTCTCGAGCGTATATCGTCATAAGAGCAGTTCGGAAACCCTGCTGTTCGGTCTCTCTCTATTCTGCTCTACATCGTTACCTTTGGTCTCCTTTCGCCATTCCATCTCGAATCCCTACAGACGTAAAAATCTTCTCACCTGACAGATTGACAGCTGGTTGGCAGTTACAATCATGCATCTTCAAAGCAGACAATACTACGACGACGGGTAAGTGTTTGCGCGATTCATCACCATCATCATCATCATCTTTTCTTTCATCGTTTGTTGTTAGTGGCGGTGCCAACAGCTTAGTCGCGTATCATAAGCGGCGCAGTAGCACTATTATTCTGGGGAAAGCAAGCTTGGTGGATCAACGGATCGGCTTGGTCATGGCCGGTGTGTTTGCGACAGACGACGTCACAACGTTGCTGCGCCCAGACTGCCGCCGCATATCACGGCATCTTTACACTCGGGGCCCATACAACAATACGTCTTCTTCCTCTTCTTCCCTCTTATTTCCAACTCCAATCACTTCAACTTCACATCTTGCGCTTTGCCTCCTCCATACTTGCGCATCATTGTCAGTCGATACTTGCGACACGAACATACAAACAACCGGATTCTAATACGCAATGGCTAGAACGTGCTATCGCCAAGGCTATGGCTACTACCGCTGCGGGAACTCAGCATGGAATAACTGGGTACGCTGGGTAGTCCTCGTAGTAGTCGTCGTGGGTTTCTTACTTCTCTTCGTACTATGCTCGTAAGTCCTCTACCTCCATGCATCAACGCATTACCAGCTTCATCGCAACATGATCTAACACACTCTTAGTTGCCTTACAGCTCGTCGCCGCCGCAAAGCTGGTCGCCAACCCTTCTACGGCACAGGTTGGGCCGCGCGCCCAGGCGCCTACAACAACAACCAAACCGCCGCACCCTACTACAGCAACCAGCAGCAACCTGCACCGCCATACTCTGCCGCCACAAACAACAACAACGGTTACTACGGCGGCGGAGGCGCGAATAGCAGTTACTATGGCCAGCAGAACGGTGTTGAGCTTCAGACTCCCCAGCCTACGTATGGTGGAGGGTACGCGCCACCGCCTGGCCCGCCACCACACAAAGCTTGAAAAGATTGTGCGCGAGGTGTGAAGGGATGACGGAAGATGGACGAGGATTATGTGACGACATCCTGCCATGACGTGAAATGAGATGAGCTCGACGGGCGTTCAGGGATTTGGAATACGGTCGGTTTTACGGAATGGCACACGCTCGATACCTCTTATGTTTTAATGCACTTCTCTTGTATACTTTAATCAATGGACAATGTATAAATACAAGCTGCCCCAGAACTTTCTGAACATGAATGTCTTTTCCCAAAGCTTGCATCTGTGAACGTTTGCTGTGCAAGGCATATGTTGGCTAAAGAGAGTACGGGCAACTGAACGTTACACTTGGTCATGACATTTTGATCTCTCTGTTTTCAAACTCTAAAGCTGCATGTATTTGATTGATTCACGGTACCGACCATCTCCCATTTTCAGTAGTCCGTCCAACTGGCAACACCAGATGTCGTAAAAGAGCATAACACGCTAAGCATACACCTTCAAACAATCCTGCAATGCTGCCCTCGGGCACCTAAACGTTCCTTTTCCCAATCTCTAACCTACCAACCTCAGTCCACTAGCAGGAGCACCAATCTGGGTGATGCCGTCGATCCTGCAAACAGTACCCTTGTACCTCGCGTGGTACTTGGCGCCGCTGTACGGGCTAGTAACCGATGGCATACCGCTGTAGATAGGGGTGAAGCTGGCAGCGCAAATGTCAAAGTCGGCGAATTGGTCAAAGTCAATCTCGATGATGTCGCTAGGATTCCTCTCAGCAATCGTCTTGACGCGCTTAGCCGCCTCCTTCATCTTTGCGTTTCCGGTGCGGTCAAGCAATGCGTTGGCGAAGTTCAGCGCTGTGTTAAGCTGCTTGTTCTTGTGGGCGAAGTTCATGGCTGCAGAAAGCGGGATCGATTTGTGAGGACCCTCAAGCTCGGGGATGGTGAAGTAAGCAGACAGCTCCAGAGCGCGTTTCTTGTCTGCATCAGATAGGGCGGAGACGTCGGTAGCGCCGTTGAGAAGCTTGCGCCTTTCGAGCTCGATAGACATGGCAAGTATATATTGCGTAGCCGTGTTGATTGCCTTCTTAGCCTAGATGATGTCAGTATACGTCGACTAAATGCACAATGGCAGAACTTACGTCAGACAACTCTGCTTGCGACGAGACGACGTTGACCATGATGAGCTGTAGCAGCTTCCTGAAAGCAGCAATACCTGCCTCCAATTTGTTCTCTTTGAGAGCCTGCTTGCCGGCGGTGAGGTCAGTCGACAATATCGACTCCAGGTCGCGGGGAATAATGGGCAGGATCTTGCGCGAGTCTGTCTCGTCTACTGTTCTCCGTACGTAGTTGACTAGCGACGGCATGTTTGGTGTAGCTGGCAGGTATGTCCGTGTCGCTTGGTAGATCTCCTGGAAGCGGTCCTGGAGAGGCTCGAAGTTGACAGCACCGACTTGTCGGTTTAGTAACTGCATAGCAGTATCGAATGAACCTGCAGCAATGTGGTCGGCTGCCAAAGGTGAGTTGCGTGCCCAGAAGTCTGCTTCGCTGCTTCCGGCTCCTGCTTCAGCACCCTCAACTTCAACGAAATCATCCTCTGCCTCCACGTCTCCGTCATCACCCATGTCCCACCCACCAACATCGTCATCTTCGTCACCTGCAAGCTCAGCCGCGGCACTAGTGGGCTCAGCATCGCCCAGAAGATCTTCGTCGCCGAAGCCGTTCGCTGTTGGCTCATCGGATCCAACGCCCTCGACCTCGCCTTGGAGAGCCTTCTCGAACACAGTCGAAGACGCTGCGCGCGTTGGCCAGTTCGTCTTGTGCGTAGGTACAATAGGCTTGGGAGGTGCAAGAGGTGCACCTATCGAGGGAAGCTTGATCTGCTCTTCTGAAACCCCGGCAGCTTCCAGTATCGACTGTGCTTGCTCGTCAAGACCTTGAGCTTTGGCCGTGGCGTACGCGAGGGGGTACAGGTCAAGCTCCTGGAACATTTCTATCCGGTTCTGAACGTCTCCTAGGTAGAGAGCATTTTGAAATCGTGCCGTCATGTCACCACGGTGCTCTGCAATTTTAGCCATACGCTTCAATTTGTCCTGGTCTCCAGTGGTGAGGTACAGGAAGGATAGCTTGTCGAAATTGCGCAGTTTTTGGTAGGTCATCTCCACAGTTTGGTGGTTACCATGCGCGAGAGCTTCGTTGCTCAATCGTTGCCAGAGCTTCGGTCGATCAAGCTGCTTGGCCATCTCGACTGCCACCTCCAGGTTTCCGCATTCGATAGCGAGCTCGAACCGCGTCTGAGGATCTTGCACGAATTGAAGAGCAATCTCGGGATAGCCCTTCTTCTGGAGATAAGAAATGATGCTCTGTCCAACCAGACTGGAAGTCTTGATGATGTTGAGCATCTCATCATAGTTGCGTTTGACCAGGGCAAGCTTGAATCGGTACTCGGTGGGGTCAATCTGGAGGATCTTCGGTTTCGCAGCACGGTCAAGACAGTACACGTTGCGGCCCTTAACCCTCACCAGATATACTGTCTGCTCGAGCGTGCGTACAATTCCATTGTCGCCGTTCATCAGACTGTACTTGATGTGATTCAGTGTGGAGTAGAGAAGGACACCAGTGTCGTCGAAAATTGCGCTCTTGATGCGGATTGTCTCGTGGAGAGTGCTGACTTGCTCCAGGTTCTTTGTCGCGATGGTGACGTTGTGTTTGCTCAGCAATGCGACGTGCAGTCCATCGGACGACCATACGACGTACTTGACGCCATTGACAGAAAGCTCAGCAAGGTTCTTCTTGGCCTGAATGTCGTAGAGTACAACCGAGGTAGGGGTGATCAAGAGCAGATTGCCAGTGCCGCCGAAGTAGATGTCGGTGGTTCCGTGCGGGGGCTTGATGGTCTTGGTAGTCGAGTTGCTGAGATCCTTAATGTCGATCTGTTGGTTCGACTGGTTGAAGACGGCAAATCGGTTCCTAGCCACGAAGACAGCAGAGTTACCGGAGCCCCGCTTAGTATCTGTCGGTTCCACTGCTCCTGATGCGTCGCGTGGAAGGCTGATCAGCTCGTATGTTCCACTGTCGGCTGGAGACGTGACGAGAATGGAGCGTTCGGCAGGGTTGTAGGACAGCGTTCGTGGAGGTACCCAAGCGCTTCCAAGCTTCTTAAGAGACAGCATCGATGGGGACTCGATGTTCTTCTGGAAGTCATAAGACCGGACATGCTTCTCCTTGGTGATGTAGAAAAGGTTGTTCTGGTAGACGGCGGATGCGGGTCGCTCACGTTCCAGCTTGAATACCATTACACCATTGTCGTGACCGGCAGCGAACAGATTGATCTCGGGATGCGCCGCGATGACCCAGAAGCGGTCGTTCTCACGCTTGAAAGACTGCACGGAGGTTCGTCGGTTGAGATCCCATACACGAATCGTCTTGTCTTCTCCAACAGACAGTATCAAATCTTGATGCGGGTGGAACAGACACGCAGACGCGTTCTGGAAGTGCCCTCGGCAGGTATCAACTTCCCATGCCTTTGTCTCTGACATCCTCCACAGCTTCACGAGGCGATCGTCACCAGCGGAAACGATCAATGGTAGTGTAGGGTGGAATGCGACCCAGTTCACACCTCGGTCGTGGCCTTCAAGAACGAACTTGACGACCGCATCCGTGTTCCCAAACATATCCGCCTGGTTTTGGTTCGCGCGTGCCATCTGATCCTCAAAGGACATGGCTTGTGGTGCAGAGTGCTTCTTCCGGAGCCCAGAGATATCCCAGACACGAACCGACTGATCGAGCGAGGCGGAAACGATGAGGTCTTCCTTTGGATGGAATTGCGCGCACATGGTGTAGTGGTTGTGGCCAGTCATGGTACATACTTCGGAGGGTTAGGTGTGTTTCTGCGAGGGTTGCGATGTGACTTACTCAACGAGCCTGTCAATGTTAGCTTTGTTCTGAATGAGGCAGTTGAAGGTAGCACTTACGATTCTGCCAGTTCCATATACGAATGGTCTCTGTTCTGTGTTAGCCATTGTCCTGCCGACCCACTGCATGCGCTTACGGTCGTCGGAGCTGCTCACTATCCACGGGAGCTCGTGGTGGAAGAAGACGGTCCGGACATAGTCCAAGTGGCCGTTCAATGTGAAGAGACATCGCCGAGTCTGGTAGGACCAGACCTTGATCTTGTAGTCGTCACCGCCAGACACGAACCTGCCCAGTCTTAGTATGTTGTTGGCCCTCGTCACTTGTCCGGGGAATGCTCACAATGGCTGCGTCTTGTGGAAGTCGACGCCGCGGACCGGCCCATCGTGTTCTTCGAAGCGGTCTATAAGTGTGCCCATGCGGTAGTCCCATAGTTGGATAGTCGACGAGTGTAGCGACACGAGGATCCATGGCCTGAAAGCGGTCAGCGGGGAGGGGAGTAAGGCGGAGCAGGTGAGGGTACCTCTTGGGATGGAAGGCAATGCCCTTCGCACGCGAGGACTTGGACTCAAACTGCGCTCAGTTAGCTAGCTAGACAGTCGCATGGGCCGGGAGCTGCGTGCCTTGGTCAACATTGAGGGAGAGGAAGACATGGCGGAATTGGAGACGAAGCCGCAGCTTCACTGTCGTCTATGGTGACCTCAATGCAAGAGACAGCAAGCGCGGAGGGATACGGGTATACGGCAAAGAGAAAGAAACACGGTGTTGACTATTATGTTTGGTACTGCTGCCTCCTTGAGCTGCTGTTGCTAATGTTCGATATGCCACGCAACATTCCGATCAACAGCCTAGCTGTCTTGGTCCCTAGCGCGGTTTCCCCACCACAGTCACGTGAGATCTGCCAGACCTCGCTCCAACTCCGTCTGAAGGCGTCGGGTCCATGTTTCAATTTCAAGCGAACGTCGAGTTTCCACACTAGCTGCCGCAAGCAGAGCCTCACTCTTTCACGTTGCCTCATCCCAATCTCGCCTCTGCTGCGTGGCTCGGCTCCCCTGGTCTGGCGTCCTGCAACGATGCCCCGCAGAACTCACCAATGCGACTCCGTGTGCCAGCTGGCATCGTAGTGCCAACACTACCTACCCGCCCTGTGCAGGACAATTTTGCTCGCTGACCTCATTGGGCATCCATCCAGCCTGACGCAAGGTAGATTGCCCGAGTCTTTGTTGCGACTAATCGTTCGCGACCACGAGCATCCGAGTCAAGGATGGAAAGCGATGCTGTACATGGAAAGGGCAGCAATGCTGCAGACCCGCTCCGTGGCCGGCCAGCTCATTGCTGAAACGCAGGTGATAATTGGCGACAGCCCGCACACTTTTCTCACGCTGCAGGGAATTCATACCTCCTCCAGTACTCTTCTTCTTCTTTTGTGCTCCCATTCGATTACCACTGACGCGTTGCACCCAAACTGACCTGCACTTTGTGGCTTTTACCGATCTGCGAGCTACATTTCCTGCATTGCGGCCTATAGTACTCCAATTCCATCTGCACGATAAGCCAAGGCGTTGCAGGGTTCGCCTTCTCAAAACTCTCCACCCCTCCGCTCGAGCTCGCCGCTCAGATATCCCAGTAAAACACTCCCGGACCACCTCCAGAATGATACAGTCGACGCAACTCCTCTTCCGCATTTCAAAGATTAGACACGTCTGTCGGACTTTGATTCCTTAAGAAATCAGCATAATCACGAGAGAGGAGATCATCGATACGTACGCGATCGCAATTGGCTGCAAGCAAGCCTGACGCAACATTCCCGTCAAACCACCACGACGCCCTCCTGACAATGGCAATGCCTCACGAACCGCCAGCCGCCGCGCTCAACAGTCATCTGCAATCACCGCCCATGACGCCCACTCCTGATACACATAGTCGCTTCCCACTCCCTACATACAAGACTTCTCCGGTCCACAGGCGCACCAGCAACTTCGTGCAGACACCTCCATTGGAATACATCGAACCGACCGGACACGACTATCACTTCAGCTTCACCCGGCCACAGTCATGCGAGCCATCTTCTCGTCTATCGTCAGAGTCTGACCGTGCTTACCCAGCAACAACTCTGGAAGGATCTGACACTGATAGCGAATTTGACGAGGACAACGAGTCGGATGAAGAATGCGAACAAGAAGATGAAAGGCCAATGCGCCGGACAGAGAGTGCCCAGTTTGTACTCGAAGAACTGGATGACGATCCAGGCTACGACTGTGACGTAGAGGTTGTGCGACCAGACCATTTCGAAGACGCAAAAAGCGATCGAAGCGGCACAAAAGCAGAAATATTCGCGAGAATGAATGAGTTGCAGCTCCAAGAAGATTCCTCGGATGACGAGGAAAGGGAGCGCATATATCTCAAAAAGAAGAAACGATGGAGTGCAGGCATCTTCAAGCGCAGCCACAGCCAGAGCGTCGAAGGTGACAGCAGCTACTCCGACAACGACCCTCTCGACGACTTGGACCAGAACGCTCGCCGCCTGCGACGCCGCGTTCGCGGGCCCAGAAGGGGCTCACTCATCTTCGAAGATAGGGGCGTTTCAAATACCAATAATATCGCGGAAGTTGAAGAACCCGATGAAGGGACAACGGTGCCACACTGGAAGGGTCCGCCGTCCATCCCCAGTGATGATGGCTTTACACTGGATGAACTCCCGTTCTGGAAGGAGCAGAACATGATGGATGTCGAGTCCGAGTCTGAACAGGTGTCAGCATCACGATTTACGTAACTAGAGCCCATTTTGACGACCTCATGTTGTTTGTTTTCTTGGTTGAGGGCGTTTGCGAGCGACAAGCTTGGTGTCAATTGTGAATTTAGCGTAGCGTATGATATTTCGAATGTATCTACTTTTGCTTGCACATTGCTCAGCGTCCGACATAACGTATGACAAATCTACATGCATTGCGAAATTTGATTGCTCTTTTGACTAGCGTTCGTTCGCGTTTGTTTGTTCTTAGAGATGGTTTGGCATTGCGAGTCAGTCTGGGGCTAATTTTAGACAGCCTCAAGTAAACTGAAGGCCCACCAGGCGTCAAGCGGAAGCTGACGACCACTCGCACGCGACCAACTTCACGCACCGCCGACTGCCAGGCAATGCGCTCCGTCAAAGGACGCGGATACTCACACTTCCGTCCTTGATGCTCAGGCGCATACCTAGGTATTCTTTCAGTGACAGAGTGTTGCTCATACCGCGCAAGGTCGTCAGCCTCATTAATTTTGGATTCACGCACAGATTCAGCAAGCATCATCACTGCTTCGCACGCTCAGCTTCATTTCCAAGCGTTTCAGTTTCATCAGCATGTACAATAGCAGGAAGTCATTTTCCCCCTCTTGTACTGTCTGTTGGCACGCGCAGCGCTCAGAATACACCGCCCCTAGAAGGCCCACGCCCCGTCAGCGCTCCCGCTGTCAGGCTGACAGGCCGAAAAACGTAGTCGAACCAATTTTGGATCCCAACCAATGGATATTCTTGACCCCGCGATGTCTAAGCATACCAGCTCCCTCTCCGGATTAAGCACGCTATGAGTCGGCAAGCAACAACACCGTGCTGTACAGCCATCCTGCTGTCGACGGATCTGAGGATTCCGTTCAGGAAAGCTGATCGTGCCAGTAAGACAGACAACGATCATGTAGGTATAAGTAAGGCATCGTAGGCCACCAGTGAAAGAATCATCTCCTTACTCACAACCAAGAAACCATACTACAGTCTCATCTTTCCCTCTCTATTTTCCAATATCTCCTTGTTTCCTTTCTGTTTAACAAGCCTTCGCTTCTTAATCAGTAATCATGTTCACCATCACCAAAGTCATCGTCGCTTCGCTCGCTCTCGGTGCCGTCCAGGCCCTTCCTCAGCGTCTTGGGGCAAGGCAAGATATGGTCGCTAGTGCCAGCTCTGCTGCCCCAGCAGCACCATCTTCAACCCCTGACATCTTTGACGATCTCCTGACAGCTCCTACGGCTATCAAACGTTTCCAGAGGCTCCTGACTACCGGTCCGTCGAACGATGCGGAGCTCCTCACTGGGGATGCTCTCCGCAATGCGACCGTCTTTACCTTTACTAAGCCTGCCAAAAAGAGCACACCGGGTGGTACAGCGGTTGCAGCTGTCAGTCTAATCACTCACTCAAAAGATAACAACCTTACTAATTTTTCTACCAGAACATCGGTACCTTTCCAATTCTTACTGGCCTTGGTATCAGCACCACTGTAGGCTTCCTTGAGCCCTGTGGTATCAACTCTCCTCACGTGCACCCACGAGCCACCGAGTTCCTCACCCTAGTCGAAGGCGAGAATCTCGAGTTTGGCTACGTTCTAGAGAACCAGGTCGTTGGGCCTATGAAGAACCCGGAGATCGCTGGGTACCTCAAGAAGTTTCAAGGCACTGTATTTCCCCAAGGCTCTATCCATTACCAGTTCAACAACGACTGCAAAGACGCAACGTTTGTTGCGACTCTCAACTCAGAGGACCCTGGTACCAGTCAAATTGCGCAGAACTTCTTTGCCCTTAACCCCCAGGTGCTTGACGCTACCCTGAACGCCACAGTAAGCTCTATAAATCCTACATATTCCAGCTAAAGCTAACACACGCCACAGCAAATCAACGGCAAGGACATCGATAAGTTCGCCAAGACCCTTCCGGCAAACCTCGTCCAGGATGTCAAGGTCTGCTTGGCCAGGTGTGGGCTCTAAACTGGCCGAGGCATACACTACTTAGCTGAGAGAAACTTAACGGATGATTATATGAGAGCATGGCAGCACTAATTTAACGTACATAGCGACGGCGTGATTTAGATTCTTTGAGCGATTGGTGGTATTGGTTACTGGTTTTACTTCTTTGTGGATTCACCTTAGATCTTGTCTACTTCTTGTCTACACACTCCTTTAGTTATGCGAACAGAAAACACTTGTTTACCGAAAATGACTCTTCTTACGATGCTTAATCGCCTAATCCATTGTTGCGCCTAATCTTGCAACTAGCTTCGATAGAAGGCTTGATGACTATTCTATCTACATTTTCATTCATTACGCGAATTAGAAAACCGAAGTTTTCAGCTGCGATATCGAAGCGCTTGAAGAGCTAGTTTTGGAAAGGCAGGGTATGTCTGCCTTGGTCAACATAACACTTGTTATCTCGACACTCTTCCATTCGACCAGACGGACGCCATCGCCTGATGCACGGCGCCCCCTCTCCCAAAGAGGAGGCTTGGCGTCAGCTCGGGGCTGCACCGTTATTTGTCAATATTGTGGCCTTGGTCCCTCTCATCATCTTATTGCTGTATTGTTACTTCGTCTGACGATTCATGGAGTTCTGCAAGAAGTTGTTACGTTCGCGCGATAAGTCGCGTCGCAAACATGCGGGTGCTGCCTCGACAGCGCAGTCTGAGCAAGCGCCCACCCAGCCTCATGACTTTCTCGATTTGTCTCAACACCTCGCAGCTCAGCCTGATCGCTTGATTCCGCACTCAGGCGCTTCGTTCGATGATCCTACCACTTCTTCCACGCACCCGCAGCACTTGAGCCATGACCGGCAGTACGCCAAATCGATGCCCTTACATAGTCCCGATCCAAGTGTACAAGGAATTACTCAACCTATGACCAAAGGCAGAAACCAGGGTCTTCGAGTAGTCTTTGAATCCGCCACTACTTCTAAGTCTACTGTGGACATTGTGTTCGTTCACGGCTTGACTGGCAATGCCTACGATACCTGGCTACACAAGAACAGTAAGACACACTGGCCATCCGATATATTGCACAAGGACATTAGCGACGCGCGAATCATGATGTGGGGTTATGATGCAGATGTTACCAGCTTCTGGGGACACGCCGGGAGGAACCGTCTAGTAGAGCATGCAAAGAATCTGATGGGAGACCTCGTGCGACAGAGAGAAGACACAGCCTCGGTATGTGAAGCAATCATCAGCTTATCTCGCTTCTCTGACAGCACGTAGGAATCTCGAAGAATCATTTTCGTCTGCCACAGTCTTGGCGGATTGGTCGTGCAAAAGACATTGAGTGTCTCTCGGGATCGTGCTGAGGCTCATTTGCGCCAAATCGAAACATGCACGTGTGGTATAGTTTTCCTTGGAACTCCACACAACGGATCAAATCTCGCGTCTTGGGCTGTGCTCTGCACCAAGCTCGTATCGACGTTTCGGGATGCAAATGAAGCCATCGTAAAGACGCTGAGCCAAGAGTCGGAAGTCTTGCGAGATACGCAAGAAACTTTTGGCCAGCTTCTGCGTGTTCGACAAAGCCAAGGAACCGAAATCCAGATCACATGTTTCTTCGAGGAGAACGCCGTAACAGCTGTTGGCATGGTCTGTGACTTACTAGGCTTTTTGAAGTGTAGCTGACTGACGTGTGCGGTAGATCGTCCCAATCTCTTCGGCTACTCTGCTTGGCTACACTTCCTATGGGATACCGGCAAATCATATGGTACGTCCCTTTCACATGCGAACTAAGCCCTGCTTTCTGACTTATCCAGAACATGACTAAGGTTGCCACACGCGAAGATGTAGGTTATCGGCGGATCGTTGGAGAGCTTAAGCGCTGGGTCAACCACGCTACGCCATCTTCTCATGCTGTCATCTCATCTATAGACCAGGAAGGTCAGATTCCGAAGCCATCGATTGGCTGACACTTACGAGTTCAGATATTCTTCGATTGCTCGATACTAAAAGTCCACTTAAGAAGTTCAGCCAGCCCAATGAGTCCTTTCCTGGCACATTAAGATGGGTTTGTGATGATTCAAACACGAAGTTTCTGTCCTGGATCAAAAGGGGTGGAACACCCTACTGGATCACGGGGCATCCGGGATCGGGTAAAAGCACTGTTCTCCATCACCTTTTCCACAACCAGCACGAGATTTTGACGACGCTGCGAGAAGCTTGGCCTTCCGAGCCTGTGTTCGCGACTTACTCTTTCACTTTTCGAAGTGATCAAAGCCATAGGACCATCGAAGGGCTGCTTCGATCCCTGATCCACGACGTCCTGTCGAAAAAGCCACACTTGTTTGCATCAGCTTTCCCATCGTTGCGGACCATTTCGGATTTTCGCCGAAACTTTCTCCCGTGGTCGGAATGGCAACTTGAGCAGGCAATGTATAAGGCGCTCGATGCGGGGCCATCGATACCATTTTTATTCTTCATCGACGGACTAGACGAATACGAGGGCGAGCACTCTCGTATTGCACAGTTTGTCGATAGATTTTCTCGACGTTTACCCCATAACCTTCGACTATGTATCTGTAGTCGACCCGAAGCTGACTTCGTGTTTCAATTCATGGAGTATCCTGTCTTGAAGGTCGAGCAACACTCTAGTGCAGATGTGCAGCTGTACGTCAATGAACGGATGAAAGAAGCAGAGCCCTTACTCGGTGGGGCTACGAACTTGATCGCGCGAAAGATCATCGAAAAGGCCCGGGGAGTGTTCCTGTGGGTGAAACTCGTGATTGACAGCTTACAGCGAGGTTGGAGAAGGTACGAATCATTGGATCGTCTAGAGCGCCGTCTCCACGACATGCCTCCGGATCTTGCGGATGTGTACCAACGTATCGTCGAAGATATGGACCCTGAAGAGATGGAGGAAGCATGCCTCTTGCTTGCCATTACTGTCTTTGCTCAGCGGCCTCTGCTGGTACGAGAGCTGTATCACGCCTTCATACATTCTAATACAGCTACCCCGTTGGCCCTTCAAAACCACTGCGTCCATGCTACACTTTCATCTGAAGCACACCATCTTTACTCAGAATTGGAACTATTGGAGAAAAGGATCCCAATTCTCAGCCGAAGTCTTCTACAGATTGGCAACAACAACAACGTTTATGTCTTGCACGAAACCGTGCAGACGTTTGTCTATCAACGAATGGTCACCAGCACTTATCCTGCTGTTTCGCTACCTGCATATCGAGGCAATTTGCTGCTACTCTCGGCTTGTATCAACTACCTCACTTCCTTATTTGGATCGAAAGAATCCGTCTGGTCGCTCAAAATGCAAGAGATACAGTCGTGGTCAGAAGAGCAAACCGACATCTACGAGCTTGGAAACGTGTATCTGAACGGTACGGACTGGATCAAGTGGCATGAGAAGCGTAAATGGAGCAGTTTAACGACATATCCTATGGAATTAGGGTTTCTTCATTATGCGACAGAGCATTGGCTACGACACGCTGTAGAAGCGGAACTGGAGACTCAATCCGGGAACTGTCAGGTCCTTGACAGATTCAAAGGTCTGCCGTTTGACCTCTGGAGAAGATTGTATCAGGTCCACAATCCATATCATGGTAGAAGGATGCCTGTTACTATGTTGGCACTAGCTTTAGAAACAGGACTGAACCGGTATGCTTTATCAGAGATCGAGGCCATCGGAAACTACACCCGGGTTCAGAGTTCAATTTCGAACTTACCTTTACACTCCTTGTTATTCGCTGCCGCGAAGCTCGGGAATACCGACATTGTGGACCGTCTACTTGCGAAAGGTGTTTCATTTGTACCCGACAATGATTACTGGATGAGACTTCTTGATCTGGCATCGTATTCACCAAAGTTCATTTTAAAGCCGCAGCTCGGCTCTCTGCGCCACTGGGGTCAGGCTTGTCTATGCCGTGCCGTGCATTTTGATCACGCTAACCTGGTTCAATATCTGATCAATCATGGGGCTACAGTTTCGATGCTGTTGCCCGTTCTTCCTACGCCTCAATGGCTCGAGACCGGTGGTCTCTACCGGACTCAGGTCATATCTTCAGATCGTCTCTCCAGTTCTCTACGGCGCTCTAGAATTTCTATTTCGAGAGGTCATACGTACTCAGCGTCCGACACGAATGAATCATCGGAAGTATCATCTGGCACCTCGCGACTTTTAGAGATTTTCGAGGCCGCACGATCCTACGATCTACAGACGGATGGAGCCCAGACATTCTTAGACAGCGTACTCTCTGTCCAATATCATGCTCTGGATCATGCTATTGAAAGACGATCACATAGCGTCATAGTAGCCCTTATGGACTTTGTCGATACTAGGATATCAAGGTCGGAACTGAGTTCGGCTTTGATTCTTGCTTGCCAGCGTGGAGAGTCTCGATCTGTTAAGGCATTGATCGACAGGGGAGCTGATGCAGCATGGTCAAGACCAGGCGAGAACTGTCTTCTAAGGAACGCGGTGCCTTGCTATGCCCTCACATACGCGACCCATGCTGGCAATTTTGAAGATGTTGCTTTACTACTGCAAGCGGGAGCCGACCCAAACTTTCACCTCCCTAACTCAGCTTGCAATCCACCTCATGATAGTCCGCTTGGAATCGCGATTCAGAGACTGGCTAGATACCCCGAGAGAGGATCTTGTCAATCCGTGGTTACAAAGCTGCTTCAGCATGGTGGAAAACTGAGGATAAACATGTGTGATGACAGCTCCTGGGCGGTGCTAATACCCTTTTTGTCCGATACTCTGGAAACACCGTCAGTAAACACCGATCTGCTCGCTATAATTCGAAATAGGGTGTACAGTCAAGGTATCACGAGACGTGTTAATAGACAGTTTAGCTTCGAATATACCACATGATTGGCCCTGCCAATCCTGCTATGTAGAGATGTTGTCCATCATATCATGTGTCTTAACCTTGGTGTCGGCTCGATTGATATTATACGCTATATACCTCTAACAAACGACAACAACAGAGAAGACATGGCCTCATCAGCAATAACAGGTGAAGAAGGATTTCAGCAAAAATACATTTATTATTGTCCCTCGTGGACACTCACTAGCGCGATTACCAGTACGCTGTCATCTCTTGATACTGCAGTAATGGGTCGGCGTAGCTGTAACAATGGACCTTACCATAGAATTGCCCTAGCTAGTAGGTGCTGAGCCATATATACTAGCTATATAGAGCCAGAGTATTGCCCAACCCAACTGCACTTATACATATATACAGCGTTTCATTTTGAAAGGAAACGGGCTGCTTTTAGCTGCCATGATCTTTACCTTTACTCGCGCGAGACGCATGCGCATCACTTACATCGGTCGCGTCAGCTGCATGCTGTGAACGGCTCCGCATTCAACAAAGTGCATACCAAGGTAACGCAGACCCATTTTAGCCACGCTCATGCTTGGCGTACTAATGCGCGTCCTGCGACAATTTACCTTGTCCTTACATATTAGCTGTAAGCATACAATCTTTTATTTCCGCACTGGCCCGTGAAGGGTACCCTTGCATTGTCATGCGAGGCCCAGTCCAACATCCACGGTTTCCTTCTATGTGTGTGTGTGTGAATAGAACCTACAAAACACGTTAATAAGCTAGTATCAATATTAATTCGGTTAGTTGTCAGGTAATTGTCTCAAAGTTTCAAGACAGGCAGCGTAAACAGTATGTTTGCGCAGCAATTGTAAAAAAAAACATACGCTCCATTAGCTGACTAAAACACTGCAGCCCAGCCCTACAATACCTCTCTTGTTTCCTGGCCAAGTGAATGCGAATTCTCTCTTTGCTCACTGTGCTTCAGCGATATCGCTAAGCTCAGTATTGTTGTTTTGCTCGTCACTATTGGCATTCTCAGCGTTGTTGCTATGCTTCGTCTCTTCGGCAGTCTTCGGATCTTCGTAACACTCCACCGTCTGCAGAAGTTGTAAACAAGGATGTTTGACATTCACACAGTCAACCATTGCAAGTCGTTCATCTCCTCCAGTAATAGGCACAAACGCATCGCCATTTTCCCACGTGCCATAGCCCAGCTCCTCGTGAGCAAGTCGTTGCAGTTGTAGAGTGCCGTTCAGCGTCCACTCGAGCTGATGGTAGGGGTCGAGTTTGCGCCAATTCTGGATACATTCCGCTAGTGTCTCGATACTATAGGAAATGATAGCCACCACGGTGCCGAGACCAACAACGAGCCCGAGGCCTAGAACTGAGAAGGAAGTGTAACCCTTGGAACGCACTTTCTACATTATCGATCGTTAGCAACCATTTGTAAGTTATGATTATGGTGAGGGCTGATCAAAAGACCCAAACGCTTTCCCCACAAATAAGGCTCGATACCAAGGGAATCCCAGAGAGTGGTTGGTTTGAGTGGACCGGCGATCCATGTGTGTTCTGACATCATCCTTTGAGAAACCACGTACCTGCTGACATCTAGCTTTACGTTCCATGTCGTTATCAGGAGGAATAAAGAAGCGCTTCACACTCCTATCGTTAGGGCCCGACGCTTGCTCAACTGTCATGCGCTGCAGCGCTGCCAATGATGTAGAATGGAGGTGTTGAATCTCAGTTTGCCATTGGTTTGTTGGCAATGGCCCTTGGATACCGTGATTCAAAGTGTACCTAGAAGTCAGAGCACTTACGCCCAAACGATCAACAATCGTTTCGATACTAGGCGCCATATTCAAAGCCCATGTCATGGCATAGACAGACGCATTCTGGACTGGGCTGTAAGAGAGTGTCTGGGCCTCCAAAGCCACCTTGTTGAAAGCTGCTAATTGTGTGCACCTGTTCTCGTTAGGTTCGCACCACTGATGCTGAACCTTGCAGCCAACAAACGATGCAGGGTGATCCGAAAAGTATCTTAGTGCCTGCTCAGATCCCTGACTTTCAACTTTGGTGATAGCAGAGTACCAGGGATCCGTGACAGGCTGCTCAAAGATAACGTCATTGGTGGAAAGTGCTAGCAGCGTTAAATCTGCTTCATCGTTTGTCTGATTAAGCTCTGGAATAGGATCAAAGTCGCCCCAATTCTGCGCGTAGAATCTAATAGGCCTATGCCTGTTCAGCGACAAGTATCATAGATGTGCTGGTGATGATGTCAAAGAAATATACATACATCAAGGTGTAATCAGCTGCGTTCTTTGCGTCAAGCGAAGTCCGAAACGTAGAATAGTCGTAGGTGTAGTTGGCATCGTTATGAAGATTCTTCCCGTACAGATAATTGGTGAATGATACTTGGTACCCTTCGATGGTTTTGTTCACACTTTCCGAGTATCCTTCGGTGCGCAGCGGCGCGCATGAAGTAACGCGCCTGTAATCAAAGCGATCCCTTGGCTCTGCATTGATCCCTAGATCTGAGTGGCTGTTGATGCGCCCTGTGTCAATGACTAGATTGTCTCCATCCAGTAAGCAGACTTTAGGGTCGAAGGGACACGTCGCGTTATCGACAACACTCATTGGAAGGCTCTTGCGGGTGTATGTTGGACAGTCCGTGGCCACAGCATCCGAGCGATAGCAATTTCTGGAGTAATCAGCCGCTTCCACCGTCAGGCGATTGGAGTAATTGATGAGATCATCCACATCCGCTGTGTCGAAACCACTATCCCACCAGAGATAACCACAACTAGAGCTAGACAGAATGACTTCGTCGCCCATGGAACTGGAGATGCGGGAGGAGAATACTCCAGCTGTGCCAAATGCTAGTGCTAGCGAGAGTGCTAGAAGCAAGAGTGGCATGAGTCTTTTGAGGGTGTTAAAGAGCTTCATTTTGCTTCGCCAGGTCCAGATCATCCAGAATGTATCAATTGTTATGCTTGTGGCGGATTCAGAGTTGCGTAGCATGGCCTGTCGTTGATGATATAGCGCGTCTTGCGATGTACGAGAAGAACACCAGCGGTGCAAGCCAAAGCAAATAATGCTCCAGATTCTCGCTCCGACGTAGGTGACGAAGACAGCAAGAGCAGCCGTTAGGAGAGCACCATTGCTTCTAGTGAGCGTGAGAGTTGCCCCTTTGATGGGACTGTACGATCGATTATTCCAGAATCCAAGGAAAACGTTGTGTTCGGTAACGGTTTGGGCGACTGTTTGACTCATCTTGGGGTCAGTGGAAGGTCAATCAAGTGGTATGTCGTATCCAGAATTGATTGCAGCTTGGAATTGAGAAAACTTGGAAGTTTTATGTGTAGATGAATTGGTAGGTTTGGGGGCAGTAGGCTGATTTTTCTTTGGTCTCTAGCAGTGTCGCTGCCTTGGTGTTAGATGTGATTAATTATAGTAGGTTTCCGATGCCTACACATGGTACGATCAGCTGCACGGCGATCCAACCCCCTCTTGAGGTCGTGAAGACATCTTTGCACACCACTGTTTGCTGAACTTAGATCACAGTGCAGCTAGATAGCGAACGCGAGCGATCAGAACCAAAGCACGGTCGCCTATCAAGCTTGGCTGTGTAAACCATGGGGCCAGCCTTTCGCAACAAGGCCGAGAAGGAAATCCCAATGAGTTCTCGAGATACAGTGTTGTGGGATCCTTCATATCCAAAAAGTCGAGTCTCGAACAAGTAGCAGCCGTCTAGCAGGCGTTTCAACAGGGCGTATAAGGTCAATTAGTAAGAGTATGCGAACATGCCTTACGCAACAAGCCTCATCGAGATTCTTGGGAAAAGACAACTGCCTCACTATAGTAGGCTGAAAGACATGATACGGCTTAGAGGCGCACGCACCCGTCCGGAGATCGAACACGACGGCAGAATACGCATAGCGAACGAGTAGCCAAAGAGCCGGCGCTTTGAGAGATTTGGCGTAAGCAAGAACTGTGACCGGGTGCATCGTTGCGAAATGTTGTAGAGAGTTCACCCGAGCTTACTTGAAGGAAGGTGCAGGCGCCACATGGCTGTGGCACGGCAAGCTGGACCCTGGAAATGTTATTTTGGTGACTGTTTCCGGCCCCGCAACGACTCATTCAGCTGGGCGCAAGACTCACCAACAATCCATACACTTCAGCTGAGCTTAGCACGACAGCCTTAAATCGCTGTTTCTGCTCGACCATTGTCTCTTGTCATCCATACCTCACTGTCCCTCTCCGTCTCAAGTCAATTGGCACAACAGCTGCCCCTCGTACCCCACCACGGCCGACACCATGGCAGACCCCGTGGCGATCCAGCAGGAGATTGCTGATATTGAGAAGAGGATCGAAGAAGCACAAGCACAACTCAAGGATGCAAAGTCAAGATTACAAAAAGCTCAAGAGGCGTCGTTTGTCAACCCTGGTGCGAACATGTCTGAGGAAGAGAAGATGGCGCTCATCAAGGTCAACTTGGCCGAGGTGCTGAACCCAGAGATCATGGACGAGGCGCTCAAGAAGCAAGGGCACTTGAAGGTTTACTGGGGTACTGCGACAACAGGAAGACCTCATTGCGGTTACGTATGTACACATGGCGAGATACTGTCGCGTGCACCGCTAACAATACATGTTCTAGTTCGTACCTATTCTCAAGCTCGCGCAATTCCTTGCGGCAGGCTGCCATGTCAAGATCCTCCTCGCTGACATCCACGGCTTCCTCGACAACCTGAAAGCTCCAATCGAGCTCGTCAAGTTCCGCGCAGAGTACTACCGCTACACCATCACCGCACTGCTCAAGGCCGTCAAGGTGCCAATCGACAAGCTGGAGTTTGTGCTAGGATCGAGCTACGAGTTGAACTCAGACTACACCATGGATCTCCTGAGACTCGCAAGTATAACAAGTGAGGCGGCGGCGAAGAAGGCAGGCGCAGAAGTTGTCAAGCAAACAGAGAATGCGCCTCTGAGTGGACTCATCTATCCACTCATGCAGGCCCTTGACGAGCAGTACCTCGATGTAGATGTCCAGTTTGGAGGTGTAGACCAGCGCAAGATCTTCGCGCTCGCAAAGGATGTCCTTCCCAAGATTGGCTACAAGGAGCGCGCGCACTTGATGAACCCCATGGTTCCCGGTCTACAAGGAGGAAAGATGAGCTCTTCGGACCCCGACTCTAAGATCGACGTACTAGACGATGCAGACGTCGTGAAGCGCAAGCTCAAGAAAGCCCACGCCGCACCCAAGGTCGTCGAAGACAACGGTGTACTCAGCTTCGTCGAATACGTCCTCCTTCCCGCCGGCCACCTCATCTATGGCGAACCCAAATTCGTTGTCAAGCGCCGCGACGCCGAGCCTCTCACCTACACAGACATCAAGAAGATGCAAGAAGACTACTCCAACGACATCCTTAAACCTCAAGACCTCAAGCCCGCTGTCACAGAAGCACTCAACGCGCTTTTGGAGCCAGTGCAGAAGGAGTTCCAGGCTAACCAGGCGTGGAAGGATATTGAGCAAAAGGCTTACCCACCACCACCTGTCGTTAAGAAGGAGAAGAAGGTCAAGAACAAGGGTACTTTCCACCCTAAGCGCAACGTAGAGGCCAAGCCAGACGGACACGTTGAGGGTGAGGACAAGGCCAGGGTTGATGTTGGAACCGAGGGCGGAGACAAGGCTATTGAGGGTCTAACGCTAGAAGAGAAGAAGTAGACGAGTTTGATATGAGGATTTAGTGATACCGCGTAGATGCAACATACCAATTGCATCCGCCACTTGTCTATGCTTCGGTGCCCAGGGTGATTTTGACTCGCTGTACCCATCGATCTGCATCATGATCTAGTATGATCGAGCCTTGACACTTGTAGCATGGCACACACCTATGCACGTACAACTCGATTCAACAATTCATAAAACTACTAACTTGATGACTTCCCAGTTGACCATCCCTTTGCACTAATTGTTTGGAGGAATATAACATCCACCCTGATTTCTCCATTTTTCAGCATACTTGACGCACTGCCCACACGGTCTCTTCAGGTCACACTTTCTTTTCTTCTCATAACAGGAAACACACCGAGAAGACGTGCCCTTTTTCCACGTGAAGCTATCGATGCAATTGCTGTGGTCTCTAACGATGGTACAGGGTGAACAGGCACTTCTGTCATCGCTCTTGCCATCGCAATCGTTGTTGCCAGTTGTCATGCACAAGAGGCACATCCTCACCGACGGCGGAGAAGCGCTAGTAGAAGTAGGATCGTTTGGTGGAGGTGTTGGAACAGGCGTATTGGGTGTGAAGAAAGGCGAATCATGTCTTAGCGGAGGCAGTTCGGATATTTCTGTAGATGATTGAGGTATCGGAGTAGATGAATTGGGGCTTGGAATAGAAAAATTGAGTTGTGCGTTGGGCGGATAGACTCTTTGTATAGGGGACCTAAGTCTTGAGGCATAGTACTGAATATTCGGAAGAGGCGTAAAAGTAGTAGTATTAGCGACTGAGTTGATTTGCGGATTGTTGAGAGTTTCTTGTTCCGAAGGGTGATTTTGCTCCAGGTGCAGCTGCTGGTACTGCTGTTCTAGCGGTGCAGAGGAAGGAGTCGAATCAGTAGTGGAAGTGGATTGTAATTCTTGGAACAATGCTGCTCTGAGTCTCGCATTAAACTCCTCGTCTTCCTGGAAAGATTCATCGGTTTCCAGCGTGAAGATATGAAATAATAGAAGTTCCTCCTTCTAGGGCAACATCATTCTTTCCAAAGACTTGGACCCAGACTAGAAGTCCGCTTTCCCACCCATGACCTTCGCCGCGTTGACAGCGCTCATCTTGTTTGCCCATCCCTGCGCAGGGACGATCTTGCGCACAGTTCTGACTTCATCAGATGCGTAGCCAGGAATACGTATGTTGTAATTGCGCTCAAGTATGACTTGGATGTCGCGAATGTCGAGCTGAGGTGAATCACGGAGCTTGGACAGTTTGCAAGCGTTACTAATAACGTTGTCGACAAAGTCATCTGCGAGTTGAAGAACAGCCTACACAAGATCAAGTTGTTAGAAATGTTTTGTGTGTAAGAATCGAGGCTTGGAGATAGCTTACCTCTTCTACCTCTGGTGTCAAGGCCTCCTCGGATCCGCCTGTTACCTGCCGAACAAGCTCGTCCAGCTTGCGTTTGCTAAGCACACGGTCGCCCTCGCCTTCGAGCTGGAATGGGGGTGGTCGTGGGATAACAGGTTGACCCATTGGGCCTGGCGCTCCATTTGTGGGTCCGCTCATGGTAGGTCGAGCTTGTCCCATGTGGACAGCTTGAGGTGAAGTCACATTAAGATGGCGTGGAATTGGCATCTTTGGGTTGTTGAGCTGCTCGCGCTCGCGACTTCCAAAGTTACCGCCCTGTCCGCCCTGTTGCATCGGCGTGTTTGTGCGTTGAGGGTCGGTGTAGGACCGGTTCGCGGCGCTGACTGCAGCTTGGTGCGAGAGAGGGACTGGCGGACCAGGCGCGTTCGACGCGGCGGACTGTGGGTGTGGTGAGTTGCTCTGCTGGTGTGCATTCGCTTGCATAGGGTTAATCTGGGGTCGCTGTTGTTGTTGCTGCTGTTGGTGGAAATTCTGTTGCTGTTGTCCTTGTTGCGAAAACTGCGGCATTTGATTTGGTGGCATCGTCTGCGAGTGAGGTGCTGGCGGAGGTCGAGCCTGCTGCTGCTGCATTTGTTGCTGTTGCGGAAGCTGCTGATTGTGTTGCATCTGTTGCTGCTGCGGCGGTCCTTGCTGAAGGTTTCCTTGATTGGCCTGCATGTTGAATTGCGGCTGAGGTTGGGACTGAGTTTGCGGTTGTGGTTGTGGTGCCTGCCCACCCTCGATCTTGATCTGGGGCTCCTCTTTCACCTGGGGTTGCGCAGGCATATTGGGCTGTGAAGGCTGGCGCTGAGGCGGTTGTGGCTGTTGCTGCGGTAGTTGCTGCTGCTGCTGCTGCTGCTGCTGTTGTTGTGGTTGTTGCTGCGGAGGTGATTGCGCTGGGTTCTGGCCTTGAGCTTGTGCCTGGCCTTGGGAATTCTGTTCGCGCTCCTCCTTCCACTGCTTTTGCATAGCCCTGAACTTATCAATTTGAGCCTTGATCTTGGCAGCCTCCTTCTCGATGTTGTTCTTCATCAAAAGCCGCTCCTGAGGTAGCTCCTGCCCGTTGTTCTGCCGTTCGGTCAACTCTTGGATAATCCTCCGTCGCTGCTCAGTCAAAGTCGCTTGTTTGGCAAGCATGTTGAGGTAACCAGTCCGATACTCCTTCAGTTTGTTCTCGTACTCTGGTGTGCCTGGCGTAGGTCCATTTGTTGGCCCTTGCATGGGGAAGTCGTGAACGTGCTTGACGATGGCAGGATCGACCTGGCCGCGCCCTGGGTTCTGTCCTTGGTTGGGCTGCTGTTGTCCTTGAGCTTGCTGGTTGGCTTGTGCCCCAGAACCTTGGGGTTGAGCCTGACCTCCTTCTTGCTTGACCGCGTTGGCGTTCTGCTGGCCAGCTGCACTAGACTGTCCAGCTTGTCCTTGATTTTGGTTTCCCTGCTGCTGCTGCTGCTGCTGCTGTTGCTTCATCTTGGCGCGATATTGACGTTCGCGTCCGATGAACTTTTGCGACCATTCCGTCAGCTTCTGACGCGCGTTTGTATTCTCCTGGCTGCCTTGCGGGTTGTTGTTGAAGATGGTCCAGAAGTTCTGCATGATCAGGCGATACTTCTGCTTCTCGTCTTCGGGAAGACATTGCAGCTTGAGTATATCATCAGGGCGTAGCAGCTGTTGACCTTGCTGCTGGCCGCCGCTGGTCTGTTGTGGCTGGGAGTCGCTCATATCGAGGGCAGCGGACTTCCGAGCCGCACGTTGGACGGTTGTGGTGTCGTATACGAGATTTGGCACGGGAAAGCGTAGATAGTGTGTCGCGTAGTTGCTGCGATTGAATTACGTGTGGGCGGAGATGGGGGTTTGGTGTGTGAAGTAAGATGCTGGGACTGATGAGGTTTGGAACGATGGTCAATGGAGCCTTGGAAGGCCAAGCACTCGGCCACTCCCATGTCGCGCGTTTGTACGACCGCACGTGCACGCGTCTTGTCTCACAACACAACCTTTGGGACTCTACAGCACATGAACAATTTCTGTAAAATGTTTCTATTATTTCCGATATATAACTAGAACTATCGCTCCGAGGCAAAATGTATCCCCCTATTTTCAGAATCTGTCTTCCTAGTCTCGTTCTTTGCGAGCGCCCGCTCCCTGGTATTACGGACCTCCCACTCGAATTCCTTGAGTGCCCTCATCTCGCTACCGACAAACAACAACCCTATCAATCCATCAATTACACCTACACTGAATCCTAGTGTGCTCAACAACATGAGTATGAAGGACACGTAATTTTTGGGTGACCACCAGACGCCTATTAGACAGCCAATGGAAAAGGAGAGCTGGTAGAAGAAGTGGCCTATGCGCAGCTTGCGCTGTATCCTCTCTCGGACCTGGTATTTGAGTATGGTTGCCATGATCTCGTCGTAGGTCTCGATGGGCAGATAGCGTTCAGGCAGTGCCCATGGGGTTAGTCGTATGGCTGATGGTGCAGTAGAAGTCCTTGTCAATGTCGCCTCGACGGAGAAGTGGTCGCTGAGGGAGCAGTGTAGCGTAGGATGACGCATTTCCATACCCACGTTTGCTTCTTTGAGCGTCCACTCAGCTGTCTCTTCCTTTGTCTCCGGGTTATGGTACCGGCCGCTACTGAAGAAGACGTAGTCAAGTCTTTTCGCATTTGGATCTGGGACCGTGGGATCTATCTGGACGTTCTCGCCTTTTGTGAGACGCCTTTGCTGCGCTTTGTTCCACCTCCAAGAATTCAACTCACTGTCGCATGTTGCACCATTGACAGTCATGTTGTACTGGGCCGATGGCATTGGTACGCCGCGCACCTGCTCCACCTTGTCTTTGGCTGCGCCGATGGAAGAATCCGGATGCAGTATGCGCCACACGTCTTGGACAGGCGAATGTGTCTCGATGATACGGTGTGCGAGGGACAAGGGAATCATGTTGAAGTCGCCCATGCCGATGACGAGGTGGCCGCGCTCAGCGGCTGCGCGCATGAGTTTTGTGATTTCCCACGCTTGGGCTGTTCGATGGCAGATGTAGGAATCATGGGGTTCGCGTTCATAGGGGGCGTGGAGCTACTGGAATGAGTACGTTTCCTCTGTATACGAGAGAGGGACATACATGTGTGCAAAACACCTCTGCAATATCTCTCTTGGAAGGACCCATCTGTATCCTCGCACATGCAACGCCCTTGCCAACAAACCAATCTCCGCGATAGAAGGCAGCAGGCCGTCCGTTCAATGGATAGCGCACCATATTGCTTTCGACAATGGGCCATCGTGACAGAATGACTAGACCACCACCGAATATTCCGCTGTGGTAAAACTTGCCATAAGGCAGGATATGGCGTGTCTTTTCCCGAATGGCATGGTAATCTTGCTGCGTCCAGCACTCCTGGAGTCCTACAATGTCTGGTTGCGGATTGGCGGCGGCGATCTGGACTCCAATTTCGGTAAGACGCTCATTGCGGAGCTTGGAGATGAACTTGAGCCCCCAGCAATTGAGAGACAGGATGCGAATGCTGGAAGGCGGTGCGGCGGCCTGTGAAGCCATTGTGAAAGTCGGCGTGAGTTGAGTGGACGGGCTATGATGCAACTGGGGAAAATGTACCTGAGATGCAGGGATGCCTGCGCGCTAACTTCCCATTGCCGATCAGTCGCGTTTTCCCATTCCCCTGCGGACCACCAAACGAACCACTTTGGGAGCAAATATGGACTCGACACGATCAACCTCGCCCAAACGACGACGCGAAGACGAAGACGGATACGACGACGGACGGCCGCGCAAACGCTCCGCTTCCCACGAACCGCCCAATGCCTCACCAAGCTATAGGATAGCGGAAAGACCCGCGCGCCGCTACAGCAGAGGAGACAGCGAAGACGAACAGCGGGAATTCAGAGACAGGCGGCCTTCATACTCTCCCTCACCATCGCGGTCACGCCGCTCAAGCTCGTCATCCTCGTCGCCCCGACATCGCACTTCCCCGCCCTCTAAACCGACCTCTCTACACTATGCGCCTACGCTCATCCTGCGTGGCCACAAGAAAGCCATATCGTGCGTCAAATTCTCCCCAGACGGCCGCTACATCGCCTCCGCGTCCGCCGACTGCACCATCAAGATCTGGGACGCTAAAACCGGAGCACTTGAACACACCCTCGAAGGCCACCTCGCTGGTATCAGCACAATATGTTGGTCTCTAGATTCCAAGATCCTAGCCAGCGGCTCAGACGACAAGAGCATACGGTTGTGGGACACAGCAACTGGATTGGCGCACCCAACTCCCTTCATTGGCCACCACAACTACATCTACAGCATAGCCTTCAGTCCGAAAGGTAACATGCTCGTCTCAGGCTCGTACGACGAAGCAGTCTATCTCTGGGACGTACGCGCCGCCCGAGTAATGCGTTCCCTCCCTGCACACTCCGACCCCGTCGGTGGCGTAGATTTCGTCCGTGACGGCACTCTAATCGTCTCCTGTTCTCACGACGGCCTGATCCGCGTGTGGGATACAGCAACAGGTCAATGCTTGCGCACCCTCGTCCACGAAGACAATGCCCCCGTCTCCTCCGTCATCTTTTCTCCAAACGGGAAGTATATTCTAGCCTGGACCCTAGACTCGTGCATCCGCCTCTGGAACTACATTGAGGGAAAGGGGAAATGCGTCAAAACCTATCAAGGCCACGTCAACAAACAATACTCGCTTTCCGGAGCGTTTGGGACATACGGCGAGAAGGAGGAAGGTGGGCAGCAACATGCGTTTGTTGCGTCGGGAGACGAGGAAGGACAGGTTGTTTTGTGGGATGTTAGCAGTAAGAATGTGCTGCAGAGGCTAGACGGGCATACTGATGCTGTGCTTTCCGTGCATACGCATCCGAGTGAGGAATTGATTGTTAGCGCGGGCTTGGATCGGACGATCAGGCTTTGGAGACCGAACGAGGGCAAGGAGGTCAACGGAGTGAAGACAGATGATGATGAGGGCAAGCCAAATGGCGAGGGGCACGACGAGGACATGAACGGCATCAGAGAAGAGGAGAAGAACGGCTTTGATCCCGATACCCTTCCGCCTAATCCTTTTGCTGAGGGTTAGCAATTCTTTGGCCAAGGAGACGATAGACGAGGATAACAAGTGATGATTGGATATGTGGTTTAGTTTTAGATACCCAAAGTGACTAGCCTTTGCTTGCTATTGCGTATCCTTCCCTATCCATTCTTGTGTAAACTGTCGTATATGAGAACGCCTTTAGCTACTTATGCCACGCTTTTTGGTATACCCCAACGCCCACCATGCAGTAAGAAACGCCATAAAATGCACCACCCAACCTTTTCATACTTCCCATCGTTCAGCTTTCTAGCTAAAATGGATGCCTTCCTGATTGAATGCATACAACAGCTTCAAAAAGTCACCCTCATCACACAACCTCGCACGCTTATCCGCCAACTGCGTCTCATCCTCGAGCACCTTCCTCACCTTCTCCCTGACTAGCTCACTCAGTCTCCCCTTCTTCTTCCTATTCACACCATTTTGCCTCTTCTTGCTCTCCGCCTGGAGTTGCTTGAAGAAGTCTGGGAGTTCGTCGTCGGGGTCATCCGGATCAGAAAATCCCTTGAACTCATCGTCGACGTCCATCGTCTCCTCGTTATCCTCGGTGATCTCGGAAGGATCCATGGGCGTATCATCAATCTCAATATCGTTCTGAGCACACCAGAGACGGTAGTTACTGCTCAGCAACTCCAACACCGCAGCCGTACCCAGGAAACTCGCCCTCAGCGTCCTGTTCTTGCGCACGAAGCAGATGCGTAGCAGACCGTCCCACTCTTCGTATGCAATCTGTGGTCGTGGGTTCTTGGGCTCGATGCGCACGACGTTGCTCTCTACCTGTGGCGGGGGGTTGAAGTTGTTGCGTCCGACTTTCATTACGTGGCTGACTTTGCTCCACATTTGGACGTTTACGGAGAGTCTAGAGTAGAGCTTTTCGCCGGGCCGCGCGAAGAGGCGCATAGCGAATTCGCGCTGGAACATGAGTATGCAGCAGCGGGGTGGGTGCTGCAGAGCAAGGAGCTTGAAAACCAAGGGCGAGGAGATTTGGTAGGGCGTGTTGCTTATGCAGACGTCGAACCGTGGTAGCTCGGCTTTTATTACATCGCCCAAGCGGATTGTGAGACGCTTTTCCTCGGGACTGCCTTGTACACGCTTGGTGAGCTCGGCGGCCATTCGGGGGTCCATTTCCACGGCTGTTACTTGTTTGGCGGCTTTGAGGATGAGGACTGTCAGGTTGCCTGTTCCGGGACCGACCTCGAGGACATGGTCGCTTTGCTTCAAGTGTGCTTTCTGGACAATGGCGGTGGCGACACCAGGGTTCTTGAGGATATGTTGACCAAGATCTTTGTCCATCTTGAAGATTGAGTGCGCAGCTGAGGCTTTTGCGGAAGTTGGGCGAGCATAGGGAGAGGCATTGCTGTCGACGGCCTTTGTGCGCTTTTGCTTTGCTTTCGGCATCTTGGGCGGTGGAGGTGGTTAAGGTTTCGGTGCAGGCGATTTTATTTTTGGGGAGACTCGGAAGATCGCGATATGTCTAGGGTCTCTTACGACGCGGTCAGGTGTGTAGTCTTGGTGGCTGCGGGTGTCGACCGAGCTTGCGATCGGTGGGCGTGAGCTGTTGGATCTGGAGACGATATTTTTTGGTGTTGCAGGCGGAGTTATCGCGGGGTTAAGCCATGTGAGCGCGCGACTTAGCGTTGCGCGTCTGCTTCTCATGACGTTGATGCGACTTTCACTGCATCCTCAGCCATTTCGCATTCTCTACTATCCTCGTATGAGATCACGTTTCTTCAATCTTTCCTCTAATTGTTTTCACTCATCACATCGTCACTCCTTAGAACCTGTTGCTACCCGTCACTCTCTCCTGAAATACCCATCGTTGCCGACGCGCTCCGTTCCCAGCTTCTTCGATATTTACAGTCCTTGCCAGCATCGCAATCACTTCGGCACAGTAGTCCCTGTTCACAGATACCCGAACCTGCAATCTCCTCCTTCACATCTACAGTTGTCCAATCCGCGCTCACCAAGAAATGCCATCAGGAGTAGCATCTTGAACTTTTCCTCTCACCTGCCACGTGCTCGCTCCTCTCAGCTTTACCGTCGCTACGCACATCTCGGTCCACCTGCTGCATATATAAGAAGCTTTCCGTCCTATCATTCCCGCCACTCTTCAACTACACTCTCTACTTCTCCGGCCCCTATCACCTCCGCTACCTCGAGCACGAACGCCGACAAGCGTCTGCCAACGCAAATCATGGCAAAGAAGATACCAAACACTTCCTCAGACTCGCCACTCTCTTCCCCTCCTGAAAATACCGCTTCAGCTACCGAGACCGCTGCTGTAACTCAGCCAGCAGTAAATGACAAGAAGAGAAAGGCCGAGACAATTCCGCGCACAAGGAGGAGTACAGCACAGCATGTCGATATCGAAGATGACGTTGAGGGTACTGGCGAGTCATCTGAACCCAAGCAGCGCGTAATCAAGAAGGCGAAGATTACAGAAGAGGTTGAGATCGACGCAGATGGTGACGGCAAGGTCACTGCCAAGACCTCTGTCAAGAAGACTGCAAGAGGCAAAAAGATGAAGGCCATTGATGAAGGTAACGACGTCGAAGACAAGCCAAAACCTAAAGCCAAGACCAAGACCAAGACCGCAAAGATCGAGCCACCCCGCGCAGAGCGTACCAAAGACATTAAGCATCGAATTGGCGCCCACGTCAGCATCGCCGGAGGTTAGTCGCCATGCTATTCTTTTTTCCCACACTCTGCAAAGAACTTTGGCTAACGTGGACTCGACAATCGTCGTTTAGGTGTGCACAATTCCATCGTTAATATGGTATACATTGGGTATGTTTCGCATCTTCACTCACCACATGGTCGAGTTATCGCTAACATTCACAGGGCCAACGCCTTTGCTCTGTTCATGAAGAACCAGCGTAAATGGGAGTCTGCGGCCATGGATCCAGAACATGCCAAGTTGTTTATTCAGGGGTGCAAAGACCATAGCATCAACGCTGCGGAGTGTTGTCTGCCCCATGGTTCTTACCTGGTCAATCTTGCTCATCCCGATCCTGTCCGCAAGAAGCAGGCCTACGACTCCTTCTTAGATGATTTGACTCGTTGCCACGCGCTTGGCATAAGGCTCTACAACTTCCACCCTGGTAATGCAAATGCGACTACTCGTGAAGAGGGCATTCGAATCATCGCCGAGAACCTCAACCGGGCGCATGCGGATCCAACAACTGGTAAGGTCGTCACCGTACTTGAGACAATGGCATCTCTCGGTAATACCATCGGCGGCACGTTCGCCGACCTCGCTGCCATCATCAATCTCGTCAATGACAAGAGCCGTGTCGGTGTTTGTTTAGACACCTGCCATGTCTTCGCTGCTGGCTATGATCTACGCTCGCCCGAAGCTTACGCCGAGACTATTGAGAAATTCGATAGGGAGATTGGGCTAGAGTATCTCAAAGCCTTCCACGTCAACGATAGTAAGGCTCCATTGGCAAGTTACCGTGATATGCACGCCCGTATTGGAACCGGTTACTTGGGTCTTCAGGCGTTCCACAACCTAATGAACGATGAGCGGTTCTACGGTCTTCCTATGGTCCTCGAGACACCCATCGACACCATTGACGAGAATGGCAAGAAGGTTGACGACAAGGGCATTGATGCCCGTGAAATCAAGTTGCTTGAGAGTCTCGTTGGCATGGATAACAAATCAGACGACTTCAAAGCGCTCAGTGCCCGTCTCCAAGATGAGGGTGCATCCGAGCGCGTGCGCGTTGGTGATCAAGTGCAGAGGAAGACAATCAAGGATGCGAAGCCGAAGAAGAAGCGCGCTGCCAAGAAGAAGGCCGAGGGTGAGGATGATGAGGACACGGAGGAATAGAAAACAAGAATTTGAGCTTGTACTAGACGCTACCGACAGGACGGTTGGTTCACGCCAGGCTGCTTTACCACAAGCGACGGCTCCGGTTCCAGTGCATCCCATTGATTGTTTGATGAGAGTCGGAAGCAAGTGTGGATAAGGCGGACAAAGATGGTTCGAAAATGCGCCGATCGATTGGATCCTGGCTTGGGCTTTCTTATGCGATACCCTGTTTCATTGTTCCAACGACATCTACTTAAGCGCATGTTTGGATACGTGCCGTGGGAATCTACAACTTATATCATGCACTTTTTACTGCCAAAGGATCACTCAGCTTCGGATCATACACCGTCCATGATGATTTGACATACAAGTCTCGTGAGAGCGTCAACATGCCGATGGCGTATGCCGAGGATGTGTGCCGATCTGTTGTGTGAGTCGTATTGGACCTAGGAAAGCTTACCTCGCGTTTACTGCCATATGATCATTGGTCAGACACTCGTAGCAGGATCAGTAAGCGTGCATTCGGCCGCAGTAGCTATGGGTGTCTGAGCAACTTCTACGCCCCGACTTGACTAGGGCTGAGATTGACGTTGGTGGATGCAGCCGATGTCTTGTCAGTGGTGTGCATGAAGGAGCGTTTCTGCCTTACGGGAAGCCGATTTCAGCCAGCTGAAGTCTGCCACACTATTAGAATCATGAGGAATCTTCACCGTCCCTGGCGATAGTCTGTCACAATCTAATCAGCCCTAGGAGCTACGGTCAACATATGAAAGCTACAAGCTTTACGCCTGTGGCGCATGAAGCAATGCCTGTCCAATGAACAGCATCGCTACTGCTTTGAACACCGCTGGAAGACTCACCTGGTTCATCGCAGAACAAAGTCGTCATGTTGGTTGGATAAAGCCACCATCTTTTACGGTGTAGCAGTAATGCGAGGGTTGCTTGCAGTCCGTATAGCATATGATGGAGTAACATAAAGTAGGAACAGTAGGCGGACTGGAAGCCACAGCACCAGCCTACTGCACAGATAACAAGAGATACTAATGCTTTTCGGATGCGGATGCTTCCACGCTCCCTGCGTAGAATGATGTAGTTGTGTTCTAGTGGCTTGGCGGTCCCTGTCGTTCCTACGGTCTGCCTCTGGCGCACTTCACTACACACGCTGCATACGCGGTCTGACGACATGTGCAACATACCCGACGAGCAGTGTTGCGACCAGTTACAAGGAACTCACCAGCTGGCTCCTATCTGCATATCCTGGACTCATATACAGCTCACCCAATCATGTAAACCCCGCTTCCGACCTAGCCTGATCAGGCCCTATGCCGCGAACACGTGAGTCGACGAGCTTCTTCTCCTGCCAAACCTCCACCGCCAGTCCAGGGTGTCAACGCCAGCCCTGTGGGCCCAAGCCTCGCCTGCAGCCACGGTATGGAACTTCTCCGAGAAGCCTAACGAGGGCAAGCGGCCTGCATACATCATACACAGCATCGTTCAACAGCCATATGGCCACCGACGTGCATTGACAGCGAGCGCTTCAGCTTCAGCTCTTCCTAGTCTTATTAATTTCTGCGCCTGGAACTTCACGCCATTCACTTCGCTTGCTAGCAGTCCCTACCAAGTGCATATGGTGGAAGCATGGTCGGTGTTCCGAAAAGCACTGGGTGCCTCATCTGCCGCAAGAGGAAGATTAGTAAGTAAATCATACCCCTCTTCCTTGCGGATATCTCCTGACTAAGGGTAGAGTGCGGTAAGGCTAGCTCCACAAGACCGGCGCGACTCAAACGTTCTGACTAGTGACGATTAAGACGAGACATGGCCAGCGTGCTTGAACTGCCAGAAAAATGGAAAATCATGTCCTGGGCCGCCTGCGCGACACACATTCAGAGACCTCGGTCCTAGGCTGAATGGTGGCGCGACGAACTTCGCAGTTGAAGAGAAAACCACACCACCAGGTGGGTTTAGCTGGAATGAAACTGAGTGTTATGCTGATCACGTCACAGATCAACGAAATAGACACTTGACACAACTGAACGAGAAGTTTGCCGAAAATGGCTCGGTCACCCACAAATTTAGGATCTCAAACAAGAGCTCAACGACCCGGAGAAAAGCTTCGCGATCAAGTTCAATTAGTTTAAGTCCACCCAAAACGCCCTTTCTAAGACATCCGTCGCCGTCACAACATCAGCAACTCGCTCGCGCCCTAATTTCAGCCACTACAACCGGCAGTACAGGACATCGGATGTCTGTCTTTGGTCCGTTCATCCAGGAAGTTCCAGCTAGGATTGGGCACAACGCAGCTCTCGATGCGGCCGTAGCCGTGTTGGTCAACGTCCATACTTCGCTGGTTTACAAAAAAGCTGCAGACGAGATCGTATCCCCAGAACTATATATCCGAGCGATCAAGACGCTACAGTCATGCCTCGAGAGCCCACAATTAGGCATGTCTCCGAATACACTTTGCGCATCGGTACTTCTCGGTCTGGTTGAAGTAAGTCCCATCCGGCTGTTGCTTATGACCATACTTATATGACTAGGCGTTTGCAGGTCCAAGAATAGGCAATCGATATCTCACGCACGTAGGCGGCGCAGGACGATTAATGGAACTACAAGGACCCTCCAGGTACAGAGACACTTTCACAAAAGAGATACTGCGCTTCAACCGAGGTGGAATAGTAAGTCAAAAGAGTCACAACAGGATAGTCGAGTCTTTTGGCTCGGAGGTATTGGGTCTTCTGACTGAATACTAACATATCGGCAGATCATTACATGCATATACGAGCGCAAACCATGCTTTCTCGCGTCTCCCGGATGGCGAGAAATCGCTTTCGACAAGACCGGCCTCAGTTTCGACGACTGCCTGAATACTGATCTAATGCAATACATGGCCGAATTGCCGGGCATATTTCATGCCCTGAAAGAATTAGGCGAGCGCTATGCTTCTCAACCGTCACAAGCTACGAGCTTCGATGTCAGCTCAAACGACGAATTGTGCAAATCACTTTCTGACACACCGCCATCCCTTGATTTTTCTACCGACTCTTTCGAAGAGACGGAGTTTCTTGAAGACCTGCGACCTATCAAAACCTCCTACCCGATCAATGCGAGGCCTTACACATACCGTTACGAATCTGCGCGGACGACACTCTTGTACAAAGTATACAACCTCAAAGACGCTGTCCGTAGCCTAGGTGAGCACCTGAATGCCAAACTCACCAACGGCATCGCCATTTCCGAGACACCAGCTAGAGAAAAGAACAGCCCTATGCAAACATCCTATCACTTCAACAACTGGCGCGACATGACTGCCTATAACTGCTTCTGGTCTGTCGTCATTCTGACGAATAAAGTCCTAATGCGGCTTCTACCACCTTTCGACCAATCGCGCCATGAACTGCAAGCGGAGTGTCGGTCAGTTGCGACTGAGATTTGTAAGACATGGGAGGATGCCTGGGCTGGCAGACCGATTGGTGCATTCCACACAGGCTTAAGCTTTGTCGTTGCGTACGAGTACTGCACATCAGAAGTTCAGGTGTGGATAATCAAAAGGCTAAACTCCCTTCTGGACTATCATCAGGTCGATGCGTTTCGATGGTCGGACGAAGTCATTACCAGCATGTCCGCTAAGCTTGCCGGAGAGGGACCTGATGTCGCGTTCTCGAACGTCAGGGCCTCGGAAAATGCACGATGAGTTGTACATCTGTCAGGCCTTCATCCGTCTAGGCTTTTCAATGTCTTCCCGCTGATCCAAGCGCAACTCGAGATCGAGATGCCTCGCACGGCCGCAGCCGGTCAGAATTTGCACACCTCGGCACACAGCAGGTGGATGTCTCACTTGCATCTTACTTGCATGCGGCTACAAGATATCCGTCATCAGCCCTACAACTTCTGTGGGGGCAAGGAATCACATGGCTTTCACGTTGTGGTCCAGAAGCTGACCCTTTGCTCCGCATTCGTACCAGTCTAGCGGTGCAGGCAAGCCACGGCGCCTATCCTACAAGACCTTCATCTACTACCTCCCATCGGAAAAATTATGTCTTACTACCAGGGGATTCCAACACACCTGATCTAAGCCCTCATGCTTACCAAGCCAACTTCATCGTGTTGCCAGGACATCTTGGCCCCCAATCCAGGGCGGGGTGACGGCCCGCAACCTGGTTTCGCACATCGGATGCACGATCAATGCGAGATCTAACAAGGAAGGTGGATGAGACTCGCTCCATAGCAAAATCAACCAACTTTTATTGTTATTCTTTTTGTTGTACATATGCATACATGCATGTATCCCAACATCGTGTCTGATGTTCAAATCAAGAAAGCAGTAAAACCAACATACTGTTCCTGCAAAACCATACCGTGCAAATACAAAGGCGAAGCCAGGGCGAAAGGATTATTGAAACTATAGCATAAGAAGTAAAGAAATGAGGCGGGAAAAAGCAAAAAACCGTTGTCAACGTCTGCGCCACACGCGCTACTGCAGCAACGATAGTAGCTGCTCAGCCCTGGCCTCCACCAACTTGACTGACTGCCTTAGGTCTGGATACCACACTTCTTCTTGCACTCTGCACTCCCAATAATAGCTCCGGTACCTACTGCAGGAATCATCTGGCCCAGGCTCTCGGTGTTGAGAGACGCATCGCCGAAACCGGCGCTGATGACATCTTGTGGGACGGTCCAGAGGCTGGGTAGGATATTGAGGGTGCCACTATCGTCACTGTTGAGTGCGCTGAGGAGGAGAGCGGGTTCGCAATCTATGAGTGTGATTAGTAAAGTGTGATATACGAAAGCGTGTGATCAGGGACCGGGTAAAAAGACGACTATATTTTGAGGCTGAGTGCCGCATCCCCGATTGAGTAGTAGATAGCAAGAGAAGAAAAGAGTCAAACATACCATTGTTCTGCATCGTGTGCAGACTTCCTTGAGGGAAGATGGTAACACGCATGGGAATGAGATCAACTTTTCTGGTCTTGACCCCATTCTCCCCAATCATGTAACTCGTTGTGTTACCCGTAATGGCAGTGACTAAGTTGGTAGCCCTAGGGTGCAGATGCGGTGGCAGCATTCCACAGGGAGCTAGCTTGAGTAAGGCAATGCTAGATCCCATGCCAGTGAGAGCAGGGAAACTGGCAGCGTCGGCGTTGATGACGGCGCCGTTGGGTGAGTCGTAGTTTGGGTTCGAGTCGAAGTCGTAGTACCAGTCTGTGTCGGCAGGCAGGAGAGCTTGTCGGTCGAAGTTTGTGGCTGCCATGCGGAGGGCGGCGTTCAGCTCGGGGTTGACGGTGCGGGATTTGGGCATATCGGTGGCAGTGATGAGTGTGGGGAGGAGGGAAGTGAGGAGGAGGATGGCGGTGGTGAACATGATGGTGGTAGTGTAAGTATTTGAGATTAGGGGAGAGGGTAGGAAATGTAGTGTGTTGAAGAGATGGATGGTTGGGATGCTGAGATGTCGAGATGTTCCGACGATGGTTATATGCTCTTATATACCATCAACTGGACGACGGGAAGTGATGTTGGTAGGTAGGGTAAGATAGACGAGTAGAGATCGATCCTATCTGCAAGGGTAGAGAGATGCAATAAGGCGTGCTGACTTTGGGGCTGAGTTGATATGGAGTAAATTGTAGTAAGCAAGTGAAGTCTATCGATTTCGATGCCGTCTATCCAAGCCACGCATGGAGACTTATATAGATCTGGGCCGCATACAAGGCTGGGTATCGATGCAGTGAAGAAGAAGAAGGGCAAGGGCGTGTTCGGGCGAGATGGACTGCTGACCGCTCTGTCTTGCTCATTGTCGTAGCCTTTCAAGCCACTGTTACTCTTGCCCGGCGGAGGCGTCGCTAGAAGGGTTGGCCGTTCATCGGAGCGTTCCTGACTACGGAGCGTCCTTCCCACCCAGCTTGTATCGTGACCAGTTGTCTCAATAGCCTCTTCAACGCAAGGTGTTTGCTGATTGCACTGTTGCTTCCGACGGTTTGAGTTGATGATTCAGTCATATTAAACATCGTCAAGATTTTTTGAGAAGCGGTCCGGCCCCAGATATTTGCTGCTTCTGTAAGGTAATTAGGTACATAGGTACTTCTGAGTTGCCTGCAAACCCGGTTTGCGGATCGATGCCTGAGATTCACACCATGTGTGCGGCCACATCGGACCAGGAACCGGGGTCAACATAGCGCGTGGCCTAACTTGACTGGAAGCAGATGTGATAGATTGATATGTTGAAATGTTTACTTGTCACTGGTGAGTTTCAGTGTCTGTGCAAACCTACTTGTAACGAGAAGTGGTTGTAAGCGTGTGATTGAGGAAGCTTCATCACCTGCTTGTCGCTGGTACGAGCTCTACTTGGAAAACGACGCCGATTTGGTGTCACAATTTGAAGCCTGTGCGCGTTTCTTGGGGGCTGTAGAAACTGTCAGGAATGAGTGGGTCCAAGGTAGTGACTGCATATCGATTGATGGCCGTTGACCTTGTGCTGCCGACCAGTGTTTGAGCTACCATCAAGCGTCAAAATGAATCGATAATCTGACAGGCGCCTTACGTCGTTGCGTCAGGCGCCCCTTGGGTACAGACTGGCTAAAAGCGCCACAGTTCTACCAAACGAGGCGGAGCTTAGTCAAGTGTGTTGATGGAAGAATATCGATATTCTTAGTGACACAACCGCACTAGAAGATTGCGCCATTGGTCGTCCAAACAACAAGCGTTGACCAACAACGATACAGGTGTGCGTGTAATTGTGGACGAAGCGCAACGCGCCGGTCACGTTGTGGCCCTGTTGCATTAGCTTTGCCGTTTCGGCCGGCTGTGCTTTAGTGTCGTTAGACTGATTGGCTGGATGCAAGCTTGAGAAAAAAGATGCCTGCATCGTCGCGCAGCATGTTTGTGCATCTTGCCATACAACTTTGGGTACATTAAGGCAACAACTTACCGTGATGAGATATTTTCTGCACGATCACATCCGCAAAGGTGCCTTCTCCAGATTAGTATCGATCGCGAAGCAAGCGCAACGAAGATTCATCTCTGGATTGATCGTGACACGGAAGAATTTGGCCTTCGTAGATCTAGCTCAGTGTCTCATGCAGATGATTTGAAGAATCGGAAACCGGATTAGGGTGCTTTTTGGAAACGACCGAGACTGCGAATAAGTCGAGAGATTGTACACCATCTTTGGCGCCCCGAGCGTCTCCGGTCTTTCAGAATGATGAAGCTTCGGTATTTACTTTTGGGTTCCACGTTCACGAATTCAGACCGTCCCTCATCAGCCATTCCAACCGCGCAAGAAGAGGCATGCCAACGACAGCCAGTGATCACTGGTTTGCAGCAGTACCATCGTGATCATTCGTGTCCGCACGCATGAGATAGGACATGACGCCCCAGATACCTCTCATGGCTTCGGTGCGATCTTCGACTTTGAATAGGTCGAACCACCTCGTTCTTTGCAGTTTAGGCGAGCACCAGTCGGAATCCGATGGCGCCTGGTCGGGGAGCTTACCTTCCGTGATGTAGTCAAGATAAGCCGGATGTATGCGTAGTTTCAAGAGGCTGATGTGGTGATTCAACGACGAGATCATGAAAACCTAGAATGGCGGATCAGCGGATGTAGCTTCCTAGAGCTGTTGCACAGGGCCCTACATCGTCCCACTCAACACTTTTGTCTTTACCAATGGCCTTGTAGGTCACTTTAGGATCCCACAGTGGGTTCCCAGGTCGTAGCGTTTTCCAGATCTCTGCTGGTGATGGCTTGCGACGGGCTTTGGACCCGTCACGATTCCGTTCAACAGGCTTCTCTTCAAGTTTAGGAGCTGCGGCAGTCGAAAGTATCTCGGTGGTACCGATTGTCTCGCCAACTTCGCCCCCAGGTCCTCCGCCCCAGCGCTCTTTTGTTGTCCACCATCTACCCTCGCCACCTCTGCGCTCAGACTTTCCTTCTCTAGCTCTCTCCTGTGCCAGCAACAATAATCCACCCAACTCACGCACGGCATCAAGAGTGGACTGCTTCTTTAGGTTGCCTGTCAAACCAAAGCCAGTATCTGCCCTGCACTGTAGACCCAATACTGGACCTTCCATATATCCATGCCTGGCCTTGGCCCTATCCTGAGGTGCCTGCCAAGCTACAGAGCTCATACGAACAGGGAACCGAATGTGCTCGATCGCGAGGACAGGAGGGCGGCGGTGTGGTGAGAGTGTCACACCAAATGCCCATGCAATAGGTTCCAAGAAGCTACGCACGCAATCAATGCGGTACTGATCAGGCATCTCGACACCATTCCCAATACGATATCCTCGGTAAGAGCCGTTCGAGAGGTCGACTGTCTTGCTCTGAGACTCCATGTTTGCCGCCCACGGAGTCTTGGGCGGTGCCGCCCGAGCTGGGAGTACACGATTTGGAGAAGCTGAAGACATCGGTGCACTCGTCGATGCTTTGATGGTGCCATTAGTGCTATGAGCCTCGGCTGATCGTGTTTCGCTTTCAGCATCTTCTACCTTGGCCTTCTTGCGAGGCTCCCCGTCTTCAGGCGTGCGAGACCCGAGCCTGGCTGTCAACGCCCGGTCTGAATCTGTTTCGCGTTTGGTTTCCCGACCATCGGCTTTTGTGGACTCTTGCAGGGAACCTGAGACTGTGGTTTCTCCACTGCTATCGCTAGCTTCTTGGGCCGGTGGAAGATATTCATCTAAAGATGTGTCCCAGTAATAAGCTAGATTGTCAAGACCTTCCCAGAACTTTCGAAAATGAGCCAATCGAACCGGTGTTTGATCTGCACTACTCTTCCGCGTGAGGGTCGAGAAAGCATCGTCATTCTTGAAGAGAATTTCTCTTGCCCGGATATGAAACTCTCTTTGATCAGGTAATCTTCTACCATTGCTCAGAAGTTTCGCCGTAGATCCCGGATCTGGTACAGCCTCTTGTTCTCCAGGCGAATGCACCCAAGAACTTGGGGGTAAGAACGTCCCTGCGTTGTTTGACAAGGATGATAGTAATGTTTCTAGACTACATTGGGGCTGAAACGTGACGTTTAGCAAGGCCAAGGTGTCTTCGCTGACATCGGACGGCTTCTTCAGTCGCAGGAAGTGTCCTGAGATCTTGGCTCCCGGCTGGGTCCAGGAAGCTGGCGGCGCGTTTGTCGAGGGCTCAGGCGGGTCAAGGGAAGGAAACGTGACGGGTGTCGGTTTCGAAGGTGGCGACCTCTGTTTCTCTGTATCATGTTGCCCCGCCAGTAGGTTGCCTATGAACAAGATGTCCTATATCAGCAACAATACTGCACGTGCGGTGCACGTCTCAGACGAAACATGTGTGGGATATATCCACTCAACAGGCAGAAGCACCCCAGGTAGTGTCTGCAACAAGCAGCTTAACAAAGTAACGAAATACACGAAAGTGAGAGCCGCCTCAATTGCCATGGTGAACAGCGCCTGTTAATGCTGTTGTTGACGTGAGTCCCACTAAGAGCGGGCAGAGATACGGCCCTTGTTTGCGCCGACAACATGGCCTTGATGAACCAAGTAAGGAATCAACGAGCAAGGTACTTACCACTGAAGCTGAACATGGTCACAGGATGGTGGTACAGGGACCGTGATTCTTAGGAGTGCGTCGAAATCGGCGATGGGATGTCAATGTCGAGCGAGGCCAGCGGATCCTCAAACACTGGACGTGCGCACCGCACCCGGCACAACAACGTCTCCACACCCACCAGCAGCTCTACCTCCAAAGCCTTCCGCAAGCACACAATGTCGATGCATGACATCCAACTCTGGAAAAGCTAATATAAAAGATTGTGATAGTTGCTCTCCACTAGTCACACCCAGCGTAGCTGCCGAGAAGCTAGGAGCTTGTTCATGCGTTGAAGCGCATACGGCTGTCAATTGTTGTCACTCGGACTGAATGAATCGCAAGAGGACCAGGAAGATGCTTCCAAGAAACCACCCAGGTGCAAGAGGTCGAATAGAAGTATTTTTGCATCTTCGAGTTGCTTTTGGTGTTCAATCACGTGCTCACAGACGTCCCGTCCCGTCGGCCAGTTGTCGCAACGCCAGAAGCCTCCAACATCACACTACTTTTCTGTCCCATCGTGCATCGTCACATATGTCATCGCGTCCGCAAGAATGGCTACCAGAATGCTTTGTCGGGCGGCACGGCTTTCGGCTGAGACGGCCATACCGTTGCCGCTCAACTGTGCGAGGCTCAGCGCGCTTCATGTGCATTGTCCGAAGCGCGATGTGAAGCCGCCCGCGTTTCAGACGGATACAAGCGCAACATACTGTGCCAACGGTTGACTACTACCCGGCCGTTCTTCGAACGCCTACTAACATCTCTCGTCGTTAATCATTCATTCAGTATCACGTAGCGGTAAACTCCAATTTCCCAAGTTAATATGCACAAAGCGTCCGCGGCGCTTTGTAACCTTTCTCTTCGTCTCTCCTTCTGAGCCCTTGTCGGCGTTTCTTTCCATGAGCCATTGCTCGCATGGCCACTCCTCAACAGTCGATTACGACCGTAAACGGGAGACGATGTACCCGTTCACGAGCCCGAACGGCCCTTACAACCTCCAAAACTACAGAGACATCAACCGCCGCTCCTCCCGCCGTCACTACATCCACGGCCGCTGAGGAGACATCGCAAATACAGACCACCACCGCCCAGACATCGTCCCCGCCTCCTCCACCGCCGCCTTCTTCGACGGCACCGGCCTCAACAACTACGCCAGCCGACCAGCCAGCACAGCAGCCGACTGCAGTGCCGACAACATCTACAACAGAAGTAGCAGCAACGTCCGCGATAGGTACGAGTACCACGGCCCCTACATCTTCTGAGCGGGTAACACCGCTGGCCCTCTCGTCTTCAGAGCGTGCAACGGCAGCCGCCCAGCAGCCACCAGAGACTCAGGCGCCGCTGGGAGAATCTTCTCCAGTCGCCGTGGTCACTCTGTCTCTGTCGTCACAAGTTGCTGCAGCGTCTTCAGCTGTGCCTCTGACCTCTATACCAACAAGCTCTGACACAGAACAATTAGCTGTTCCAACGTCACTCGTTGTATCTTCGCGCGTACCCGCCCGCTTCACAGCTCCGGCTATATCCAACGGTCCTACTCAGGACACAAGCCCTCAATTACCTATCGAGACCGATACGAGGGCACAGCCATCGATCGTGACAGATTCGCCCGCCCAAGCACGGCCACAGCCAACTACTTCATTAGTAGACTCTACACCCACTGGAGGGTCGGCTGGTATAATTGCTCCAGAGGGATCCACTGGTGGCGATGACGGCCCCCTGACCTTTGCGAATAGTGGCAATATAGGAGGCATAATCGGAGGAGTCTTTGGTGGCGTCGCTGCATTGGCTCTTATCAGCATACTGCTCTTCTTTTGTCTACGGAAACGGAAGTCGCGACCAGTACGATGGAACGAGAAACAAGAGACAGGCCCAAGCTTCCTAACTAGGCTGAAGACGATACCTAGTGGGGTGGGAGCATTTGTTGCGAGGATAAAAGGAAGCGAGGCTGGTCCGATGAGCAACCCCTACCAACGTCATGCTGCGCAAGCCAGTGTTGGATCAGTGTACTCGAGAGACTCTAATGGCAGAGGCCGATCGAGCAGTGAGCCGCAAGGTTTCTTCGGAGTTAAGCGCGCAGGCTCCAACAACAGCAGATCAAGCAAGAAGAGTGAGAGGAATCTGCTCCGCAAAAAGCCAAGCAGCATATCATCCAATTACCGGTTCCCAGGCATCATCGAAGACACGGGGTCGCCAAATCCATTTGCTGATCCTGGACCGCAAAGCAAGCTATTGGTACTCAACCCCGACCCCCGAAGCGCACCTGTCACACCCCAAGTTCCTGCAGCGACTGCAGACGCCGCGCCACGAGATCCATTCGCATCTGTCATGGATCCACCTGGAGCTGCGCCAGCATGGGCTCAACCACCTACTCACCATCATCAACGGACGATGAGTTCGATATCTGCGTTAAGCTCACACCCTGTCTCGTCGTTCTACACAGCAGACAACCCTTTCCGAGACCCACCTTACGCACCGCCTGTTCCCACCCAAGCTGTCCTGCCAAGCCACACCCGTCGTTCCTCGACGGCATTACCGGGCTTCAATGCGCTGTCGACCGTGGATGCGACATCAACATTCGCTTCGCGTGACTCTGATATCTTCTTCGGAGAACCGGGACCGAGCAGACCTTCTACCAACTTCTTCACTCCCGCACCGACAGGTCGAACAGTCCGACAGTCGGATCCTTTCGACCTTGACCGGCCAGAAGTTCTTGGCTTTCATAGTATCTTCAACCGGAAAGATGTGAATGGGAGTATTACCCGACAACCCACACGAAGTAAACGGACAAGCAGTGTTGGCAATTGGGGCAATACCGCGACAGACGTCAACAACTACGGATTGTTTCCGAGAGACAGTACAAAACAGCCACCATGGGGACCAAACGGTAAGAGATGACGATGACGACAGATAATGTCACCACGAAGGATGTTGTCGCGTAGATTGCTGCTCTAGAGCACACAGGACGCAAGAAGACTTAATGAACAAAACATGGACGTTGTCCCACGATCTTTTCTCTCGATGGCAGGAAGTATTCCGCGGGATCCATCAAATCACTTTTTTCCAGTTTTATAAACACTCAGCGAGCAAATCACCCCCTTTTTGTAACATATATCTCTACAAATTCCTTGTAGCGTAGGAGCATAGCGTACAATATACCCCATGAATAAGAATACGTATACCAGTATCAACCTAGCAAGCAAAACCCAGTAATTTTACGTTGCATTGACTGAAAGTTCGTATAGTCGTATCGTACGATAATGGAGACATGTGGCTTTGTGCCAAGATGAATCTATCGCTTCAGCCTGAGGCACGGGAGTGATGCGCTAGATGTAAAGTTAAACTGACACTGTGAGAAAGCTACTAAAGCGCATAAGAAAGTAAGGCCGCAAAAATAAATAGTCCGTGTTATTCCGCTCGGGTCCGTCAAGACCTGTTGGGATAAAAGAGTATGTCAGATGTCGATTGTGCAGGTTGAACGCCTAACAACGCTGTCTCACGTTAACCCCGCTTTAGCATCCCTCGAGCTTCTTCTTCTCTGCAATAACAACACGATTCTCTTACAAAACCTGTAGCGACATACGATGATCTCAACCATTTCACTCAGGTAGCATCAAGCTGCTTTCGCCAGATCTAGTAGACACCCACGATGCTGTGTGAGATCTGCCTTGATATCTTCCGAGGCTCGTGTCCAGTGAAATATACTCTGCACCATAGCTCTGTTGAGAGCTTGCAACGATCCGCCCTCGAGGATTGCGAGATCTGTCGTGTTTTATGGACTTGGATATCACGCCAGTCGCAGTTAGGCCGAGAGCATGCTGACGTGGCCACAGTGGCCTATACGGAATTTGACGGTGACGACGATTTGAATCACTTCTTGGTGATTCACCCCTTCCCACCACTTGACCTTAGGGAACGGTTCTACGCCTATAAGGCTGCGGACGGTATGCGGATTCCGTCGCCAACGGGTATCTTATGCTGATGTTCGAGGCAGAAGACTACAAAGATCCTGATGCTGATAAGTCACACGACTATCCAAACTGGACTGGTCGTATGACATGCGCGAGGACCTGGTTAGCGGACTGCGTAGAGAAGCACCCCGATTGCCCAGCGTCTCGCCCGAGCCAGTACATATCTCGCGATAACAGCGAAGTGTCTGAACATACAGTGACAGACGAGACCGAAACACACCTTCCTACACGTCTCATCGAGATTGGTCAACCAGAAGCCGATAGAGTGCGACTGCGGTTGCGCTCTGAGCTGGACAGCACCTCCTCACATTATGCAACACTCAGTCACTGTTGGGGAACCTCGAAGTGTCTTCGATTGACGGCAGATTCATTTCAACGCTTGAGAAATGGAGTAAGAATTCTCGAGCTGGCAAAGACATTCCAGGACGCTATATTCACGGCGAGTTCGCTTGACATCAAGTTTTTGTGGATAGACTCCTTCTGTGTCTTCCAGGACTCAAAGGAAGATTGGCAGCAGGAGTCAGCACTCATGAGTCGGGTATATCGTCATAGCTTGCTCAATATCGCAGCTAGTATCGCGACTGATAGTGAAGCTGGTTGCTTTCATGAAAGATCTTCCACAGTTGAGCCCTGCGTCGTTCAAACTACGTGGACCGATCGTCCGAACGGCACTTATTATGTTTACTATGACTCTTTTTGGGAGGATAACTTCGATCATATGCCCCTGAACCATCGCGCTTGGGTTGTTCAGGAACTTGCCTTGGCCCCTAGAGTAATCCATCTCTGCGGCAGCCAGATGTTTTGGGAATGTCACGGCTTGAGCGCCTGTGAGACCTGGCCTAGTGGACTACCATTCGAAATGTACAACCTTTCGATAAGGTCAAACAGGTGGGCTGCTGCCATGAAGATATTTGGCTCGAAAAGAACCGGTGAAACTAGACCCCTCCGTATCTCTCCGGACAATAACGTTGGAGTTGACACGCTTGTATTTAGGTCAATGTGGTCAACTATCGTGGAGGAGTACAGCAAGTGCGATTTGACATTCCCGAGCGACAAGTTGGTCGCGCTATCTGGTATTGCAAAGCACATTGGACAGCTCCTCGATATCGAATATTGCGCGGGGCTTTGGAAATTTGATCTCGTTGCAGGACTAGCTTGGTACTTGAAAAAGGAAAACGACAAGAATATCTTGCCTCCAACAGAAGCCAACCCGGTGACTTACCGAGCACCTTCGTGGTCGTGGGCATGTCTCGACGGTCCAATAATCCCATACAGGCCTCAATGGCTCCAACAGCATCACTTGGTCGACATCATCGGTTGCGATATCAAGACCGCGACAGCAGATCGAACGGGTGCGGTCGTTGACGCTTCTATCCAACTGACTGGTCATCTAGCAACGATGAACCTACATCCAGATTTTGAAGAAGTCCGAGATATCTATTTTGATAAGGGGTGGAATACATTAACAGATTTGCCACCAGGTCGATTGAGCCTCGATCGTCGTCCCTCGTCATCTCAATTGCACTGCCTGCCCATCCTCTCGATGGATCCATATCTATGTGCTCTTCTACTCATTCCCACTGGATCCAAGCGCGGCCAGTTCCAAAGGGTAGGTATCTTTTACTTGCAGTCTCTGGCCTTGGGACTGAAGCGCTGGAAGTCATTTTCAGAATTCGAGAATGAGTCATGGCTAGAGTACGAGTCAATAGGTGATGACGGTAGATGCACGATCACAATAGTATGAAACAACCGTCGTGGATATCCTATGAATGCCCATTCATCTTGGTTGCAGGAGGTTAAGGGAAAAGAACAGACAGATAGAGAAATTATAAGCTCTACCTTACAGCTTATATTACCTTAGAATAAGAAGACTTATAAGGACTAATAGTACTGTAGTCCTCTAAATCATCTATCCATATCTTGGTTATTAAACCAACTGTTATTTTAATCTTAAAAAGAAGACTAGGGATTTTTAGTTGCGATCATAAAAGCATGTGTGTATGTGAGACGAGATTCTGCATAGTGATTCGCTTTGCATCCATTAACATTATTTTTCGTAGTATCTACTCAGAAGAAGATTGTTGAGGAAGCCTTCTGTCGTTCTAGTTCAAACAACCCCGTTTATGCGATGCCAAACACCTTTGTAGGGGTGATAGTGAAGTTGAGTTGTGGTGCAACAAACTGGTTGTACCTGGCCTCGTGGCTGCCGGAGAAGTTGTAGGCAGGGCTGTCATGTCAAGTCAGCGTACGTTCTTGGTCACATTTTCTAATAGGAATGGTAACTTACCGGTCCTCGTATCCAGCGTATAAGAAGCTGACCTCAATCTCCTTGGGTCCAAATCCTTGGCCATCGTTTTCCCTCAAAGAAAACCTAGCCGCAACACCGTTGTTGACACCCTCGAGCAGCTGGCACGTCTCATATGTTGAAGGGACCGTGAAGCTGTTGTCGTATCCCTGCTCGTAGCCGTGGCAGTACGCCTTTACACCTGCGATCTCTCCCTTGATGGTCGGTACGGTGACGTTGAAGTTGTAGTAGCAGCCGGATCGACCGCAACCAGCCTCCCAGTTCTCAACTTGCCAATCCCAGTTTTCGGGGATTGCAATCTGGCGAGCGACAGGGCCGGCCATGGCAGAAGTTGCCAGAAGAGCGAGAGCGGTGAAGGAAACCATGGTGAAGTTGAGGTTCTAGTAGTTCGTATCAAGAATAGATATGTAGGGGTGTATTTGGTGAGCGTGTAGAGTGGGCGTGTGAAGATGCAGAAAATAGACAGCAAAGACGAATACCTTATATATGATGAACAGTTGTGCCAACACGAAGTTGCACCCTTGAACAATACATAGTCATGCCGATCAATCAAATCGTCAATACGGCAAATAGCCGTAGGTGCGGGAAGGTTTGCTGATTTGGGGAGTTGCACGTCATAAACAGGCCGAGATCGCCAGCCGAGGCTGCCCTCTGCAGCAAGCAACATAACATGAGGACAAGGCTGTCCCGGGCGCTAACTGCAAATCAACCACCACGGTCCACATGTCGCTATATTTGGACATAACGTCTACGCCTCTCCCACGATGCGGACAGTGAGTAGTCTCACGACCTTCACAGCGCATTGAGCCTATCTTACATACAGGCAGTACGTCGGTCAACTCACTGTGTAGGAAAGTTGCACCGCCACTCCGTTAACAAGTCACTTGTCTACTTGCCTATAGTGGAGACGCTAAGGGACTCGTATTTCCCTTGAGTTGGTGACCATAAACGTCATTTCCAGACCAAGCATCACCTTAGTCGTCTCTGCTGTTACAGTCGCCACTAGCCGGAAGTAACGTCACTCCTGGGCATTTCTCACCTGATTCAAATGTCCTGTGGTGGAGGCTTCCAAACTTTATTATCTCGGTCCCATCAGAAGACAATGTGGTAGATTGGTAACATGATTGATGTTTCGCCGCTTTTGTGGAGTTCACAACCACTACTCCACTGCACCTTTCAGAGAAAGAAAACTAGAATACAGGATATGTGTCAGTATTAATGTTGCTTTCGACGAGTATGGAGAGTACAACACACTGATTTAGTTCTTTAGCCTGAGTCTCAACACCACATACCAGGGAAAAACTAAACATGTATAAACATGGCAAGCCTTACTTTGCAGCTTAAATCAGCTTCCAACAAGAGAACTTATGAAGAGAGCTACCTATGCATGCTCTAAAGAGATTTTTGTTTCCTCCCTTTGATGTAGTGCCCGTGCGCTGCTCCCTCATACTGCCGTAAGCAGCAAGAGAAAGCCATCGCAAACTACAAATCTCACAGTCAATCCTTTGAATATGCGGCTGCACTCATAGTCGGCTTATACATTGGTCTATGGGACTCTAGATCCAAAGAAGGCAGGACAACATTCATGTTCCTGATATGTTCGTTTTCGAGAATAGAAAAGAGGACGCATCACATCCATTGTAGCAGATAGATTTTTGAGAAGACGAGGCAGCACATGATTGCCAGCCATGCTCATTTCTTGAGCAACGAGGAGGCGGCGCATCCATTCGATATGATCCAGATTCTTTGAAGTCATGAAGAATAATGCGTGTGTAGAAGAAAGACACCAGGCGCACCCGGTAGGTTTTATATACTCGGCAGGCGCTGAGTTTGGCCGGCAGAGGTGGTGTAAAGATGGAACGCAGATATTTTCTATTCGGTGCACCTCTTCCTCCTACGATGGAGATATAGGTATCATTTGAAAACCAGAGCCACCATGTCCCATCTCATCTATGTTTTTGGAAACGAGATAGCAACTCAGGCTGGCTCATGGCTAGTGTCGAGTTTATTTTCAAATTCAGCAATAGCAGAGAGAGACAACCATTCCTGGTTTGGTGTATCTTTTCGGAGAAAAACATGACGCAGCCCATGAGGGCTTGGGTTCGCTTTTGGGAGAAAGAGGACACAAGTTCATAAGGTTGTCTCGTGTAGCTTTTTGATTTCGTAATAGATGTTGTTATTGATGGAAGAAAGTGAAGAACGCAACGAGAGAAGTATTTGTATGTCGAGCGTGCTCAGAGCTTGGGCCATAGGGCAGATATGTAGTGTGTATCGTTGCGGGACCAAATCCTCGAGGTTCGCAGGTATGGGATCTGGAAACCCGGGTGCGGCAGTTTCGCTATGTAAGTCATGGAACAGAATTTCTTTAGTTTTGAATACTGGCAAGATAGCTTATCTACCCAAGTCCCCCATCTCATTTCGGTATATCTAATGTCCTCTCCCTCCCAACCCGTCTATCACGCATCCTGGGCTCGCGTTCATCCCCACTCCCTCCCTTCTCTTCAACCATCACCCCAGCCCCATCACTACTCGCCGCACTTCCCCTCCTCCCATGCGGACTCAAACTGCCTATCCTCTCTCCCCTCCCACTCCTCTGCAGCCGACTGGCAGCCGTGGGATCCGCCTCCGCCAACGCAACCGGCGTCGCAACCCTCGCCAGCTCAGCCACGGCACCGCCTTCCTTTGGCTCAAAAGGCTGAATCATGCAAGATGCCACTTCGCTCCGGACAGAACTCCTGCTACTCGACCGTTCATCATTGCCCGGTTTCTCAGTTGGTGACAATGGTGAAGGTTGCTGGGGAAGACGCATAACAGTCAATTCGCCCAGCCACCTCCTAACCAACGCCCTGCGGACTCTGCCGACGACGCCGAAATCTTCACCTCCATCTACAGTCTTCCCTAGCTTGACTTTATCCTCGCCGAACCAGCGGGTGATAAGTCGCCATTTGATGCCTGCCCACCGCCCTACTGGTATGACATCGTCGCGCGGACCGCTTCTGCTCCATAGCGATGGTTGCGCAGTAGCAAGTTCATGATACAACGATTCGTACACACCTCTGCGCATAGGATTCTGGCGTTGGCTAGCGAGATTATGTTTGACGCCGTACCAGAGAATGAGGACGATGGCGAGGACGGGGATGGAAACGATGAACCACCATTTCAGCGGTGGGTTCTCAGAAAACGTGGAAACGTTCATGCCGAAGAAACCGACGGTGAAGGTCAAGGGCAGGAAACTAGTCTTGTTAGTTTGGACAGCCGATGGGATAGGTGGTAAGGGGTTACGTACATGAACGTGATCCAACTCAACCGCCACATACTCAAGCCTAATTGCAAAGAGTGTCGGGCATCCCTGATACCCACGCTCTTGTACATGAGGTCTGACAGAGCGGTTGTAGGCAGAATGACATCTCTTTCCCACTGCCCAGTCAGTTTATCTAGCTCGTCTGGCACGGAGCCGAGCCAAGGCTGGTCTGACGATTCCTTTGGGTCGGCACCAGCAAGGTCATGAAGATGCGTGACCATTTCTTTGATGACGTCGACGTGGATGTAGATGAGGCGTTCGATCTTGAGCCATTGCGCGCTGTTCTTCCAGAGCTCGGGGGCGCGGGATTCGTCGGCGGGGTTTTCGTAGACTGTAGTTGGGGATTAGCGGAATGGACTACTTGAATGGCCGGAGGTAGGCTCCTACTCACTCTTGTCTTCGAGGATGCCAACATGTGTCTCGCAAATGGCCAGGAACTTCTGCCAATTATAGCTCAACGCCTTGAAAATATCCTGGAGGATGAAATCCATACACTCCGCTGTCAACGTTTCGTCGTTATCCTCCATGGGCAGGTAGAAGGAGAGACGTCTCCAACGGGATTCGAGTTCTTGTCTGGCACCAATAAGGGTATCTTTGACGGAGCCAGTGACTGAGTTTTCAAACAGGATGATGGTGTTTCCGTTGTCGAGAGAGCGAAGCTTAGGGATGTAGCGTTCTTGGTGTTCATTCGCATCTACGTTGCCGTAACTCTTCTTCAACCGCATATACTCTTCCCATGCTTCCTCGTCGTACGGATTTGGTATGTCGGGGTCGACGGCTTGGCCTGGTGTACCGTCGCTGAGCTGCACATACACATTCAATCGTTGTACATAGACGTCATGTCCGTATCGTGGCTGGTCCGACTCGTCGTAGTGGTTGAGCTCCATTATTGACTTATTGCTATTTGGACGTGGGATATGGGTGCCTCTTTCGTACGATTTGAGGTAATCGGCGCCGAAGGCTGCGCGCGAAATGCCACGCCAGGGATCGTGTTGAGCGCGGAACGTACGACCATTGAGAACAGGTTTGCCGCCGCGTTGTTGAGGTTTGTCGTGGCTAGCCCAGCGGCCAAAGTTCGTGCCTATAAGATCGTCTGTAGCGTCAATGTTGAACTTGCGGAGGAGGTAGCGCGTTGCCCAGCCCGCGTTCTGCACGTGGATCACGCGCAACGCAGCTTGCGCTGAGAGGTCTTCTTTCCGGTAGAAACGACGCAGGCTGTCAATGTCGCAAAACTCCTGTGCCATGATCTTCCGCCTGCCCTTCGTTGAATGTTCTTTGGCGACATAGTCAATAAGCAGCACGCGTCCTTGCGACCAGCTTTCCTTTGTCCAAGGTTCTCGCCATTCGAGATTTGGACTGTGCTTGCGACGGTGGCCAAATGGGCTTTTCTGGTGTTCATGCGGTTGAGGCTGCGATTGTTCGCATTCGAGGGACGGACGTGTGGACGTGGTAAATGCTCGCGGGGCTGTTCTAGACGTTAGCAAGAGATCCTTTCAATCAGCCATTCGTGGCATGTGCCAGCGCAACACCCAGCCTGGCAGTGTTCAGGGACCAACAAGCAATCCTAGGCACTGTTCATGATCCACGCCAGTCTGCTCTTCTTTCCGAACGTCTTTTGTACTTCTTTTCCTCTCCCCGGGGTCACTCACCATTCATACCGTCCATGTCAGGACTCGGCAGCGGTCCTGCGCCCGTCGCCGTATCTTCAACTGTAATCGGTGGCGGGGTGTCCGAGTTGCGCATCCTCATACTAGCCATGATACACCAGGTATCCGTCCAAGGAGCTGAAGCTTGCCGGAGCTATGTCGTGAGCTAGGAGCGAGGGCATTCAAGGACCACCAACGAGATTCGAGAGTACGACAACCGGGTGCGACCAACAAACAGTCCAGCTCGTTATATTAAGAAGATGAGCACATAAGTGCGATCGCAATGACGGGGTCACGGTGGGCGAGGATGATAGTATATAATCATGGTGGAGGCCTGACCGGTATGGTGGATGCGCCGAGAGCAAAGTAATGTGTGGGTGGAGTTGTTGTGGCTGATACGATCATGAGGCTGAGCTGCGAGTCTGGGGTTCGCGTCGCGTGAACAGTCGCCGCCTGCACTAAAGTAAGCTAAGCTGTGGAATCAGCCCTACGAATACGGGAGACAGGACCCTAGATATTTGCGAGGCGTCCCATGTCCTTGAAGTTCTCCCAGACTTGTCCAGCACAGGTACTTTGCTGCTATGTCCTTTACAATATCGCAACGGCATTTTTTACCAGTGAACGACTGCCGCGTTCACATTTCGAAGATCAGAGATTAACACAACCCAGATTTAAGGTTCGATCACAAGGTCAGCATAGGACAAGACCACATGAACAGCATTTAGATCTATTACGCTGTTGTCTTTAACGACTTAGTATACTCCAGACCCATACAACAGCTTCGTAAAAGTCGAACGCCTTGCCGTACAGAGTCCTATATCTTACTGCAGTACTAAACGCTTCAGACCCTGTCATGGCCTCGCGTAGGCACCGGCTAATTAGGTCTAGTGTTTAGACAGTAACTACGAGGCTTGTATGTAGAAGTCGCAGGGAGATTCGATATATGCAAAACAACAAGTGTATGATATGGTATGGGTCGTGATATCGTGTCGGGTTGATGCAGCGCTGACAGAACCAGTGCGCCATAATGGGTATTAGCAAAGAGATAGAAAAAAAAGCCCATAACGAAGGTTCCGCTCGCTCGCTCAAACGCCGTAAAAAAAGGGAGAAAACAGGGGTACCGGGGTATCTAATCATTCACATTGGCGACTGCGCCGTGTGATATCCTCGTCACTAAGGGCGGCTAGCCAAAGACATTTGCTGAGGATGTGTGGTTCGACATTGAAGGTGTATTTGGAGCTGGCTTCGAGCAATCGGAGTAGGTTCTTGACGATGGTGGCGGCCGTGTGGTGTCGGTCGAAGTTTACCAGTCGTTCGCCGCCGACAGGTGGGGCGTCAATAAAGGCGGGCTTCTGAGCGTTGTAGATGAGATCGCGCGTGTAGACGCCTAGTAGTTGTTAGCTTCTGTATGGATATCTGTCATCATAACACTCACCAATAAATGGAATACAGCCATCGTCGACAGTTGCTGTCTCCATTTCAAGCCGCAGGTTGTGGAAGTTCTTCAAAGGCTGAACGAGTGCCTCTAGCTCTGTCATGACCAGCATTTCAGCTGCGGGAACCAAAGCCCATGTCTTCTTGAGACTTGATATATCGTTCGATATCAAGGCAATCGCAATCTGGTACATAGTGGCGTAGTTGCGGTATCGTCGCGCATGTGTTGCGATGTGAATAAACTTGGTAATGCATCGCGCCCGTTCATGGATGTCCTCAGTGAGCAGGACCTCGGAAACGACCCATTTGACGACAAGATTGAAACGCGCGATGACAACGTCTACACCCCTGGCCTCTTCTGTTCTGAGATATTGTACCCAATCACGGATTTGTGGAGAAGATTGCTTCCAGCGCAACTCGATGAGTTCTTTCCAGTCGATCTCGTCCAATGCGTCCTTCTCGACTATGGTAAGTTGCTGAGCGAGGATTTCGGAGTCATAAGCCAGGACGAAGGGCAGATGCGCGGTTCGGGTTGGGAACGCATCCTGCTGAGGACCTTCGAGGTCAGCGGGAGAGTCAGCAAGAGGCCCAGGTTGAGGAGCCGACTGTGGGTTCGCTCGGGAGACAGTCGGTGTGAGACCTGGCGTAGGCAGACCTCTTTCGAAGATTGTTGGGCTGGGCACAGCATCATTCAAGCGGTTTCCGGTAAGGGGCGGTGTTGGAGGGTGGCGCATGGGATGCGTTGGCAGATTATCAGGATCTGCCTCAGGCGTTGTTGGCTCATCGTCGAAGAAGCTTCTTACCCCATGACTATCACGACCCGACTTTGCACCATCTCCGGAGCCCATCTCGCTGAGATCCTCATCCTCATCAAGTAGGAATGACTCACGTGGGTACGAAGTCATTGGTAAGGTCCCACCAGGCGGTATCCGCTTCATGCTGTCCGTCTCGACGATGTAATCAACAGATGAATCCATCGAGGAAGATGTCCCTGGGGCGCGAGCAGGCTCGGGTGAGTTGCTAGCAAATTGCAGGGGTGATGGCTTGGCAGAGGACCTCATGGTATCGAGCGTATGCCCTCGCTGAGAGGTTGCGATTTCGCTCAAGCGCCGATCGAGAAGTGGTATCGAGGAATAAGAGTCGGTTGACTCGCCCACTGACTGAACCGCAGGTGCGCGGCTATTGAAGTTCTCGGCAGACAAGCGATATATGCCTTGCCCGTCTGTTTCTGGGGGAGCCAACGGACGGTGGAAAACGTCGTCAGTTCCAGGACGCTCATGTTGCTCAACATCCTGCTCATAGGTATCAGGTCGCGTGTTTTGTTCAGAAGCTCCTGTGGGGCGATAGTAATCCAGATCAACAGTGGTTCGTTGGGAGGGGATGCTAGGCGACTTCTTCTCATAACGCCCTTCCAGTTTCATCAAGGCCGATTCGACGCCGCCTTCATCGTCCGTATCATCAGGCAGAGCAGCAAGCTTTGCTACTTCAGCTTCGAAAGAAGGTCTCAGGTTGGGCTGTGAGGAGTGTGTATCTACTAACGAAATTGGCTTCTTTGGGACTTCAGCTTCAGCTGGCCCTTCCAAAACACGATTGACTTCTGTCTCTGAATCGATAAAGCGATCAGACCGTAGGATGACAGAGTTTGTCACTGAGTGTGTGCGATTGGAAACAGAACCGGTGGAATGTGGCCGCTGCAAAGTCTCAAGATCATGAACGTTGCCTGCAGCGCGGAGGTCACCACCCGGTCTTCTACGAAGCTGGCGGGCGGGCCCACTAGCTTCAGGTGCTGCCTGACGTTCGAGGAAGAAGGGATCATTTTCTGATGACATCGTTTGAAATGTCGCAATGCTGGCAGGTCCTTGACACCTGCTAAGCACGCTGTTATAGGATGCATGTCGACGGAGAGACAGGGAGGTCTTGGTAGAGCCCCGGCGTCGGAAGGAATGCATCCTTGCTGGACCTGCAGAGATGGATCTTCTTTGTCTCGTCGGAGGCCGTCGAGTCGACATGCGCGAGGTGCGATACTCTGGCGGTGCTGAGCGAGGCTCTGGGTAGTCGTAGAGATCAGAGTTGTGTACTGATGGAGCGGCTTCGCCAGCTAGCTTCTCGTCAAGTGTTTTCTCTTGCTGATGGCTGTCTAGCTTTGTGGGCTCCTTCTCAAGATCGGGTGGTAGGGTATCCGACATGACAGGTAAAGGTGGCGGACCAGTATCGTCGATAATCACAATCGACTTGCTCCCACTAGTAATGGCGCTGTGTACGCGGGGATCAGGTGCCCTCTGGTGCTCATTCGGATTTGTTGTACCACGGCTATCGAACTCAAACTCGAATCCCCCAAGATCAGGAGGGTCAATACCATGGTATTCATGGCTTTCGTTTTCGAGCTGCTCCTGAACTGCAGCTCGAAAGCTCTCTGCGACCGTAGCAGCCAGAACATCAATACGCACCTGTGGTCTCGGTCGAGCAGGACGTCGTTTGTGTACACCGCCTGAAACTGAGACGGCTGATGCTGCACCTGGGTTGGAGGCTCGCATGTATGACGGCTGGCGCTGTTGGCTAACGCTACCTAATTGGGGGCTTGGGCTCAGTTGCTGCCGTGTGCTTAGTGCGCGACGTACACTGCCGAAGATCTTTTTCATGCCTGGGGAATGGGCAGTGGCATGTCCTGGTCTTTGGAACTCATTCACTTCAGCATCGTCAATCTCTTGAAGGTACTGAGAGCGCGAAGGACGTATAGCTCTGATTTCGAAATATGGGGAGCTGGGTTGGAAGAGTCCACCGCGCACTAGAGTGCCAGGCATATTCGTGACAGCTGACATGGCATAGTCCGCGGGTGCATTCTTGGGGATGGACAGCGGAGCTCTGCTGTCCCTCAGAGCGTCTGAAAAGCTTCCACTACGCTTGTGGCCATGCGACGGGCGGTGGACGCTCTTGATGGATGATGGCTGTTGTGGACTGGCTGTCAAGCGAGCAGTACCAGTGGGGACTGAGTTGGCGACCGGTACTGGATGTGGATACAAGGGAAGCTCGACCGCCTGGTCGTGTTTGTTCAGACCTCGCATGGGTATAGAACAAGAGAGGACGTGCATACTCTGCTCGCTGGCGGGCGATAGGGGTATTTGCGTGGGTGCGGCTTCGAATTCTTGTGATGGTATGTAGGGTGAACTCATGGAGTTCTGAGGCGTATGGCGTGCTCTTTGCGCCCAATCCATATGCCGACTAGCAAAATGGTCACTTGGGTTTGAGCCGATAGTTTCCTTGGTGTCCCGGACGTTGGTTCGTGGAGGAGTGCTTGGTACTGGAACAACCGGAGGGGGTTCCTCATATGCTGCTTGTGAGCCATCGTATCCGCCTGGAAGCAGCTCGTCGTCGGCATAGTTTTGGCCGATAATATCTTCGGTCTCCCAGTATAGCGCACACGTCCGCCTCCAGCACTTCTTCAACTCCCCAACAATCTTGATGTCGCCCCCACCTCCGTCTTGTCGAGCCCGGAGATCCCTGTACAGGCTGTTGACAAGGTCGCAGAAATTAGTTCGTAAAGAGTAATACGGCATGAAGTCGTCGACGAAGTAGTTCAGAATCCAATGGCGAAGGGCTACGAAAGTACGCACGCGGACGATGCGCCCGAAGTCGTCTTGGCGATCGACGGCCCATCGCAGTCGAGATATGAGGTATGCGACAAGGTCTCGGGTACACAGAAAGGCGCGGAAAGTCAGAAAGAAGTCGGATAGGAGTTCGTAATCCAGGAAGCTTGGAGAGGTTATATGCGCTACAAGTCGTGAAGGGGTGGCTGCGAGAATCTCACCCTCGGCGTTGAAGCGCACCACAGCGCGGTCGTCGGGGTTGATTGTAAGGGCATCGTAGAGTCGAGGGCTAATAGGCATGTGCGAGACACGAGCTGAAGAGGGACCGGAGAGGGGTACAGCTGGGCGGTCCATAGTGGCGCGGAAGCGGTGGGGGACAGGCGAATAGGCGTCTGAACGTGGGCGCGACGACAGAAACGACTGCCGCACCCCTCGCTGTGGGGTCAGGAGCGAATTGGCAAAGTCCTCGGTGCCTGAGGTTCGGGTGTAGACCGAACTGCGCAGGTCTGCCGTCCCTCGTGTGCTGAAACGCGGAGTGCCCAAGCGGTAATGCGGGATGGGAACCTGCAACAGCGGGAATGACGATGTGTCTGCGGTCTTGGGGCGCATATGCGAGGGCCTTTCGATGACGACTTTGAAGGTGCCCGGCTCGTGGCTCAGCGTCGTGGCAGTGTGGTCGTCAACGGTGGAGAATGAATGCGAGCGCACGTGTGCGAGTCGTCCAGTGGTGGGATCTGCCTGGGGTTGCTGCTGGAAGGCATTGCCCTCGTTCAGGTCTGGCAGCGGTGGCGTAGGTTCAGAGTGGGGTGTCCTTGAGCCGTACAGACTCTGCTCCCATTCATTGCTGGTCGGGCGGAGCTTGTCGAGGGTTGCGCTGTCGGGCGGCGTCTGGGGCGGAAAGACGAAGGGATCCGGTTGACGGCCGCGCTGGTTACCAGGACGGGCTACAGGTCTGAGAGAGTCAGATTCTACACATGAAGGATTCAGGTATGTGAAAGATGGGGGGAGGTAGGAGGCAAGAGGCGAGACATGACGTGCGCCTTCCTTGTGGTGTCGCTCACGTATCGCTCCTTCCTCATACGTCCATGATGTTTGCTGGGACAGACTCGTCCCACCACCAACACCATGGCAATCTCGAGATATCAGGTTGGTGCGTACCTCAGGTAGATGACGCCGTTGTGGACATTGGCTACGGTATAGCTCCGTCCGGCCGAGGTCGAATTGCTCGTCGTCGTGTCGATGGTGGCGTTGCTGGTGCCGCGTGCCCTCGTCCTGCTCTTGAGTTGCTCCCTCGAGTCCTTCACTCTTCGCAGACGGCGCGTGTCGTCAGCGCGCCGTTTTGCCGTAACTGCACCTGCACTTGCACCGGGCAAAATATCGCGTTTCCCTTCGGCAGGGGAGCCCGGCGCAGGGAAGACATTCTGTTGCATTGCCGATAAGGCCATCCTCCCCCATAGTTCAGCGCGCAGCAATTCGACGAGGTTTGCCGGCGTCAGCGAGTACGTGAACGAAGCATGGCCAGCAGCGACTCGATTGTGCAGACTTCTTAATTACAAGACAGGACAAGAGGGAATCGACTAGAGTTGATTGATGTGCAGCCCTGTCACATCGCCCAGCGGCGCGCCAGACGACGCAATTCACCAGTCAGCGCCCGTGTCGCTTGGGCTGAACGCCGCTATGCATTGACCCAGGCCTGGCCGGGCTAATCTGTCCTCGCTTCACTCCGGTGCTCCGCCTGCTCTACAGGGAATTGCATTGCGATTACAGGTTTACACATGCTGACATGCACTGGCACGCACAGGAACCCGCTTTGCTGCGCGGATGCGAACTGCTTTTTCCACTCCCCTTCATGCGAACTGCCCGCCTTCGCCTCACAGCCACACGCTTCTGGCGGCCACTCGCCAGCTGCACCTCTAAGATCTAGCAAGCACTACTGCGCTATTACGTCGGGAGCCGGGCTATAGTCTCCCAGCCCACGTGAGGTTTAAGGTTCATCCGTGACGACTAACTCATCCGCGCGGTCAAGGTTCCTCCCACTTATCTTGGTCGTATTCGCAACGGGCATCTAATCCTCCGAGGAGCGTGACAGTGCAAGATTGCAAAACAACAACAACGCATACAACAGTCAAGTCAATAAACACACGTCCATCCGGCATCCTGTACAAGGGTACTGCCGTTTCCAGATGAACACACATACATTCAGTGCCGCGATCTGCCATTGCATCGGTACTTTTGCTCCCTGGCGATCCAAAGCAACCATTGGCCGCCCTCATCATCTCGCTAAACAAGTGTTTCCCTTCTATCGCAACCCCCTAGCATCCCGCAAACACCACCTCGGCTCATTTCCGACCCTGCGCAACGTCATGACAGCACTACCATGAAACAGGCTTACCCTTATACAAACGGCTGCCGCAATTTAATGCCCACTGGTTCGAGCAGTCAACGGTCCAAGCTGAGTCGAACAGCATAACCACGTACATTATCATGGCCCTTTGCGTCAGGCAGCAATTCCACAAGCGCAACACCCCGGATGCCCATCAAACCGCGAGCTACTGCACGACATCAACCATGGTACAACCCCATCGTTCTGCATCTGGCCACCGCTGCTTGACACCTGTAAGAATTCAGAAATGCTCACACACTAATTCTGCCTACATAAAAACCTGCGCCGGTACACTTAGCTCGTGCCGACCCATCCCGAGCAAACCAGCCAGAGTGCTTAAACGACAAGTACAGAGATGGCCTAGTACGTCGCCGACCGAAGAACTGCCTGATGCACAGCACAACTTCTATATTCGGCACGACTTGCAGACCCCGACTTCGCCTCACGCATCCGGCCCGACTGCTAGCGTCAGAAAGGGACAGGCCTGCACTAAACGATCTGAGAAGGTACGATACAAGCATGCAAATCGTCTGAATATTGGATCAGCGATACACAGCCCTTGTACCGAAATCGGTCACAGTTTTTGATTGAACAAGGATAATTTTTCACACATTCAGTAGAGGAATTCCCCTTTGCTGAACACCTTCATCCCGAAATACGCCCTGATCAAAATGGATAACCCCTTGCAACATCTTCCTCCCCGTCAACATCCAGTCCTCCTTCTACCTGCTCCGCGTGTTTCTTGTCTAGATACTCCAGCAATACATCCCCATACATCTCCTTCCCCTTGTAGCGACTTACATCCTCACCCCAAGAACGAATCGCGCTGGCTAGTCGGCCAGGCACATAGGGTTCCTGCGCGATATCCGTGATAGGATGGAAGTAAGTTCGAATCGTAAATACCACACCACCAGATTTAGGCAACCTGAGGAAGCAACGTTAGAAGCTTTATTCCATGGAAACTGGAATAGGTAGGGGTAATAGGGGAGCAGTAACATACCTCCGTAAACTCTGCCTCTCACTCCTGAACCAATGATGGTCAACCGCCTTGTTCTTCTCTGCTGTGAACCACCCGATGCCTCCATCTTCTTTCGCATCTTCACTGCCTATACTCTCGCTCCAGGCTAGTTTGTCGTCGACTTGAATGAAGTAGTTGTTCCGTAGAACAGGTGACTGTGGTTGTATTCTGCGGAAGAAATTGGACATTGGTTTCTCGAGTTTGTCTTTGAACCTGCGAAATTTATTAGCAAACGTATTTTCATCAAGAGAGCAATGGTGAAAATCGACGGGGAAGGCTCACCCCGGAACATCCCCACTCGTATGAATGGTAGAAAGTGGCATTCCAAACTTATCCTCCAGCCTCCAAAATCCTGCCAGCAAGATAGCACCAGCAAGCAGGTAGTACTGCCCATCCTCCTTCTCAACCATGATAGCAAGATCATCTTGAATCATCCTAGCACACATTTCCATCGGATCCTCCCTCTCCCCATCTCTCGCACACCCCTCCACATCGAAAACCTCACCTGTCTCTAGATTCTTCATTCCTTTCCCCTTCCCCAACTTCATCTCTTGGAACAGACTCGGGTATCGCTGTGGTAAGTAACCAACCAACTCCTCCAACAACTCCTTCGCTGCACTCATCGCTTCAGGAGCCGTCTTGATACATTTTTCTCCTCTTTCGGCTATCCTAGCTGCTTTGAGGGAGTGGTAAGATGAGTATTCGTTGTCGAGTTCAATCCATTCGTCCCACGACATGTTGCGTAGGCCCATTGTGATATTGTATTTGGGGCCGTAGCGGAAGGGACGATAAGGTAGAGGTTTTGTTGTTGATAGCGACCAATTTGGGTAGGGGGATGCTGTGGGGCGGGTGAATGGGGATGGGTGCCATACTAGAATCGAGGTGCAGTATTAGTTTGGGTAAGAACAAGGGGAGGTGGGAAGAAGGACTGAGAAATGGATTTGATTGGAACGAACATACCTCCAGGTGGCCTATCTGGAGCTTTGAATGGGGAACGTTTCTCGAGATTCGGTGTGCTGGGTCGAGAGGTAGGACGTCGACGGGTAAGAAGGAGGCGGCTGAGGGTTATGGCGAGCCATGTGAACGTTGCGAAGAAAAGAGCTGCGTAGAGAGCTACTTTCGGCTGTATGTTGGCATCCTTGAGTAAAGTGTTGAATTGGGTTTGTATGGTGGTGCAGTGGTGTTGCGCATCACGTGCGAGACGTGTTGTGTGCTCTTCGAGTCTAGTTACAAGGTCGGACATTGCAGGCATCAGGACAACAATACTATCGAGACATAGTCATCTGAAAGGAAGGACGAGACGTTGACTATATGAGTAAATGCGTGATCGTGCGAATCGATAAGAAACCAAAGCAGCAATATCCCGTAGTCGCGTTCATCATGCGAGGTGTGTAAAATAGCTTCCTCTTATTGTTTCAACATATATACAAGCCAATGACTTCCTGCGATAACGACCCATGACAGTGTGGGGTTGTCGCGCATGTGTCGTCAGTGGTGGTTATCTCCCAGTCTGGGCGGGGAAAGCAATACCCCACTCGGTTAGACTTGGTGTCTATCGACGCGAAGCACCGAACAGAGCTGGTCGATACCCTCGATAACAGGACCGAGCTTCTTCGTGCCTTGTGGGTAAGGTGATCAGGGAATGTAACGGCTGCCGAGTGCGTCTGGTCAAGTTGGAGCGCGTCGGCATTCGGCAAGAAGAATTGCCTTCTTGTCTCTTTCTCCTCTATCACACATGACCTAATTGACCACACATTATATCAGACGACCCGCAGTACCACATCTACGCTATGCGCCCTTTTGACCCCTGCGTTGCAACAGGCAGTAATCGCCCCATTGGCGGCGGAACTTAGCCGGGATCACGGGTAGATCTGGGACCCAAAGCATGCGACTAATGGTATGTGTCTTGCTTGCGTCCAGGAAAGGAAGACATTTCAAGGCCTCCCATTCTTCTGTATTGGAGACATAATCAGGCTCGAGGGTTGTTGGAGGAGCTCCAGCAGAGCGCGAGTCAACAATAAAGTCGCACTGGTCGATGTTGGTCTATTTTATCACAGTTAGTAGAAATCATGTTTGTGCATACCAGCTTCACCTACATATTTGCTAGGATCTTCCAAGTTTTCGTCGTTCATTCCAGACGGGACCAACCATGTGCCAGGGAACATTCCGAGAGCGGCGTCAGCCTCGCTGAACTCGCCTGGCAGAAGACCGGAGAATTCGCTCTTGATAAACTTGGCACGAACTCCCTGGGGTAAGTTGAACGAAGACGGAAAGCGATACCACTCCTTCCCTAGGCACACAGTGTCTCCTGGACGGGCGACTGCCGGGTCGAACAATGGCTTGTAAACTTTCAGTGGTGCTGAGTATGCGGACATGTGGCCTAGAAATAAGTCAACACTACATCTCAAAGTGTTTGATATATTCTGATGCATAGCGGTAGTTGAAGAGAAAGGTGCTTATAACATACCGTTAATCCTTAGAATGCCCAGGTTCAAAGACAGAAGCACAGGTATACAGACAATGACAAGCTTCACCATCGGAGGTATCTTGCTTACTAGATGTCGTGGGTCCATCGAGCCAAAGTTGGCTAGCAAGATGTGCAAGGAGAGGGCTGCGTTCCAGGCTAGCGCTGGGTATGCAGGGTACATAAATCGCTCTTCTTTGTGAGGCTGGACCGTGAATATCGTTAACCACAAGTAAAACGGGCTGACGAAAGTGATAGATCTGGTGAGCGTGCTGCGGTAAACAGCCCGATCAAAGACAAGATACTGGATAAGTAGTAGTGGTAGAGCAGCCAACGCAAGAAAAAACCATATGTTAAAGTTCAGGGCCAGGTTGCGGACGTAGAAGTGCCATGGCTCCACGCCATAGATATCAGGGCCTCTGCTACCCCCACTGAAGACGTTGTAAAGTACAATGTTCAGCGGCACGCACACGAGCTTCCTGTAGAAGAGCGAGTCGATGACGGTTTGCAAGAGTACAACGGCGAGTGCTCTACTCGCGCCATTGAGCAGTACTCTTCGCAAACTTTCTAGAATTGTGCCAGTGAATAGGCCCGCAATGAGGTCTTCTGCAATGAATGGCAGAGCGAGAGCGCCTGAAAAAGGCCAACCCAGGGCACTGCCTACAGCGAACCATGTAATACCCTGGGCAGTCCTCATGGTGCTTTTAGACCAGTCCATGAAAGACGCAAATCCAAGCATTGCACAATTCATGGCGAAACTCGACGGGAGGTATGCAGGGGCAGCATGGTACATGCCCGGACTTATAACCATGATCATCGCAAAGAACGATGCGACCCGCACCTCGAACGTCTTTCTAATAGCAGTGTACATGCGAGTCTGGCATGCTGCACAGACTACCGCCAGAACGGCTCGCAGGAAATAGAACTCGAAGACTTTGGATCTTTGCAAGCCTAGCGTCTGCATAGGTAGCATGGCGAGCCCAATCACAAGCGAGTGTATGGCAGTATAGGCCCAACTTCGGATGGCGTAGTCGGGAGAGTACTCCCAGGTCTGGAGACCATAGCCATGGTTGAGGTAGTGGCTTGGTTCCCAGTAATTGAAGACTTCGTCGCAGTCTTGGATAGGAGAGAATGCGGCAGCGACGAGATTGGCGAAGGAGAATACGCAGAAAACTGCAAAGGTAGAGAGCTGAGGCGGTGCACTGCATACATGGTGCATACGTTAGCCTAGCTAATTGCAAGAAGGGCAGAAGTGGACCAACTCAGCCGTCTGATGCGCCGTCTTCGGGCGGGTAGTAGACATTTCAGCAGTTGGGCATGCAAAGGGCGAATCCAAGGCGCTGGCGAATCTCCATCGAAAGCACACAGAATGCACTTTCACTGACACGACGCGAATGCGTAATGAGTTCGCGCTTCATAGGGCTGAGCTCGCGCCTGCCCGCCAAGCCTATTAGCGCGCATCCAAAAAGGCGACGTTCTCCCAGGACGTGCCCTTCTCAACCAGAACTATCATCGCACGCACTTAAGCAAACTGGTGCAAACAACGCAGTTGATATATCGCAGCGATCACGCGTGATTCAGAGAAGACTGCAGAGAGAGACACGAAAATGTCCGACTCTCTGGAACCACCGGCCAAAAGGGCGCGGTTGGAGGCGGACGCACCCTTTTATGGCACATCTACGTCTGCATCTGCGCTCGACGCGCCTGGCTCGCCTGTCGATGACATGGACGACGACTTTTACGACACTACACCCGTCAAGCCCTCTGCGCTGCCTACTGCGGTGGATGGGACGACGTCGTTGTTTGCTACGGCGGCACCCGCGCCAGCCTTTCACCTTCCTGGACTCGGCTCTGTGAGCGAGACCCCGGTCGCGCAGTCGCAACCACAGAGCGGCGCGGTCGTCCAAGACGACGCCCCTGAAGACGGCGAGCTCTCAGATGAGGACGCCTTTTACCATGATGCGAATCCGCAGGCCGACATCCCAGTCGCGCCGCCCGTAGCCAATCAGGGTCAGGCGCAGGATGAGGCTCCACAGCACTCTGAGCCGCATCTCTCCTCTGTCCAAGATGCTGTTGCTGCTGCCGACACACCAGCCGCTGACACGGACGGTGAGCTCGACGCGGCTCTTACTGCCGCCATAGACCTTCAGAACGAGATTGAAGACACCTCCAAAGATGCTTCTGCACCCGATGGCGCGGCTTTCGATAGCAAGGCCGAATTCTTGCGCGCCGCCGAAGCCAACAGGAATGATCAGAACGCCGAATGGCAGCTAGATTCGGATGCGTCTGACTCCGACTCGTCTTCGGACTCCTCCAGCTCTGACGACAGCTCAGATGAGGGATCAGACGAGGGCGAGCTTCTCGACCCTGAAGAGCAGGTCCGCCTTCTGATGGCTGAAGCTGCCGATGAGCCAGGCGCTTCAGGCCCAGTCAAGGTCAAGACGCTCAACGAACAGGACGAGAAATACGAGATGCCCGACATTACTGTCACCGAAAGCACCAAGATCACAGAACTCGGCAAGGTGGAATCCATTGTTGGAAACCTCGTCGTCGTCAAAGCCAATATGTCTGGCGATGAACAAGTGCTTGAGTCTGGCTCTGCACTGTGTCTAGGAAATCGTACCGTTTGCGGCAAGGTCTCCGAGCAGATTGGCCGCGTGGAGGAGCCTCGCTACTCTTTCGGCTTTAACGACGCCGCTGAACTTGAAACTCTAGGTATTAAGAAAGACACGCCTATCTACTATGTGGATGAGCACTCGACCTTCACCGAAACGGAACCCATCCGCCAACAGAAGCATACCGATGCATCGAACCTACACGACGAAGAGACCAACGATGTCGAGTTCTCAGATGACGAGAAGGAGGCCGAATACAAGCGTGAACAGAAGGCTAAGAAGCGCGCTAGGGCGGACGGCAACGACGAACAGGTAGCTGTCAACATCCCTACCGGGCCTAGACTACACGTAGACGCACCCGCACCACCCATCTACCGACCCATGGAGTACCAGGGTGGTGGTCTGAAATACAGCGACGATGAAGACGAGGATTTAGGCATGTACAAGCCGCTTGCCCGACCAGACCACTTCGAGCAAATCGTTGGTCAAGGTGCGCCACTAGAAGACCGAAGCCACGTTCGAAGGGGCATGGGTCGAGGCAGAGGACCTTGGGGCGATCGAGGTCGCGGCTTCCGTGGACGAGGTGGCGGTGGTGGTCGCGGTGACTTCGGCGGCGGACGCGGCGACAGAGGAGGCTACGGCGGGGGGCGAGGCGATTTTGGAGCAGGCCGTGGTGGCGGAGGGCAGCAAAACAATCGAGGAGCTGGTAACAACAATAACAACAACAGCAACAACAACAACCAAAACAACAGAGGCGGTGGTGACAAGGGCGGGCGTGGTGGCAAGAACCAATCTGACCGTGGCAGGCAACAGGATCAGTTCAACGATCGCCAACAGAACAACCAGCAAAGGAATCAATATTCGGCATCGCCAGCCCGCCAGCAACAAGATCGTAGTCAGTCTCACTCTCAGCAGGACCGCAGCCAGTCTCAGCAAGCCCAACCTCAACAGTCCCCATCAGGAGGAGGCGGCGGTGGCGGCGGCAAGAACAAGAACCGCAAGCAACGACAGCGTGAAAAGAGGGAACGGGAGCGCCAGGCACAACAACAACAACAACAACAACAACAACAACAACAACAACAACAGCAGCAGCAGCAGCAGCAGCAGCCTCAGAAACAGCAACAACAACATGCTTCTCCAGCACCTTCTGGGCCGTCAAATGCTAACGCTTATGCAAACAACAGTAATGCAGGTTGGCCAGTGCCCTTCTCCGGACCATCACAGCCAGCGGTCCCATATGCTGCCGCTCCCGCGCCTCCGGCACCAGCAGCATACAACTACCAGCAGTCGTATACCCCTCAACCTCAATCAGTGGCTCCAGCCCAGCCACCTCAACAGCAGAACCAGGCGGCCAACCTGGCAGCGTGGGCGCAGTGGTTCCAAGTCGTAGGAGCCATGAGCGGACAGCAGCAGGCACCACAACCGCAAATGCCAGCGCAAGCACCTGCGCCACCCCCACCTCAGTCACAAGCGCAATACTCTTACCCTTACCAGCAATATGGGCAGCCAGCAGCCCCTGCAAATCCTCCGCAACAGGGCAATGCTCAAGCTGGAGCGCAGTCTCTTCAAGATATTTTACGAGCTCTTCAAGGCGGCGGAGCACCTCAGTAGGCTCGAGGACAGTTGATCAATTCGGATAGGTGTTTTGTAAGATTATTCTGTTTCAGTATGAGGCATGGTACGTGAAAGCTGTTTTGATGCCACGCCATGGCAGCTTGACGAGGCATGCCTCTGGTACTGAATACAGGTCTCCCTCTAAATGCGGAAATGCAGATCTACTGCGTCACTACAAAAAGAGGAATGTGAGATAGACAGGGCGACGTATAAGCTTTAATGATTGCTTTATTAGATGCATTGCGATGAGTGGTCTGTTGTGAAATGATCCGATCCGGTCGCCGAAACAAGCAGTTCGGATGGGTATGGAGGACGTAATATGACTATGCCCAGGCTGGCACCTTGATAATCATTTACAATACACATGTTCGCAATGTAGGAATACAAAGGCTTGACGCGAGCCCTATTGGCTCCCGTCGAAGCAATATTCTCATCACGTCAGCGCTGAGCGCAGCAGCGTAAAATTACACGCAAGCGCATGCCATATAGATGTTCGGCAGTACGAAAGAGTTGCCTCGGGCAATACGGCAAATGGGCATCTGCTTAGCCCCAGCCAACAGACACCCTAGACGTCGGAGGATAATGAAACAGGGTGTTTTGGGCCAAAGGATAAGAAATGGTGTCAAATTGCGCCACAGGGTCGGATTCGCTTTTGGCTCAAGCTATCGATAATTAGTTCTGCCATCAAGGGGACACCGATGATGAATGAATGCGGTTGTGTACAATAGAATGGATGAAGAGATGACGGCGACGACGACGATGATGTTGCAGCAAACAGCGGCTTTGAAAAGCGGGGGAAAGAGGTGCGACGGTTAGACACAAGTCAGAGGCGCTGAAATGGGCATATGCTGCAAACAGATGCAAGTATCCAAAGTGTCGTTCTTGAGATTACTGCATGCGGTCCCAGGTAGTTCCGGGTTCGGGCTCGTGTTCTAGGCCGGGGAGGGGATTGCTAGGACGGATGCTCGGTAGGACCCCGTAGTGTGTAGGTAGCTGGTTGGGTTAGCCGTCTTGTGTGGGTTGTGGTGTGGGTGCAGGTGGCGCATTGTTGCTCGATGCACAGGCTTGATGCCGCTCTCCATACCAAAGTGGAGCCCCCATGCCCATGCACCATCAGCGAGGAAGAGCACAGAGTCGTCGAGAGTAGTCAGCCATTCTTCACAACCACAACCACAACCACGACCCATCGCCCGCCCACCTGTGACGCTTCGCGCTGCTGTCTCCCCCACCCTACGCCCGCCGCCGCTAGATAGCTACCCATCGCCCGCCTCGCTTCGCTTCGCCTGCCTCTACTGCTGGCCTTCTGCCGACCGCCGCCCATGTTGCACACCTCCAGCTGCTGTCCCGCCTCGATGAAGTAGCCATCCCAGCCCTTTCTGCGCAAGCAGTCCCCATCAACCCTGCCCGCCGCCGCCCAAACGCTGTTATCGCCGCCGCAGACGCGCGGGCCACTGTCGCGACTCGTCCACTGCACGCCCCCCACCGCCCGCGACCATGACGCGGAATGAGGCCATCGGCCGCCATGGATCGGTGGAGAGCTCGTGGAGTTCGCGCTCCGGCGACACGATACGGCCCTATGGACGCGCGGGCTCGCTGAGGGGCACCCCCGTCACCGTCAAAACGGATAAGAATCTCAATTCGCGGTACGTTGTTCCATCTGCTGCTGCAGGAGCTGGACGCCGTGGTGGGGAGGTTGCGCGCGCTGTGCGCCTCGACTGGAGCCCTCGCGTAGTCTCAAATGACGCGCGAGACATATGGCGGGCACAATGGGCCAGCCTTGTCTCGCAGTGTCTCACTGCCAGACGTGCATCGACTCTTTGCACCACACGAAGCGCTGCTAACACCCTCATGTAGTGTCGACAGGGAGTCCGAGATATCGCCTGGCACCGTCCCCCCAGCTCCTCCGCCAAAGGACCCCTCGCACAAACCGCGCAAGCCTGCCAATTGGGACAACCCCACGACCAACGCCCTTGGACATCACCGAAAACAGCTGGCTGTCTTGGAGACTTCGGGAGGCCGAGTGCCGTCGATATCGCGAAACCCCCCCACCGCTTCGAGCACCAATTCCCAAGTCGCGCCCTGGGCTAGTCCGCCTAACGGGGTCAACATGGCCAACAGTGTCTGGAGCAGCTTCTTCAATGACTCAAACGAGGACGTTTCGCAATCGTCGCCTGGATTTCGCCCGGCTACCAGTACCAGGGAGGACAGCATGGGGTTTCCCATGAAAGACGATAGACGGCCCTCTGTGGCCAGTGCCACCACTGTGAGTAGCACTGGCTCCAAGTCGAGCATGGGCAGAGGCTTCCACAAACGCCTGCAAAACGTATTCGGAGAAGACTTCCCCGCCGATGACCGTCAGAACTCGGACACGAGCTTGAACACGCAGCAGCGGAACCGTGGTAACTCCCTCAGTAACACCATAGGTAGTAAGCAGCAGTCGCGCCCGACCTCACCTACCAGTTCACGGCCACGTACGCCGCAGGCATCCTCGGAAGTCACGCCATGGGAATTTCAAGACTCAAAGGTAACTTTTCAATTGGTTCCCGAGCCCTCAGCCGAGGAAGGCACCTTGTCTTCTCCCTCCTCTTGCTCCTTCCTTCTTACTCCAACCCTCCCGACCTCGGACCTGTATCACTAACCTTTCATAGGATATACCTACCCCAGGTGAGAATGGAGGACGTCGCTCGTCCGAGCAACATTCAGCCAAATCGGGTCGATCGCATCACAAGCTGCACGTAAGGCTGCCTGGCACTGGCCACCGGCACAAGGGCAGCAAGGAGGAAAACAAGGCGCCAGAGGGTCGTGCAGACATAAGCCAGTACCAGTTGCGCCCCACCACCAGCCGCGACGATTCCTCGTACGGCGTTCGCTCGAACCAGCCTTCAGCCCTCAGCTCCGCGTTCGCCTCCAAGACTAGCCTTCTGGGACGACCCTCGAGCCCGACGCCAAGCTCATACTCGGATATGACCAGAGATGAGAGGATAGCGCAGCGATCACCCAGCACCAGCAAGACGTCACACGGCTTCTTCGCTCGTTTACGAGGCAAAGATAAGGATAAGTCGGATCGCACACTGCCACAAGACAACCTCAAAAACTTGACTGCCGCTGGAACCGCCTCGGCTACCTCTCTGAATCCCTCGATCAACACTGCACGGCTCGCAAGACCAGAAGCGTCTCCGCAGATCAACATGGCAAAGCGGCAGGCGGCCAACAACGGTGTCGAAGCCCAAGGTAAGGAGCAGAGGATGAGGGCTCCTCACCACCGCCTGCCTACCTTCCGGAAAGATAAGCGCCCACCCGCCAGTGAGAATACCGGACGTGATCCCAACGATACCATCGCTAGTACGGCAGGCAACGATGCCGTCTTCTTCCTAGACAGGAATCTTGACGACATGGAAGGCATCGTGAACCCTGCTTCACAACAACCGCCTATGACGCCGCCTGTAGGAGAAGTTCCAAAACAGCCACCAAATCTCGGCGAAGATATCTCTATACCAGGACCCGATGACGACGGTACTGCAGCCTGGGATGCGCCAGACTCTTGGGCCGTGAAGCGCATGAAAGACGAGATGGACAAGCTGGGAGACGCCGAGGAGGCCACAACACCTTCCAAAGAAGAGAGCGACAACAAGACATACTGCCTGCGTATCTTCAGAGTCGATTCGACATTTGCAACATTATCAGCCACCTTGAACACAACTGTACAAGAGATCATACAGATACTGGGTAAAAAGACCGTGCTACAGGACGAACTGGACAATTACCACATTGTGATGCGGAAACACGATACCGCACGGCAACTGGAAAGTAATGAGCGTCCACTGTTGATTCAGAAGCGGTTGTTAGAACTCGCCGGATACACCGATCAGGATCGCCTCGAAGATGTTGGACGTGAGGATAACAGTTACCTCTGCAGGTTCACCTTCCTTCCTGCTAAGATGAGCGGATACTCCAGTCTGGAACGGGATCCCGGATTCAGCAAGATGCAGAAGTTCAGCCACATTGATCTTCAAGGTCGAAACCTAATCACCATACCCATTACACTCTACCAGAAAGCGACTGAGATAATATCACTCAACCTATCGCGCAACCTGTCGCTTGACGTTCCCAGAGACTTCATCCTTGCATGCACCAACTTAAGGGAGATTAAATATACCAGTAACGACGCCCGACGACTACCTCCCAGTCTAAGTCTTGCCAGCCGTTTGACTATGTTGGACATCTCAAATAACCGTCTCCAATCTCTTGACCGCGCCGAATTGTACAAGCTGCAAAGTCTTCAAGGTCTTCGACTTTCCAACAACGGGCTGACCCGACTACCAAGATACTTTGGAGAATACCGTGCGCTTCGTAGTCTGAACCTGAGTTCGAATTCCTTGAGCGAATTCCCTGACTTTCTATGCGAAGTCCGGACCCTGGTAGATCTCGATATCAGCTTCAACTCGATATCGAGCTTACCCAGGATCGGCCAACTGACATGCTTAGAGAGGCTGTGGGCGACGAACAACAAGTTGACTGGTAGCTTCCCTTCAACACTGAGCAATTTGGTCAACCTCCGAGAGATTGATGTGCGGTTTAACGCGCTTGATAGTATGGATGTCATGTCCCAATTACCGCGACTGGAATACCTGATGATCGGACACAACTCCATTTCCGCTTTCGAAGGCTACTTTCCCAAGATTCGTGTACTGCACATGAACCATAATCCAGTCACACGTTTTGGGCTCAATCAGGCAACACCATCACTATCCGTTCTTAACCTTGCATCAGCCAAACTGGCACAATTGCCCGAAGATCTGTTCGGGAAATTGACTGGTCTCACAAAGCTTATCCTCGATAAGAACCATTTTACCTCCATATCGAATAACATCGGAAAGCTATACAGGCTGGAACATCTTAGTGTGGCCCGAAATTCGTTGGATGTATTGCCTGCCGAGATTGGTCGTTTGGTTGAGCTTCGCTATCTAGATGTACGCGAGAACAACCTGAACAAACTTCCCCAGGAACTCTGGTATGCTCGGCGACTCGAGACACTGAATGTTTCCTCCAACGTACTCGAAGCATTCCCCAAGCCGGGTGCATCACCTCCACAGGTAACCAACGGCGATCAGTCTCAGGTAGATGGAGCCTCTGCAACTGCCACACCAGGTTTGGCCTCAAGCCCCAGTTATGAAGAGCTGGGAAAGCTGGAAGATTTCCAAAACCGCCGTCCAAGCCAGGCATCAGGAGGTCTTAGTGTTGGTGCGTCGTCTGCTTCTTCACAACGGAAGGGATCCCAGGCATCATACAACACTGCGAGCACACGCAAGCCATCAGTAGCGTCTCGTGCGCCCACTGAAGGGACACTGACCCCCGTGTCCCGCAAAGACTCCAGCCTTAGTAGCCGCTTGGTGACTACTTTCGCGGGCTCTCTTCGACATGTGTTCCTGGCCGACAACCGGCTAAACGACGACGTATTTGACGAACTATGTCTACTTCCCGAGTTGCGAATCGTCAATCTGGCATACAATCTTATCTACGACGTACCGCCTCGTACGATCCGAAGATGGCAACACCTCACTGAGCTGTACTTATCGGGCAACGACTTGACATCTCTCCCAGCAGAAGATCTGGAGGAAGTTGGTTCGCTCAAGGTACTTCACATCAACAACAACAAATTCCAGGTCCTGCCAGCAGAACTTGGCAAGGTTGCGCAGTTGGCCGTTCTCGATGTCGCCAGCAACTCGCTGAAGTACAATGTGTCGAATTGGCCATATGACTGGAATTGGAATTGGAACCACAAACTCCGCTACCTGAATTTGTCGGGCAATAAGCGTCTAGAGATCAAACCTAGCGGCTCGTATAGCGGAAGTGGCATGAGCATGCGAGAAGGGCGCGACCTTACCGACTTCAGCTCTTTGATTAATCTTCGAGTGCTTGGGCTTATGGATGTCACGATGATGGTTCCCTCGGTACCTGAGCAGTCAGAAGACCGGCGAGTGCGCACTGCTGGCTCGGCTGTCGGGACAATGGCGTACGGTATGGCTGATTCGCTGGGTCGCAATGAACACATCTCGACTATGGACATGGTTGTACCCCGCTTCCGTAGTCATGACGATGAGCAGCTGCTGGGTCTGTTTGACGCACAACCGCTCGCTGGTGGTGGAGCTAAAATCGCTAAGTACTTGTACGATCACTTCAAGAACCGATTCGCCAATGAGCTCGAGCGTTTACAACCGACCGAAACGCCATCGGATGCCTTGCGACGAACTTACCTTGGTCTCAATAAGGAACTGGCTACTGCCGCAAGCCAGGGTCTGGACAAAAACGGTCTCACTGCACCATCGACACAATCACGCAGCTCCATGCCCGATCTCAGCGATGATGACCTGACGTCTGGAAGCGTGGCAACAGTACTGTTTCTCAAAGAGATGGAACTTTACATCTCCAACGTTGGCGATGCACAAGCCCTTCTGATTCGTTCAGAAGGAGGACACAAGATTCTTACCAGAAAACACGACCCTGCTGAGCCTGGTGAGAGGTCAAGGATTCGAGAAGCCGGTGGATTCGTCTCGCGACAGGGTAAACTCAACGATGTCCTGGAGGTTTCGAGAGCATTTGGTTACGTCCAAATGTCCCCATCGGTTATCGCTTCACCACACATCCTCAATCTTACCCTTGGTGATAGGGATGAGATGGTACTGATAGCTTCTCGAGAGCTTTGGGACTATCTCACTCCAGACTTCGCTGTCGATGTCGCACGATCAGAGCGCGACGACTTGATGGTTGCTGCTCAGAAACTTCGCGACCTGGCCATTGCTTTCGGCGCGACTAACAAGATTATGGTGATGTTGCTTGGTGTCAGCGACCTCAAGAGCAAACAACGCGCTCGGTACCGCACTCAAAGTATGTCTCTCATACCTGCTCCCGGTGCAGATCCCGATTTTGCGGCAACGCGAAGACGTGGAAAGAAGGGCAACTTGGTTGGCGATTCTAAGCTTGCTCGACTCGACAACGAGGTGGACGCACCAACAGGAGAAGTTAGTCTGGTATTCACGGATATCAAAAACTCGACGATACTCTGGGAGACGTACCCGATTGCCATGCGCTCCGCGATCAAGATGCACAACGAGCTCATGCGCCGACAGCTGCGCATCATTGGTGGTTACGAAGTCAAGACGGAAGGTGATGCCTTTATGGTCGCTTTCCGTACTGTAACGTCAGCTTTGCTGTGGTGTTTCACAATTCAGAGCCAGTTACTCGACGTGCAGTGGCCACAAGAGATTCTCAACAGCGTCAACGGGCAAGAAGTCGTCGATCCTGATGGTAATGTCATCTTCCGAGGTCTCTCTGTCCGTATGGGTATCCACTGGGGCACACCAGTGTGCGAAGTCGATCCAGTCACCAAGCGCATGGATTACTTCGGGCCCATGGTCAATCGCGCCTCGCGTATCTCTTCCGTTGCCGACGGAGGCCAAATCACCGTCTCGTCTGACTTCATTGCTGAGATCCAACGTCTACTCGAGACGCACATTGAGGGCGATCGTAAGAACTCCGCTGGATCTGAAGAAGCATACAGCGACGACATGAACAGCCAGATGATTCGCGGCGAACTGCGGTCGCTCAGCTCTCAAGGTTTTGAGGTTAAAGACCTTGGTGAACGCCGCCTCAAGGGCCTTGAGAATCCTGAATACATATACCTCATGTACCCCCACTCGCTCGCTAGTCGTCTTGCTGTTCAACGTCAAACAGAACAGAAGCCTGCGGAACAGCAAAAAGAGGCTGTTGTGGGTCAAAAGATGGCGGGTAGTCAGCTCACCATCGACACCGAAGACGTATGGAATCTCTGGAACATTAGTCTGCGTCTAGAGATGCTGTGCAGTTCACTTGAAAATCCAGGGTGCTCAGAATTGAAGCCGCCAGAGACGGCTCTCTTGGAGAGAATGAGGAGTAGGGGCGGAGAGATAACGGACCGATTCTTGATCAATTTCGTGGAGCATCAGATCTCCAGAATCGAGGTACGATTCATACCATTTTCGAGTACGAAGAGAGCGAATGCTAATGAAGACGACAGACTTGTGCCAGCACCCTTGCCCTACGTCACATGGTAAGGCCATTCGGCGCTGCGCCTTTACTTGAGCAAGCCTGCCATATGGGCGACATCTTCTTAGAGCTAGAGGCGAAGCTCAAGCGACTAGAGGAATTCGAACGTGGAGCTATCGAAGGCATGGCGCCATCATGAGCTGCGTCAATCTGATACGAAACGACCATACATTTCTGCAATCACGCAATCATGCAACGACCGAACATGATCACGCGTCGCCCGTCGAAAGCGGTTACAGCCAATGACCACGAGATCTCGCTTCCAATACCTCTTTTACACAACACCCTATCTTATCCTAATCCACCAGTCTCTTCCTCAGTGAGGGAGCATGGCAACGCTCGCATCTCTTCCCCCATCATCGATTCGGCGTTTACTTCACATTGGCTTGGGAGCGAATGGGACATGGATTTGTATTGTACAACACATGCGCACACATGCGACATAACTGCCCTGGAGGCTACATACCTCTATGCCACCCATACCTTACCTCCCATGGCCTCGATACCAAGACGTATCTTACCACCACACACACAAACTAGGACTCCTGAGCGGGTTGCAATTGGGGGTTGTCTTTTCAATGGCGTTTTAGGGAGGAGCTCGCTCCTGGACCGATTCGGGCCTTGTGCTCTATGCGTATCTTTTTGTTTTGCTGGCTACCTTGGGGTTTTATTTTGCTACGTATGGGTTGAACTGTAGCTGTAAGCTTTATTGTTATCATGCTGGGTTGGGTGATGGACTTGGACTTGGACGGCTGGGTAGTCGAACGATTGGCCTTCTTTTCTTTCTCACGGCCTTGAGATGGTTTGGTTGGTTGGTTGGTGGGGTGGTGGGACGGTACTCTGCTTTTAGCTGATTTGCGGGCTGTGATGTATGTATGAACGGGAGCATGATGGCGAAGCGAAGGGTATGAGGTTGGGAAGCAGAGGCAGGAGGGGGTTAGTGAATGATTATCGCTTTTTACCTGTGCAAAGACTTTGCTATTGCTGAGTGTATGTGTGCCTGGGGGAAGAAGTGTGAGATGGTGGAGAGGACAGGATTTTGCTAACAGGCATGTTTCTTGAAGTAGAGAATCAATTACTATCGTAACAATCTGCCTACGACCCTTGCTCTATGTAGCTGTCAAAGTGGTCTTAAGTCAAGTGGACCCTCACCCACTTCTCAAGTTGAGAGATGCGATACCAAAATCGGCACTGGAATGGGCCATGATATGGGAGTGCGCAGGCCTTCGATACATCCGCAATTACAAAAAACTTGACTTTGCTGCCATGGTAATCGGTTGCCTCTTGCTAGGCTCCATGAACAGGGCAGCGAGGAAGAAGAGTATATAAACTTTTTTTCCGCCGCTCCCTTCTTTCCTCATCACATCACTCTTCTTGAGTTTTACCCAAAAATCAAATAAGACATTGTACAGCGTTATGGAGTGTGCTGCTCTTCTCTTCTTTTCAAACCTACAAAAGCCGACATGATGGAATGCACTTATACTCTCTTTCGTCCATTGAACCCAAACTGGAACGAAAACTCTCTCATGGGGCTATTTGTGCTGCTTCTCTGCCTCCAAAAACAAAAGGCCAGGAAGCATGGAGCTTCTCTCGCTTTTTCGGACGACATCATCAACAGCAAACGTCTTTCTGCTCTAAGCACCACCCCAAAAATGGAGAATCTATGCCCAATGTCCGCTTTCGAAGCTGAAGAAACATTATGCCTGTACCGCTCATGTTCGTCTTGCGGTTCAAAATCGATACTCAGATTGGCCATGAGATAGGAGTACGGAAGCCTTAACACATTCACAAACACAAAACCTTCGGCTTTGTTCCCATGATTTCCGGCTGCCTCAACTTGCTGCGCGAACTTAGTACCTACGACTGTATAGTTGACCGTAGGGTATATAACTCCCACCACTCTACGACTCTTGCTCGACTATAACAGTACCTCCCATCTATTCTCAAAATTGAGGTTCGAGCAAGACATGGTTTGAGTGTCTCCCCATCAAACATGTATCCAACGATCCGATGGGAGTTTGAGACGGCTGGTTTGTGGTCCAACATGCGTGGGAGCTGGACATGCAGAGATTCCCCAAAAATATTCGGATAGTATCAACACCGCAATGAAATCCTCCATGTATCATGATCAAAAGTTTTTGTTGCAAGAAAATATGTCTATCCACCTGCCTATCTCCAACCTACCAAGGATCACCAGGTCCCTGTCTCCGATGCAAATGCTTGATCACAACGTTCACACCCATCCGCCTCATCTCTTTGGCAACAATCTCCGCTGTACCGACACTTCGATGTGTACCAGCATGACACGTAGTCTGTATCGAGGCAACTTGATTACCAGCGTTGAAATAGTTGACAATGGAAGCCAGTGCTTTGTTACTAAGATATCGCAAATCAGCGCCTTATGTCTTGCCTGACTTCCTCAAAATAGTGAGGGAATGTACATGTGATACTTACATTTCTCGTACGGCCGTTCGACTTCCCATTATAAACCGCTGTACCTGCTGGCTCACTCCAGAATACATCTCGCACATTTTTCGTGGTGGTGCACGCCACGTCTGACAGTATATCGTCAGAAGGGCTGGTACAGGCGGTACATGTTGTGATAATTGCGCTTCGGCACCTGGTTGGCGTTTGAGGACTTCAGAAGAGTAGGTGGTCACATATAGGGTTTTTCGAACCAATGGAACTTGTGGTTGCAGAAGAGGTCGTGGAGGAAGCAGTAGTTGCTCCTGCGGAAGATGCTGCTGAGGCGGTAATATGGTTGGTAAAGGTGCGGGTAATACACCTGCTTGCAAAGGTACTTGCATTTGCGGAAGTGGGTAGATGATAGGCTGAAGCAGGTACATTTGCATATGTGGATACACTGAACACCTGGAAGATGCTGCTCATAGAAGAAAGGCAGGCTATAGAATGCCGGGTAAACAGCTCTTCTATGCACACGAGCATTATGTGAGGATATTCAGATGCTGATGATGTGATGGATTCCAATGTGCTTCAATCCTGATGCCCACCTTTGATGCAACATATAACTACGTGGTTGCATATCACAGATAGAGCCAGAAGCTGGTTATTGTGAATTCAAAGTGCACAAGTTCTCAGAATTCAAGTCTTCACCAAAATGGAAAATCGCGTACATGCCTGCCAGTGTTGAGGAAGCCCTTTGATACGGTTTGGGATGAGCGTTAGCAAAGGCCTCAAACTGAAGTCTGAAGACCACCTGATCTTTGTCAACCCTTCGATACGTCCACGGATGCGTCACCCTTCAGAACAACTGCGCCACATCAACCCTTACGCCGCATGCTCGCCTATCCTAGTAGTCAGTTCACTGCACCGGACTGACTTCCAAATTTACCCATAGTCGTCTTTTCTATGTTAAATCCTGTAGCTCCTGCATCCAGATAGGGCTGCATACCATCACACACGTGGCGCCCAGATCCCCGGTCGCATGTCTGATCCTACGCCAACCTTCCACAATCTGCTTCTACAACCCTGCATAGAAGCAATTAACTGACTATCCTTCTTCCTACAGCCTGGATCGTAGCGGCACGGGTATAACGAGCTCTTCGCTTGCTATGCAAGGAGAAGACGGACTTGGCAATGTCTACGAAGTGGGCCGGGAAGTCAACCACGCCGCAAATCCTACTTACGCCCCACCCGTGCATAGGGGACTGGGCAGGATCTGGGCGGCTATTTCGCCAATAGAATATTACAAGATGCATTCATGGCAGTATGAGTGATGGGTAAGCGAATCCTGATGTGCAGCGGGTGACATCCCTTGCTCGGGGCTGGCGACACGCGGTGTGGTCGACGTGATACCGAGTTACCGGGTATTTTGAAGGATCGTCATATCGTATCGATATTCCTAACACCTGATCATTATTCTAACAAGATGTGCATTGTTGGGTACAAGCGAAGTGGACGATGTCCATGGCGGGAATAGTGGTAAATCGCTGGATCTTCCTGGAAGGAAACATGGTCAAAAAGCTGCGCGTGCACGATCTGGACTGGAAGTTCGGGTATCGAGTATGGGATGAGACCAATAAGAAGTATATCTTCCTTCCTTCCCTATTAAGACTGAGGTAAGCTCAACGAAACACTTTGGAACCAGATACTCGGTATTCTGGAATTTCGCGTCACTTACTCCCTCTAGCGGTCAATCGATGCAAGAGCTCGTTGCATGATTCACAATTTGCCTTCACTACCCCCTTGGAGAATATCGCGTAGCAACTTCAACCCTTCCACAGCAAATGCCACCATGTTACCTTCGCGCTCACTACTTCCCGTTTCCACTTCCTTCGTCACGGTCTCGCCTGCCTCCCGTGCCACAGCAAGCGCCACATAACCAGGCGTCCTGTTCTTGGTTGTGCCTCCCGTCGGTCCAGCCGTTCCGCTTTCGCTGACAGTATACGTGCTGCCTAGCGTCCCCCGAGTGTGCTCGGCGAGGCCGGAAACGATAGTGGGGGTTGGGCCGCTGTAAGACTTGATGGTGTCCTGGGTCCAACCGCAGTAGGCGATGCGTGATTCAAGTGTATAGAGGGTAAGGCCTCCGCGGTAATAGCTCGATGCACCAGGAAAGGAAAGGAGTGCTGCAGAAATCAGACCGCCTGCTGCCTTTGTGGGTACGCGTCAGTAAGGATGCTTAGTTTTTGAAGAATGGAGAGGATTCACTGTTTCGGCTACTGAGACTGTTTCTTTGCGCTCTTTGAGTAGAGTGGCTACTTCCTGGACGATTTGTCGTAGTTCCTCGGGCGGGAAGATTGGAGGTGACATTGTGATATATGCAGAATTAGTGGTACCGAATTACTTTTGCGTATTTGAGGACGAAGACTTCGGTATATGTATGAACTGTCCTTACAAATAGAATTTCTTGATAATCGTAGCGGACTTATGTCGGATGTAGCGGCTCTCAGTGGGGTAGCTTCGAGGCAGTGACGTATGCGGGGTAGCTTCTACTACAGGCACATCTAACCATACAATTCATTCCTTATGTACATGCAAGGCTCAACGCATAATATACAGTGTCCATCTAGTTGAAGGCGAACCTTTCCTCTCCTCTCTTCATCAACCTGATGGGTATAGACACGCCCCTCAACTGTAGCGTGACAATGCTCGCCACTTTGTTCTTGAGGAAGTCCTTGG